AGTTGTTTTCGTAAGTTATCTTGAAACTATGGCACATTAGTAAGTGGTAAATAGGTGTAGTCCCACATCTAGTCTCTTTAAATTAGAGATAGTTCCACTAAGATCGTTTTAGCCTATATCCAGTCAGGATATGTAGTCTGAAAATGTGCCCAGAAGTACAGGGTAACCATTTTGTAATATGGCCATAAAATCATGACAATTTGGAATAGACCAAAGAAACTTGGTAGAATGAAGAAACATTGAACAAGGTTGTGTAAAATATGACTTTACTCCAATACTGAATGGCTGAGTTTGAGCATTTGAGCTTCAATAAATATTTAGATCTTATTAGAAGCGTTCATGATTGTAAGGTCACATATACTAGGTAGAGGTCTAGCTGATTAGAATATTCAGGGCACACACCTCCAACACGATTTCCCAACCTTATGTTCATTAAAGAGAAAAGGGGCCACCCTCACACAGGGCTTGATACAAGTATATCTATTTTTTGAATCTTTATTTCCTTTTAATGCTTTGGGCAGAAATAGTGGAGTCTTCTTAACAATCAATAGGATTGTACATGAAGAAGAAGACCTTAAAAAATCAGTTGACTAAATTAACAATTTCTTTGTTTTTATCAGGAAGGTCAAGGCTTCTATACCAAGATAGTGCCAGATGTAAGATATTAACTATTGAATTAAGATTGATTTATTGGCTTTTTATAATTCTCCCAAATTTCTTTATTACTCAGTATGGACAAGAGTCAGGATTTTGGTGTTCTTGGGTATAAAAGTAAGCAGAATTTAGCATATTGATATTTTTGTTATAACTTTTAATAAAAGTACTGTACTCGGTGCGTAATTTCCTTTGTACATGTATTTTGTATGTTGCATGCTAGGAAACAGTGCTATTGTTTTCAAGGGTACCATTATGATAGGGAATCAATATTTTGTGCTGTAGCTTGTCCAGATATAGATTAATTTAACAGAGTTATCTATAAGCATTTAATTATAATCTCCCTATATGGTGGTTAATCGCATTTGGAAAGAGGCATTGTTCAAATACTTGACTTCTGCTATGTGTTATAAGCTCCTAACAGGTTGAGATGTGGAAACTGACAAGAAAAGTGGGCCAAAAACAATATATGTATTTTGAAAATCCTTTCATTTTTAAAGCCATTTTTGAAAAAGATGGTCTCATTTAATATGAGGTCTATTCGGGCTGTTTTAGGTCTAAAATGAATGTAATGCTCTATTAGATCTACCAATGCCCTTTCTCAACATCAGTAGAAGCCTAAAATGAACCTGTTTAATCTCGAATAATGTTAGTGCTTCTTATACATGTGTATTATTGTTTTACCATGTGATGTTCACCCGCAACAAAAGTCAGGTTATATAATAATAGAAGTCATTTTGCCTACCCTCTCTGTTCATTAGCTCAAACTAGTTGAATGACACTGGATTATTGAGATTAGTTTGAAAACCATAGTTTTTGGAGCTAGTGTATTAAGTTATTTCCTTACAGCAAAGTTAGTTACCCTCTTCCTTAATTTCAAATGGGTGATAGAGTGATTGATACATGTTGACCCTTCTTTGTTTCAGGTTCATTGAGGGCAATAGATGTCAAAGTAAAACCATTAAAATGGACCCTATTTTTTAATGAATTTTATGTGCTAGAAGGGACATTTTATGTGGCTTGAAAAGAGGTTCCTTTGTTTCAAGATCATTCAAAAATACTGAAGGGTTCAAAAGTTGTTGTTAATCATAAATCTAGTGTAGTATACAAACTGTTCTTTAGACCTGATAGTAACACTACTTTTTCTGTTTTATTATCAATTAACTTTAAGTTCACTGTCTTTAAAGATTTTTGATGTTGCCCCTTTCCTACCCTAATAAAAAAAACATGATTTTCTTTTTATTTATTTTATTTTGGTTCATAGGGACCACTTATTATAGGCTTGATTTTATCAGCCAATCATGTAGCTAGCTGCCTGTTATGATGTAAGAGAGGTGACCAGTTGTTCGATGTAAGGTGGTATCACAACCAGACAATGTTGGATAACATCACTTACTGAGAGATCAGTTAGAAATCTTCCCTTGAAAGAAATCCACAGTCAAAATCACCATGTATTATATCACCCAGATCTCGTAAAACACAATGCCCTTCGTGCTCCATGATGAGAGATCACATCCTTGTCTAGTTCCTTTCTTGAAGGTAAGACAGAGATGCTCTGACTATCAGAATACAAATTTTTCAAATTGAGGTGATTATCCAAAATACTGTATGCATTTCCTAGATTTTGAACTGGTGATATCTTTCACCATGATTTGATATTTTGTACCCTGCCTGCGGTATCCTGGCTTGGTGAGTTCAGAGATTTGTTGTAAACTAAAAAAGTGAAGGAAGACGAAGCTCTCTTTTAAGAAGCATGATTTCTGAAATTGTAACAATACATGCCAGACAAGTTGCATTTAAAGAGAATTGGTTGACTTTCTTAGCTATTGGTCCATTCCGAGATTATAAGATTTCTTGTCTATGGGGGAAGAATGAATGACTGAATGATTGAAATACATGTAATGAATGGCCTTAATGGCAGTGACTTGTTCCAATAATCAATTCAAGATGAATTCTACCAGAGATCTCTGTAAGTTATTATGTCATACAATGGGATCAGTCTACCTTTAACATCAAATCTTGGCCTGGGTTTAACTGAAATGGAATCAAATCCATGTTTTATAAAATACCAATAAGCTGTCAAAACCTCGCAATTTTGCGATAGTCTTGAACCAATTTTTTTGATAACATTCATGCTAATGTCAATGACCTGATGACCTGTGCAGTTTAAATTGACAAATTAAGAAAACCGATAAAATACAATTTGATTTTCTTGTTATTGAAAAAACTAAATTGAGCATTTATTTGTTTGAGTTTGCATTGAGGTGAAGACTTCATAAACAAGGTTTCCCCCAGGTAAAGTCAATAGCAGCTGAAAAGAAGGGAATAGTTCTATGTGTTAACTAGCTGGCTATATCAGGTGATTTTAAGCCTTAGAACTATACAAGTACATATAGAATAGGAATATATAGGATTTAGTAAAGTTAGAGAGGGGATTTGGATTTGATTCAACAAGTTCAATCATATTTATTTATAGGTATGATGTATGTTAAATACAATTTTGAATCTTTAAAATTATAAATAAGACTTCAGTTTATTGACAGTATAATTTGAGTACAGCTGTAAGAGGGTAAGGTATGTAATTTATGTTAATTCTTTAATCTTCATATGATATAGTCCTGCATCAATGCCCTATTCCCATTTTCTGAAATACAATCAGATATATTAACTGTTACTGTTGAATGGGAAAACCAGGACTTTGATGCATGATTATTCAATATTTACAATGAAGTATTACGAAACAGCCTTTATTGAATATTAGAATATTTAATATTTAAATCAAAATCAAAAATGATATGATGATATAATCAAATATATTCCAAGTTATGATTACGCTGTCAAGAAATATGATAAAATTATGATCCTGGTGTCAAAAGATCATAAAAAAACGTTTGAATTCATCTTTTTTGATTATGACTTTTCATATATCAACAAGTAATAAGGTTTCGATGCGTGATGCATTCATGAATTTTTGGGGTTTATTACTTTTCATTATTAATTTGATTTGATTATAAGAATGGTTCAAATCAAATGGTCTTGCATTAATATAATCTATAGGGGTATACAGGACCCTTATGATGACTTAAGATACTATTATGATGAGCTTAGATATAAAATATAGATAAAATAAAGTATAGATAAAATTCTCATTAAAAATAGTCGAGTCACTGTTAAAAAAGGTACGATAAAGGTGCTAAACACAAAATTCTCGTTGACTACTTTTATACGTACCTTATAGATGTGTTCCCTTAAACATCTTTCAACTGTATATTATAAATGATCTTAATCTCAAAAATTGTATATTTATTTTTTTTTGTAATGAGCTTATGCAATTAATAAATAATTGCTACTGCAATTGGATTGTTGTAGGAATTGAAGAAAATAATTTTGAAAAATTACTGCCTTGTACAATTGATTTTCTGTAAATTATAGCCGAAGACTCAGGTCATTCCATTGCATAAACTGTTGTCTCTCACGCAAAAATGTCTCAGAAAAATTGCATAAGCTATACATCTTTCATTTATTTTTGTACAATTTAAGAGTGTCAGATATGTATTTCTATCGTTTATTTGTCAATAATATAGAATCATTTGTTTTCACATTATTTTATTTTTATGCATCTATTAGAGATATTTTGGACATGGGCTGTTATTGGCGTAATATTATTAAGCTTCTTCTATTGATTTATAGAGTCAAAAACATATGATCTTTCTGCATAGGAGTTATTGAGCAAGAAGGTGGAAAGAGGATACACATCAAATAAAACTGGATATATTTTGTAATCGTGAACGTACAATACACAAATTGTGTTTTATTTGGTGGAGGATATTAGAGGTTGAAGTTTATAGTTGTTAACGTCATTGAATGTTTATTGAAGCTCTTATATAGTAAAATTTGACTTTGTCCTGTTAGGTAGGTTGTAATATAATGGTCTGTTTTGTCATTTAGAACTGTGCAAATACAACAAAATCTATTCAGATATTCATCAAAAATTGTTTTGTGTACCATGATTTAGCATCAGATTTACCTTGTCAAAAAGTGAAAAATAAGCAGTGAACTAGCACAAGCTGTTTGTATCATATTTCGCAAATAATAATCATGAGGTGAAAGAATAAATGTTTCATATGTCACTTTTCACATCAACGTGCTTTAATTTTCTCTTTATTTTGCATGTTTGATATTAAACATAATACCATAATACCAACACATTAAACCAAATGATGTGAAGATCATCGTGTGTTTTTGTAACTTTTGACAGTATTTATATAACATTTCATGTTTGTTTACTTCAAGATGATCTTGCTTTGTTATTATATTATTTATATCTCATGTTTTTGTACTTTTAGGGCCGGGCACCAAAAATGGCGACTATAGGGGAGCAGGTCCCGATCAGTAGTCACACATTGGATAAAGCCACGAAGGCCAAGATAACACTCGAAACATACTATAGTAACTTGATATCTCAGGCTGAGGAGAGAGAAAACAGGTGGGTGATAACCTATACTTGCTAATACATAAAGCTCTATGGTAGGGAACGGTTGGAAGGTTTTAACACCTTGGTTCTATTTCTTTTGGTTATGTCACTCCAAAGTTGTGTCATGCTTTGTTTTGGCATTTTTGATTCAGTCACTCTGGCTCACATCAGTTTCTCCCCTGGATGATTGAATTAAATGATACCAGCCTGGGTGCATGATGACCTTACTTCAGTTTGTTTCCATTTATTCTGAATCTATAAGGGAATGCATTAGGAGAGTTCAAGGTCTTGTTTCAGTCGCAAAAAAACGAAAGATAACCTCAGTATCAGCATGAAGAGGAAGAGAGAATTATGAAAAGAATCAAGAGGTATATCTCTTATTTATCCCACGATTAATATGTTATCTGTACAATAACAGCTATTGATATTTCTGATATTATTGAAATCCGTGTGATATTTTCCAGAAAATCGTTTATCAAACTTATATGCGTGTGATATCGTTTATCTCACGCATATCCGTGTGATATCACATTTGCATTTCGCGCCACAATATTGTTGGAAATTAGGTCAGCTAATTTACTCTCTTTTGAGAAAATAAGTCTGCCAGTGTCCTGGAAATTGGATCAGAACATCACAAGGTGATTGTAATCATGGGATAAACCCAATATCACATAATTTCTCGTGATATCATTTTATCGCCTCGTAGAGATCAAATATCAACACTCATTTGCTTCGCTCACTCGTGTTGATATTTGATATCAACTCGGCGATAAAAATGATATCACTCAAAATGATGTGATATTCTGTATATAAGAGTGAAAATAGTCTCATATGTTGATTGATTCATTTGATTGCATTAAACCTGTCCTACATTGGCATTTCTTAATCTCTGATTAAATGTAAAGAATCTGCTAGAGAATCTCTAATATTATCTTACTCCTTTCAAAACAATACATCTTCTGGAGTAGTTTGCCTAAAAGTACAAATATATTCTATTTTGCAGACTTAGAAGGATGGAAAATTGATTCGTTATCATATAGAAAGAACATGATGAATTTATTCAATTATAGAAGTGTATTTTTAGCTCAATTCTCAACTTCTAACAAATTGGATCTTTTCCCCTATGGTGTATCCAATTTCGAGTTTACACTATAAGTATTTGTTGAAGGGATAAAATGGATAACAAAAAAATTAGAAATAATGTTCAGAAATAATTTTCATTAAAATACATGTGATATATTACTTTGAAGTGAAAGCTGCATCACCATCTTATTTCATCAAAGCTTTGATTAATGCTTCTGAATTTAGAAAAAGATCTTTGGAATGAAAAATATAACACCCCAACATTTGATCCTCGGAATCGGCATAAGATCTACTCTTATGCCACGCATAAGATCTACTCTTATGCCACGCATAAGATCTACTCTTATGCCACGCATAAGAACAGATCTACTCTTATGCCGGGCATAAAAATTGAACCTATTTTGCCCAAACCTCATGTCTGCTGAAGTCCGAGTCAAAGTAGGATTCCGAGATCAAATGTCGGGGTGTTATATGCATTATGGTTGTTAATATTGCCATGTATCATTATTATAATGTGTATATTTAGAAGTCTCATTGAAGATCGACACAAATACATCTTTCATAAATTAAATTGTAATATTTCTATTATTCAATTTAGTTTTTTGTTTGAATGTTTATTATGCAATGAATATAGAACTATTAGGTGTCTAGGTTGCCTCATATAAGATATATCCAATTTAGCATTTTGAGGCTATCGTTATGTCTTAGATTTGTCAGCGTCCAGGTTCACCCTTGTTGAGTACATACTTTTTATGTACAGTATGTGTATTTAGAGGACAATATCATTAATTTGAGGCCTGTCATTTTCACTTGTTGAGTACATATCTAACTTTTAGGTGTGTATTAAAGGACGATATCATTAATTTGAGGTCAGTCATTTTCGATATCATTGTCACAATTCTAATCTAGATATAGTTCATAATGAACATCTGACTGCTATGGAACACTCTAGTATGCACTTGAGAGTTTGGCAAGTCATTCATTGCCATCTGTCATATAAAGGAAAATCACCATGTTGTTGTCCAAGAAGCTAATATAGAGAGTGCATTCTTGTCTTTCCTTTTCAGAGAATATGAATAGAATTTGTATTGGCCTACAGATCTTTTTCCCTTTCAGTATTTACTAGTTTCACTGGCAGAATTTATATCATCCCAAGCAAATACTCATCAGGCAAATGCGCATTTCACGTCTAGTTGTCTTACTGTTACACTGTTACACTGTTACACTGTATTTGTATAAGTATAGAGGATCACGTTGAGGAACAAGACGATTCCTAGACAATTCCTGAGTAGAGTATTGACCGAGGTTTCAACTTTGCAATCTGGCCATAAATTCTGCATAATGGAATTGTTTCTCTTGAGAATTCTTCAAGCACTTCTATGAGTATGAGTAGCAATTCATTCTTCACGATCTAATCCATATTTAGCAAAAACATTACTTCCTGCATTTCCTTCAAACATGTATGATTTGTTGATGTGAGCTTGTAAAGGAAACCAACTTGATCCTCTTTGTCATATATATAAGAATCAGGATGTTCTTTACATTTATTATCTGCAGAATTACATTTTGTCTGTTATAGGTAATAGATGTCTTTGAAAGGGAATAAATGTCTGTTCTAACAATAAACGGAAATAACTTCAATGACATCAAATTGGGTATTGACAGCTTAAGCCATAGCTTTAAACAGTCTGTCTTATTCTTGGAAAACTCTTGGACTTTAATAATAGCATATAAATGAGGTGTCATGATATTTTTCAGGTAATGGGAGGATTCTAAATGAAGGATTAGGTATTTTTTGTCTTAGGATACCATTCGAAAGGCCAATTATCTACAGCATTAAAATCAGTGTAATTTTATGAATTCATTTATATGAGATTGGTCCAGAGCTGTATAGTTAACAAATAAAAAGCTCCATTAAAAACAGTTTAAAGTTATTAACCCAGGCCCTTATATAGAACATGGATTTATATACATATGTATAAATGTTAACGAATATAAAGCAAAATGTATTACTCATGAATCAATATATCATCAGTTCTGAATCTTCTTTTGTTTACTTGGAAAACATTTCCTTGCAAAGATCAAAGGAAATGTCACAACTCACCCTGTTTAAATACAACTAGCATCATGTTGAAGCTACCCTCTTCAAGTGTTTAGCTGGGTCCTTACTCTTAAATTAGAAACAGTCTTTGATCTCGTCTTTATCTAATCAGAATATGAAGATAGAAAATCAGGACACTTACATTTATTTCATATTCACTCTTTTTTCTAAGTTTCAAAGCTTGGTACATTAGATTGTATATGAAGCTGTTCTTTTAAAGCACCAAAATCAAATTAATGAAAACTTTCCAAACTCCTGCTACATAAGGTCATGAAATCAACATGTGACATTTATGAAGATCTTCTCAGCATCAAAACGGAACAAAAATCATTTTGATAGTAAGAGATCTTGGCGTTTTGTGTAGGTTGTTGAATATTTCACCTGGGTCAAAAGCTCAACTTGCCACTTCCTGGATTGAAAACACCAGACTGCTGTGCACATGTTTTGTTGGAAAGAAAACCATATTATTTCCTGATGTTTTACTTGTTTATGTCACGTGACCTATAGTAGTCCCATTTGGCCATCATTATATCCGATTCTGTGATTTAGCTCTATCGTATCTTGTGAATCTGTTGTTCAAAACTCTATAATGGAGAGGAATATATTGGAAATAACTTGAGGCATTTGTTTCCTCTGGTAGCAATAATATGTTAATGAAAATTTCACTGAGAGCAATAGAATCTTAATTTTAAAAAAATGAGATCTAGCCAGCACAAAGGGCAACATTAGAAAAAACTACAATAAATATATAACAGATTAGCACTAACTGCAGTTTGGTTTTTACTTGAAATCCCATATCTTTGAAGATCAATGCATTCTTTCACGAAGCCTTCACATACTCTTTGCTTCTAAAATTTACATCTTCTACCCAATAACTCAGATGCGAGTAGGTAGTTATCAGTTTCACCACCAGGTGGCTCATTCGGGTCATAGTATGGCGGGTATAGTCGAAAGTTCCCTTTAACTTAAATTACATCTGTTTTAGTGGTTCAATTTCCATATCACTCTTATGTATCTAATAGTTATGCAAATTCAAATATGTCCAGTAAAATAAGATATTATCTGTCCAATACAAGAAAAGATGTTTCACTCTTTCTGATTTTGTAACATGGGGTTCAATGAGGAATCTCACATTTTCCCCAAAAATTTAATTTTTAAAATTGATAAACAATTTTCAAAACCATATTTCGTAGAAGTACTTTTACATCTACATTTCAAATATGACATCACTTTGACTGAATTTTGAATATTTAATGACATAAATCAAGATTATTTCTACTCGAATCAGGTCTATTGATTGTTAGCAGGGGAGAGGGAGGGGGTCTTAGACTTGATGCAACACTTTGAGTTGGAGCACTATATTTTTGTCTAAATGTTTTATTAATAGATGCACACAATGTTGATTGATGGACCAGGAGTACCAGTTAGGCTACTACTATCTCAGACCACTTATTCTTAGCCCAGATTTCAATGAAACATTCTGTCTGGTTTTCTCTTTTTGATATCTCCCAAATGGGTGATATGTCAGATGAGCTTTCGTAAAAAATATCACCATTCATTTTTTTAACATTTTCTCTCTTTTGATGAATAAAATGATTGGTTTGTTTTGTTTCTATTTAGTTTAATCACTTGGCTATTTGTCTGTATACTTCATTCCTTGCCAGTTTCTCTCTGGATCAATATACTTTCATGTTATCATATGGCCATTATGTTCTATTTTATTGATAGGTATAGGGTTTAGAGGGTGGATGGATTGATAAAGGGAGACTAATGTGTTTTACATGTCCCTACATCATTCTTATCAAGACATATATTTAGCTCAATATCTTCATGCTGTTTTTTGTAGAGTTCTTTTTATTTAGTTGTGTTTCATATATGGATCAGTCAGCAGGTTTACTTACCGGGTCCAGTTACAAGATTCAGTTACCATTTGTAATTGCTTGGTCTTATTACTAGGTTCAGATACCAGGTTCAGATGCCAAGTCCAGTTAAAACATTCATTTACCATTTTACCAGTCTAGTTAGCAGATTCAGTTATAAGATTCAGTAACCAGAAGGGACAGTTTGAATAACTGAAGAGAAACTAAAACAATTACTGATTCAAAAGTTACCATTAGTTAGATGTTTAACTTTTCTTTTTGAAGTTCTCATATTGCATGTTGCTAGGAATTATGGTTTGTTTTACACAAGTATAAGTACATGGTATAGCGTCATACTGGTTTGTACAAACCACAAATTCAACAAATAATTAAATTGAGGAGATGATAATAGTACTTGTGTAGAAAGCTCAGAATTCCTTTACCAGTGTTCCATGTTTGGATTGTTTACATATGAATTTCCTATTTCACTTCCAATGAAATGAATCCCTTTATGATTGGCTGTTTCCTTATTAGCTATGTTATATTACTAGCTATGATTGGCTCTATGATTCAGAGATTTAGTATCACGATTATCATCATATCTTACCATGTTATCATGTTGTTAAACCAATTGTCGTGTAGGAGTGCAATCATACAAATAGGGGAATCTATGCTAAATGTATGTAACTGATGTTTCCCAGCTTATCAGATGCTTCATGATTTGTTCTCAAGTGCTCTACAAATGTTAGAGAGCCAAGCTGAGTGATTTTAAGAATTTTTAGAAATTGAATTTTAAGGCCCCTAGATTGACGGTGTTTTAAATAATGATTTGAAAATATACGCGGCAGTATGTTTTCTATGTTTCATAGAAGAAGTAGGAAGTTCCTGTAGGGGAACACTCAAAACAATAAACAATTTTGATTGACATAGTTGTTTTAAGTTATTTGTTTAGTTAAGCTGTGTAATACAAGTTGAATAGAAATCTTTTTAACAATATTTGATAGAAAGCACTGACGTTATGTCATAAACATGTCAAAATGAACATGTAAAAGGTTTTAATTGATTACTTCAGGTTTTTATCTTGATGTTAATTTTTCTTCACATGAAATTGCAAAGCACTGTGAATTACACAAAAAGGTATCTTGATGGTATATAGATCATTCAGAACATTTGCTTTAGGAAATATGCCATTCAAAAGATATACTTTGTGGTTTTTGTATATTCATGTAGATGGTTGGTGGGTTGATTTATAGCTTGGTAAGAATGCCATTTCTGAGTTATTTGTCTGACTACTTTGTGGTTTGTTACTATATGTATGATTACCTTTTTATGCAGATATTAATATTGCCTTGCTCTATTTGGTACAAAACCTTATTTTATACAGAGATTTACTCATTATTAGGGGAACTTGGTGAATATACACTATTGAAAATTTGAAGAATACATTGCACCTAGTTCAAAATTTATTTGCATTTTGCATCAACATGAAAATATTGCAAATCTTAGAAAAAGGCTCAGGCAAATCTTTGTCAGTATAGGGGAAATTAATATTTTGCTCTTAGAAAATCCTGGGAAAGATTTATACAACAGTATATACAACTAAAATATTTATGTTTAATGAAGGCTTTTACTATTACTATGGATCTCTTTATATATTGTTATTGCACAAAAACTCTTCCAGGCATTTACATATAAGCTATTCATAGATGATTAAAGAGTATACATGTAATGTCATGTATATCACTTTTTTATGCCTCCATTTATGTCATTTGTGTTTATTACTTGACAGATAACACACAAAATAGCATTTTTGATATATTTTACTGTAAACTATATTAAATCTCCTGCATTTAGAAACACTTTGAATTCTATGCATTTAAAACATTAGTAAGCCTATTTGCATGCATTTAGAAACAGTACACACCTAATATAATGAGCATCATTGATTGTAATTTTAGATATCGTCTCCTGGAACAGTCTATGGATGATGAAGGATTAACAGATGATCAGGTATTTATTCTTTCACATTTCTGCATCCGTACCCCCTTCCTACTCCCCTCCTCAATATGTTTATACCTCTTTAAATGTATTCTATTTAATAATCAATAAATTGCAAAACTTCTTCAATATGAACATAATTTTTAGGACATTACATATATGTGATGTGTGAAATGCATACTAATACTCTAATAAGCATTATTCTTATTACCTAAAGTAAAATATGTTGATATTTTCAGAAAAAAGACAGACGCATACAACATGCAACCAAAGAAACAGAATTCCTTCGCTTGAAGCGGTCACGGTTAGGTATTGAAGATTTCGAGGCTTTAAAAGTCATTGGAAAAGGTGCTTTTGGAGAGGTAAGTGTTGTCTGTGGGAAGAGGTCTAATTATGATGATTGCTTTGTCATCAATTCATTTCACTCAACTTGTTACATACAGACATACTGTATGTATTCACCAGCTATTCATCTTACTATGATGCAAGCCTAATGATAATTTTAGGTAACATGCTTTGCAATTATTTGTTAATAGTCTCGGACGCAGCCAGACATGACACACGTGAGGTTACTGCCTCACTAAAATTTTATAGGAAAATATAAATGGAGACATTTTTCAATTGAACCTGTAAAAATGAGCTCTAGCAATAGTATAATATTGCCTTTAAATCAATCTTAACCTTGCTGATTAAAATATTTCTTGACTATGTTTGGTTCATTATATTTTGGCTATGCCCCTGAAAATGTTGAAATGAATTTTGATTCCAGGTACGATTAGTGCAAAAGAAGGACACAGGTCATGTATATGCCATGAAGATCCTACGTAAGGAGGACATGTTGGAGAAGGAACAAGTTGCTCATGTAAGAGCAGAGAGAGACATTCTTGTAGAGGCTGACCACATGTGGGTTGTGAAAATGTACTACTCGTTCCAAGATGTACAGAATCTATACCTCATAATGGAGTTCCTACCAGGAGGTATGTGGTTCCCAAATGTATAGAATTTAATATTTGTACTTCATAAGGGTGTCCCTACCAGCACGCTTGTGACAATCTTGTAATTTCTTATAAAACCACCTGCTCATAGACATTTTCCATCCCATCCCATGACCAGGAGCTTAGTGGAGCTAGATATGACTGCTCAAATAATTTTACATTCATGCAAAAAAACAGGGACTGAAATTTCATGAACTACAATGTCTATGCTCATGAAATACAAAGTTATGCCATATCTAGCAATACACTTACTACTAATAGCATTAAAGATATTCCTTACTTCAAAAATGATATTATTAAATAGATTATAACAGATACTGTGTGTTCCATAAAAATCAAAGGGTAATATGTGTCTGATTATGTGTGTGCCTTCCCATAGTGTCTGATTCCATGTTTGTCTTGTTATAGGAGACATGATGACCCTCCTGATGAAAAAAGACACACTATCAGAAGAAGCGACTCAGTTCTATGTTGCTGAGTCAATACTTGCAATAGATTCCATCCACAGACTTGGTTTTATACATAGAGATATAAAACCAGATAATCTGTTATTAGATTCAAAAGTAAGTATGCTCAAATGTATTTTTATCACTAAATAGGTGGGTAGGTGGGCATGCCAATAATAATCTTTGTTGTTGTGATAGCAATTGATCTTGATTTCGAACTTAATTTAACTAAACTTAATCATCTATAAATTTGATCTATTTTACAATCTAAAATATCTATAGGTATATTGTTTAATCATTATAGTGGCAGCCAGGACTACTATAGGTGACAGTTCACTTATTTTCTCCAGCGGGTTCTTCACACCTTTCCCAATTGTTTATGTGTAGATATTTCTGTGTTAAAATCTCAGTTTTTTTCTGTGAAGTTGTAATATAGGCCTAGAACTCCCACTCAATCAGTGAAGGTCATATTGAACCGTTATTGGTTGAATTGATTTGATTTTGGCTCTTATTTCTACTTTGTATTGATAATATTACAACGCAGTTTTCAAGTATGTTTCAGTGAAGTATATCTTTGTTTTTAAGTGAGGTATGATGACATGATACAGTAGAACACTTCACTTCTATATTCAAACTTCAGTCTCCGTTTAATTAGTTTCAGAGATAGATTACAAAATTATCATAATACAAGGTTAAAATGACTTGTGTGTTGAAATATTATTGGGAAATTATATTCATAGAAATTCTCTCACTTGTAAGACATGAAGACTTTGTATGATACTCTGACCTGAAGTGAATTTCTGCACTTTCTGCAAGTTTTCATGTCACCACCAAAAAGTGGTGGTGACATGTTGTTATGATCTCCATTTTTTGTGACAGTGTTTGGCGAGCGGCAGTTGGTGGCTGTAATAAATGGTGATGACATATTAATGGCTTGTATTGTTTCTGTTATGTGTCCCACACAATTTCAATCTCAATTGGAATGAGCTCTCTATCTTTCTTCAATAAGTATAGCTATTGCTTTCACTCCTAAAATTGATCAAGCAGTAATTTAGGCATTCATTACTGAAATTAGCGTATATTGTTGGGTCTGGGGTCTCGTCGCATCTTGGCTTGTCTTAAGTATATAATTTTAAAAAATGTAATGAGTATGACCTGTTCATTCGTATGATTGATGGTTGTACAGGGTGTTCCAAAAGTTCCAGGAGCGAAACCCATATTTAGGCAATACTTATCCAACTTATGAATGAAAAGTGCTTCAAGGGGTCCATGTAATTCAAGCAATGCCTTTAAAAATAGAATCAACAATCCTGGCTACTTGAATTCATCAAATACCTACTCTTCTGTTCTATATTTAACATTTTAAAAACATAAACTAACCTCCTTGGTATTGCAATGCACTTCAGAATCTTTATTTCCAGTTGAGATAGATGCTAAAGAAAATAAAAGATTGTCCACAATTTCCTCCTGATTTATTTCAAACTACATAGTCATCAATAAATCTATACAGTGTCATTGAAAATACTAAGATACAGACATATGTTTTGTTGTGCGTTTATTTTGTGCGATATTTTAACAGTACAAAACCTTGTGTAAGTTAACAAAATAATGGTTAACATAGAATTTGATTTCTCTTACCTAAGTAAGCTTTGGTTGTATTCAATCAATTTTTAGAAGTCAGAATATTGTTTAACGGAATGACGTGGTTCATTGATATTGCAACCCAATACTTTGTGTATTGTTGCTTTTATTGGAAAGTAAATATTATTTCAAACTATAAGACTCTTGGCTATAATGGTAAAAGTCAGGCTGACCCAATCTCTTGAATTAATTCACATTGATTGTCTCCTATAGTTTTTAAACAAAAAACAGTGTGTGTGTGAATCAGGCCAATTTGTTTGGGTTCTCAATTTTTTTCAAAATGCATGTTTGGAAAAAAGTAACCAAAATCTGGACTCTAAATTAGAATTGTAAAATTCCCATGGGTAAATCATTTTATGATGCATTACACCATTATAAGCCTTCTTAGTAACTACACATGTATATTTTTATTCATATTTACATTGTGTTATTTCAGGGACATATAAAGCTCTCAGATTTTGGGCTATGTACAGGTTTAAAAAAGTCACATAGGACAGAATTCTACAAAGATCTTTCTCAGGCCAAACCAATAGACTTCAGTGAGTTTATTATTTATTACACATTTCCCCTGTACATAATGTACTTATTCTAAGGTGTGGTATAAATCAGTACCATCTATCATCCTAGTACTATAATTTTGATCACTGCCCAATAAATGCTTTCTCAGCTCAATATAAGACTTAAAAAAGTTTTTCCTGCTTACTCAAGAATCTAAATATTGTCAGTGTTGTATAATATGTTTAAAAGATGATATTCAAAGTGTCCTTTCTTGTTTTAAGCAGCTCAGGCCACAGTGTCATCAAATCCCATGGACTCCAAGAGGAAGGCAGAGAGTTGGAAGAAAAATAGGAGAGCCCTGGTAAGTGAGAGCAGCACTTGTCATAAGGAATTCAAGTTTACTGGTCAAAATTTAATTATGGACTAGTTGTCATATTACAGAATTTGCTGGTTCAGTATAATTCATGGAATATTTATTATTTGCTCCTGAGCCAGTAGTAGAACAGGTACATACATTAAACAGGCGTAAGCAGTTTGATAGTATGTTAGCATGGGTTGAATGAGTCAATTAATTGTGTTCGATCTTAGATATCACAGATTTGTTAGATCATTGTGATTAGAACAAAATAACAGTGGAATATTAAAAAGGAGATATTCAAAATTCTGGATCAAAAATGTGAATTTCAAAGATTTCTTAGGAAGTTAAAACTGTATGTATTATTATAAATAGTAATAAAAAACTAACAGTGTGTATTGCATAGTTAGGACCCACCAAACAAAGTAGGGATATAGAGAAGCTGCTGTTTTCTAGTTGAGCTTATTTGTGTTTGTCTTTCTTGCAGGCATATTCCACAGTAGGGACTCCAGATTATATTGCACCAGAGGTGTTTTTAAAAACTGGTTATACAGAGTCATGTGACTGGTGGTCACTGGGGGTCATCATGTATGAGATGCTTATAGGTAGGTGGATAGATCATGGAGTCATGAGTCATGGATCAAGTGGTTATTCGTCCCACATTCTAAAATGTACAATATTTAACTAAGTTAAAGGACCAAAATAGTACCATAGTAAAGCACATGTCCCAAAATAGTACACTTGTAAGGAACCAAAATAGTTAAATAGTACAGGAGCACCAGAGTCGTATAATAGTAAATTACATGTACCAAAATACTAAAATAACTTGTAAATAGTACAATAGTAAAGACATGTACCAAAACAATGAAGTAGTAAAGTGCATGTCCCAAAATAGTACAGTAGTGAAGTATACACTCACCATGCATGCATGTACCAAAATTATCAAAGAACATGCTATAAAATAAGCCATTAAACTCATGGTAGGACACACACAAAATATTCTTGCCCATTCCAGGTTACCCTCCATTCTGCTCTGAAAGCCCACAGGAAACATACAGAAAAGTAATGAACTGGCAGGATACATTGATCTTTCCACCAGAGGTACCCATTTCAACAGAGGCTAGAGATTTAATACAGAAGTAAGTCTTCATTCATACTGGTATCATCTCTTCAGAATAAGACTTTTAACCCTTTAGAGTCTGATGTCACAGGATAGACTCCGAAAAATGAAACCCAGAAATAACAGAAATTGACATATCTTTATTTAAGATTGAATATTGAACACTCAGAACAGAGGATTCCATCATTATTGACAATCTTAACCAACAAAAATGGAAGGTTGCATTTCTTGGGGTCACCCTGTGTATGGGTCACATTGAAATTTACGTTGTGGCCTACCGTCATATTTTAGCATGCATAACAAAAGTAAACTACATGTACCTTTGACTGGAAGACAATCTCCAATGATTGGCTGATTCTCTCATCCATAATGTGTTCTCAATGCCTGAATTAACTCTGTGTTATCTGTTTTAGGTTTTGCTGTGATATGGAACACAGGATTGGTGCTAGAGGCGTAGATGAAATAAAGTCACATCCATTCTTTAAACATATAGACTGGGAACATATAAGGTTAGTCTTTTTAGTCACATAAGGAAATCAATGGTTATTAGTTTAATTGATTGAGGTTTTGTAACAAAGACTCTAAAATTTTGCAGATTTTCATAAAAATTTATAAGAGTACCATATCAAACACTGAAGCCTGGTTATTGACAGAAAGTTGAATTGGTATCAATTCTGTGAGTCATCAAGTGAAAGTGGCCGCCATATTGACAACAACAGTGTATGTATCATTAGTGCTTAGTGATTACATGAAATTATGAATGTATCTTAAATTACAGGGATCGACCTGCAGTAGTACATGTAAATGTCAAAAGTATAGATGATACTTCAAACTTTGATGAATTCCCTGAAGTAGATTTAAAACGTGAGTACCTATTCTAGAAAACAGTGATGCATTTGTTTTTCTATAAGACACATAGGGCGACACAAAAATGTCCTTCTTCTTTGTATATTGGAATAATTCTCAATTATGAAGAAATGTTAGAAATGTCCTTGGTACTTTTATAATTATTATTTGTTAGCTCACATGGTGAGCTTTTGCAATCACTCACTTGTTTTATATAGTAGCAGTAGATAATAATTTATATTTTTTTCTTTTTCAGCCCCCTCCCCATATCAGCATACACAATCTGAGGAAAATAAAGTGAATGACTGGGTATTTATAAACTATACATTCAAACGTTTCGAAGGCCTAACTCAGCGAGGGGTGCTAAGGCCACAGATTCCTATGTCAAAAAGCTAGGCAATTATTTTTACGACATGTACATAGCTCAATTTGTTGAATGGGAGGACTAATGTGGAATTAGGTGAAAAAAAGTATATTCTTCTGGTGTCATAGGCTTTTTATGTGATAAACATTTCATAGAGTGGTTGGGAACCACAATTTTAAAAACGTACCCTGATATGGGATCATGTGAATTGTTACATAATGTTCATTCCTCAGCCATACATTTGGATCATGGATTAATGTCATACATATAATATATCACAGAGGAAGTCATACTTCTATCATATAGGAGCAGTATTTGAAACATTATTACATACCTCAGGCAGGACAACAAAATCAACATGACAAATAGAGCCTAAATGGATGTCAAATAAAGCCTAAATAGATGGCAGTTCAGCCAAAATGAATGACAAATAAAGCCTAAGCCGATATATGGATGTATATTGAATACAATTTTTCACAGACATGATACATTTTTGTGACATAATTTGAGGAGTAATACAAGACCTCCCAATGTGAAAACTGTACACCAAAATTCGATAGCCATATTGCCAAGGATAAATGAAGGAGAATCTGAATATCATCAATATTTGGAGACTGGATTCAATTTGCCAAATGTCAAAGAAGTGGATTATTTATTGCCTCATAGGTGTAACTCAGAAACTGTACCTTGGTGTACAATGTGAATACATCGGAGATTTTACTGGATATTTCCTTTGGCTTCTTGATTTAAAAAACTCATTCTGTTATTTATTAAGAGTAGGCATCTTTGTCGTATTTGGCTTTATCTGTGACATGTGAAACCAGCATGTGAAACCTCATTTTATCAAGCAATCAATGTACAAGTGGCGCTGCAGTATATTTCCCTGCCACAAAGTATTTAAATATGACTTATGAGACATTTCACATTTTAAGCCAATCACAAAACTGTAAATAACTATTTGTATATTGTGTAGAATAGTCTATTATTAAGGCTATCGGTCAATTTTCCAATCTCTGTCAAATGATGCCATTCATTTTGTTAATCAGGGTGCAATATATGTCATAAAGAGATTTGTTTGAAATCAACATTCAAGTTTTCTCAAGATGGAATGGGTGAAGGCAAAACAAAATGAATTGTGTGATTTGACAAGCATTGATGATTTGAGCCAAGCCCTGAAGTAAAGAAATATGGGAAATTATTATCATTATGTGTATGAAACACTGCTGTAAAATAGGTCAACATGGAGATTGAAAAAATGTAAAATGCTTAATTTCGGTAAGCCTCCATCTTTGATCAGCTAGTAAAGGTGAATGCAATTTAGAAAAAACATCTTTAATAATTTATGTTATTCATTTTAATTCAAGTGAATCTATTTTTTTGTTGTCAACTAGAATTGTTGTCTTTTATTTGTTTGTTTATTTTTTCTTTGCACAATACCTGTTTGGAGGACATTTATTTAAAAAAGTTTTAAATTTATTTGTTTTTTTCAGCAGCGATCTGATCCACTTGAAAAAATATTTTAGGTGATACTTTGAGAAATACCATAATTTGGTTGTGTCAACTGAATCTAAAAGGGTAATAATGGACTGCAGCATAACATATTTCAATTTTCTATGTGTCCATGAAATATCTTATGCTGTAATGCTGAAGATCTCACTTTTATAACTGTATAGCGTAAGCATGTTTAACCTAGATAAAAACATCTGTTTCAAATTCATAATAGGATCAAACTAAATAATTAAATTGACTTGGAACATTTTGGGGGAAAAGTGATTTTCCGAAGCCAACAACTCATCACATTTTCAATATTGATATATAGCATTGAGAAATAATCTCCCTTTAATTTCTGGCTAGAAATTAATTTAAAACATGTAGATTTGAATATTGATGTGGGATGTAAACAGATATTTAAGTTGTTATACTTGGGCCAATCACTAATGTTTTCAATTTCATATTACTACAATTAGACATATAAATAAAGAAAAATATAGCATATTGGAGCAGATGTTTTATGATTTCTCCCAATTTATCTTGTATAAAACTTAATTTATTGTTTAAGACATTTTATGATTTTAATGTAAAGCTCAAAATACTTGTAATCTTTAAGTTTTTATTATTTGTTTGTATCATTTTACATGCATTAACTGGTTTTAAAAGTGTCTAATTAGCCAACCAATGACAAACATTGTGTAATTTATATGAGCACATTTAGTATGTTTTATATAATAATTCAACACTCTGTACATAGTCCGTTTATATGTACATGTAATATATACAGTACAGAATATTGATGAGAGCCCCTTGTAGTACAGTCTCAAGTACATGTCACGTGTTGCATGGTGTCATGAATAACAAGACACCCTGTACATGTATTTCTGTGCAAAAGTACATTTTACAGGGTGGTACAGAAATTGGGTCATCATTTGTCTTGTGTAAAGCATACATGGTGTCACACCAATTAAGCTACAATTTATCTGTATACAGCACACATTGTTTTGAAGAAAACAGAATTTAGTCACAGAAGTATTTCAGTACAGCCTTTTTGGTGTCTGAAAAATAAGGACACATTTGTTCCTCTCTTTTAAAACTTGGGAAACATTCATGGTTGTCATATGATTGTATATCCTTGTCATGAAAAAAACAGGTTGATATATAAATGTCTGTTATTTGTCATTAAATAGCACATGTTTCTTGTCATGAAAAAAGCTGGGATTGATGTATGATATTTTGTTTCTTGAATCTACATGAATGTCATAGAGCAATACTTGAGAAACTCAAATATGACTTGAGTCTGTGACAGTCATTTACTACAATTGAATTTCACGAATTGCAATCTATGATTTTCTAGACTATACGAGGTGTTCCATATGTTTCAGGAATGATGCTGTATTTTATTGGGTTTCTTTCTTTCTGGGAAACATATGGAACACCCTGTATTCTGAATGACTTCTTTGATGATTTGTGGAATATTTGATGCACATCAAATGAGCTGATTATTTTGATGTATTGTGGAATTTTTGACATACTACATGTATCATTTGCTGATCTAGAATTGATAAGAGTGCACAGGCCAATGTATGAACATGTGTTGTGATCACAATATAGATATGATTCATGAAGTTTTGACTCAATACAAGATTAACTAACTACCATTTTTCTGAACTTTCGGGCAACTAACAATTTAAATAGTATTCAATTGTAATATGTAAAATTATTTTCAATTTTATTAGAAATCTAGTCTCAATTCAAAGTAGATGATAGTCATACATGTACAGTATGTATGTAGTGTGCTATTTGACTCCGCACAATGTGTTGTGAATCGTGAACTTTTGAATAACATTATGCTTTATGCTTACCTAAAAGAGTCATGTAAGATACAAATGAAGTTTCTTTTCGTTTTTACTGACACAGACTGCTCTGGGAACCCAGATGCTAAATCATGAATTTTTGGACATTTCAAATTTCATTTTGTCCTAAGTTGCTGTTTTTTCATGGACATCAAAAAATAAATATTTTCTGTTTTTTATATAAACAGTAAGGTGGTATTAGAATTTTGAAGGTTTTTTGTCAAATGTAAAACATATAAAGTGAATATAGACATGTTAATGAGCTGCTATTACCATGTTATTTTAAGAGGATGTAAGAAATCTGAATATGATGTACAAAATCTTATCATGATTTTAAAAATAAATCCACAGAAAATATATAAATATGATAAGATTGTGTTTGTTAAGAAGACTATTATAATACAAGTGTCACTTGCAGTATATAATCTCATTGTTCTAAAATTTGTTTCAAAAGTCAACCTTTTTCGAAAAATGTCTCGAATAACTTTTAAGTAATATTTTTTCATTTGCAGGGGGCCTTTACGGATTCTCAAAATGAGACAAATACTCTTCCTGGCTTAGTTGATACGTCAGAGAAGATACCATCTGTTACTTGTTGTCTTTGATCATTTGTCACATGATGCAATATAATCTACGACCTAGATTTGACAAGATTTCATGAGTTCTTTAGCCTAGACTTATCTTTGATGTCTCCATAGTCTAAATCAGCCATCTTGTGGCCATTTTGGAAGTCTTTAGATAAACCTTGTCATCACGATTCCAGGAAAATCACTTGGTAAGAAGTTCTAGAGCTGATCAACTTTTCGGCAGCCAAATGCCGCAGCCATCTTGCATTCTGGTGACCATTTTGGAAGTTTTTTGGTGGACATCTTGCTTTCTGGATCAACAAGCCCACACTATTATGTTTTAGGTACGATATTCGTAATGTTCAATATGTGACTTGTTCATCCACAGAGGTGTATTTGGTGTCTAGAAAGTAAAATCAATTCCCTAGAGCGTGTGCTATATGGTATCACCCTCCGATATTGCTGTAAAACATAATATCTTCGTTTCCTTAGGATAAGGTCACCATTTTTCATAAAAAGGTCTGTTTTATTCAGCAACAAACCGACTAATGTATACAATTCAACTAAGTAAATTTTTACAAAGTATTTTGAAAGGATTAAACTAAATAACTGTCATTAGATGTTGTATCAATTTTGTATTACATGTATAATGTATATGTATTTATACTCACAGGTGTGGGTGGAAATAAAGTCTTAACTGAAGCTAAAGATGAATAGACTGCTGGTATCTCAGTCACTGTAACAGCTTGTACTAAATGCCTTATATTAGTAACCGGGACAGAACAAGTCATACACCTCTTTTTTCCTTTTTCAATTCTCAATAATTTTTTCATGAAATTTTCACTGGGAAAACTTTAAAATATTCCTAATATTTCATTATAATTACAGCTTTTTAAAAATGATGGCCAACTTCTCTTAAGGGGCAGTTTTGTTGGAATGTAGGACAATTGTAGCAGTTATTGATTTTGAGTGCAAGCTCATGAACTGATTTATGTACATTAATTTTTAATCATATTTCATCTATTTCATGTAACTAATTAGTTTTGAAGTTTATCCAGTGAAAATTTCACGAATAATTATTGAGAATTGAAAAAGTTATCTGGAAAAATAGGTGGATGACTTTTTCTGTCCAAGCTACTATGTTGTCCTTTCATTCACTCGTAAAAGATTCTTGTTTGACATTGATATAGGAAGTGTTGAAAGTAATGCGGAGGCCAGCAATTTTCATCGTGTTTTGGATTATGTACAGTATTTACGTGAGCTACATGTATTTCGGAGTCAAAATTAAACACTTCAATGTTTTACATTGGTTACCATTGAGGAATAAGATGCTTAACCTTGCAAATGATGCCAATGCACAATCTGTTTCAATGACAGAGCAGGAATATATTGACTGCTTGTCAAATGGTGAATGGATAAAACGAGACGAACTGAGCAAAGAAATGGAGAAGATGATTTATGTACCTGATAAAGCTGCATTGACTGTACCAAATGGACAGTGTGGAAATGTGGAGACATCCACTAATAGACGTAGGGTGCCACATCGTGCACTTTGTTTCCCAACATCTGAAAATGCATGTTGCTTTGAGAATCAGTGTCAAAATATGACAATTGAACAATGTCAGTGTGAGGGATGTTTAGATCTTAGACAGAAATTGATAGCAGAAAAATATAACTGGCAGCCTAACTCTCGATAATGTCAAATGAGGCATTATGACCAAATTTCAGCATGTGAAATGTTTGCCCGAAGGAATGTGAAGCGTGTTATTTTTGTGGGAGATTCTCTGTGGGAGACACTTCTATGAGGCCTTTCTTATTCTCCTCAGTGGACGCATGAAAGATGGAGCATTACGTCTACATCTGACCACTACACCAGGTACAGCATGAGGTTATGTGGGTGTCATTGTTTGTGTCGCCCTGTAGCTTGAGCAGCGCACACTTGTTCCATCCCACTTTGGTGGGGTCACCTGGTAGTTATACCTAGGATGAAGAATTCTTTTCTTCATCCTAGGTTATACATAATGTTGAAAAACCCAAACTAGCAATGAAATTAGGCACATTACCGATGATGGGACAAGTGAATACAGTAACACCAGCAAAATTCTTTATTAGATTCCTGAGAAATTGTCAATCCCTAATTGTGGTGTAGTATGGTTCGATCATGTTAAATCTTTTATATTCTAGGTAAAGTGGAGAAATGTAGATATCATTTACAGTTTGACCACGAGGACACGGACTGTCGATTTTCGATTGACAGAAAACAAATGGTATGTAACAAAGCCGTTGAGTTGACATTGGCAGAAGACAATCGAGTAGAATTGTTACAAAGATCTCTCAATCTGATTAGAGAGGAAAACAACCAAGTGATGCTATTTTCCATTGGTATACATAATCAATATAATTTCAGTAAAACACAGTTAGATGTTGAAAAATACGTAAAGAATTTAGGTGGAAGCATCTTCCAGCATAATTCTCTGACAAACCATACAAGATCACGAATGCTGTTTATGACATCACACTATCCGGGCCTCAGGAAAAGAGTCCGTCATTTGAACAATCATTTTGGGATTAAGGCCCTGTTGAATTACAATGGCAAAATGAGGAAATTTCTTGCAAAGTACAACATTCCAACCTTTGACACAATTGCAATAACTAACCATACGTTTAGCTTCGACGGCACACATTTTGGTTTTGGACTTAATCTCCAATTAGCTCATTCTCTGTTAAATTACATAAGTCAATTTGATTGGGGTCATGGAGAGTAATGTTGTTGACAACAAAATTCATTAAATGCAATGTCACTGTAATTTTGTATATTTGTATTCGGGGAGTGATTCATTGAGACAGGATGGGTCTACCATGTGGACACTATTTGCCAATATGGCAATAGAATGAAGTTTATACTATAATTAAAGGGGATGATAGTACTGAAACATTTGTAAACACATGTTAAAGATATATGTATTGCTATTTATTTAATTGCTAAATTACTGTATAAGTGGTATTTAATCCGAGTGGTTAATTTTACGAATGGTCAAATTTCATCATTTTCCTAATTTTAATTTTCCTAATGACAAGAAACCTCCCATTGGATAACATTATAAAGACAATATTTCCGACATTTAATTTTCCGAACCTGGCAAATTTAGGAAATAGGCAAATTAAATGATTAGGCAAAATTACCACTTATACAGTATTGATCTGTTTATTATTTGTTATGCTTTTTATTTGTAAAGATATCCTTCTAGTTCTCATCATTTTGAATTTTCATTGTATCAGTAAATAAATTAATCAAGTTATGAATCACTTTTTAGGGGATTACATTCATTGTTGAACAAAAACAAAAATCCTGTTTAGCCTATCATTTGTTTACTGTAGATATACTTATTTTGACGCTACTTAATTTGACGGATTTGCTTAATTTCAAATATTGGTGCCTTTTTAATTTGGCGGATTCAGGACTGAAATTTAATTTTTGTAGATGTTTATGTCATTAGGACAGGTGTTTACTAAGATATTTTCTGTATTTCTTTTGGAATAATGTAGAATTGATGACACGTTGACAGGAAAAGGGGCCCCTGGTACCCTGGAGTTTAATTTCTGTAGTGCATTGGACAAAAATTCCAAACTGAAATTTGACGGATTTTTAATTTGGCGGGTTTTCTGAATCCGCCAATCCATCAAATTAAAACGGGAGCCAAATCAAGTGTATCTACAGTACTTATCATCATTTATAGAGATATGATAGAAATTACAAGAAATGGTATGTAAAAAAATTGGCAAAATTGAATTTTTTGGAAAGAGTCTCCAATATTCAGATATTCATGATTTTAACTTTTGCAACATTTTGTGCTTATTGATAAAAATCAAGGTCAGTGGTAAAATCAACAATGATCAATATTATATAAACAGTTAGATAAGCATTTTTACTATCCTTCAGGTATTAAAGTGGCCCAATAAATAATAAATTATAAGTTGATACCAAAATTGCAGTAAGTAAGTACATGTATGTTGCTTATCTTTCATTCTGGAATCACATCACATAACAGAATTAAGAAAAACAATTAGATTTAATTATCAAACAAGGATAACTGTGTAAGTTCATATATTTAATTTATTCAACTAAAATAACTTCATAATTTATTAAGTTATATGTACAATCAATGTGGAATACATTTGTGTATAAATAACTTAGTTACAAGTCTAGTTGTAATAACATCATAATTTATAATATAATATTTATATATAATAAAAATAATTGATTTAGATATCGTTTATGTATATACACATGTGTACAAAAATATCAATCATTGATTGTAAAACAACTACTGTATTTTGGTATTCCTCTTACGTCTATGTAGCAGTGAAGACACGTACTGTACATATAAGTGGTAACGTGGACACATATACATGTATGTAGCAGTGGACACCACTATTCTACATGTTTATGGCAGTGTGGACTCATCTACATATAAGTGACAATGTAGACACATTTACATGTACATGTATTTATGTAGCAGTTTTGAAACATCTACATACTGTATATGTGGCAGTGTGGACACATCTGGAAGTGTGGACACACATATTACATGTATGTGGTAGCGTGGAGACATCCAGAAGTGTGGACACACATAATACATGAATGTGGTAGTGTGGACACATCTGGATGTGTGGACAAACATATGACATGTATGTGGTAGTGTGGACACATCTGGAAGTGTGGACACACATATTACATGTATGTGGTAATGTGGACACATCCGGAAGTGTGGACACACATATTACATGTATGTGGTAGTGTGGACACATCTGGAAGTGTGGACACACATATTACATGTATGTGGCAGTGTAGATACATCTCAAACTTATATTACTTGATGGATTTCTCTTTATGCAAAGATATTCCAGCAGGACACATATAGAATAACTGTTAATCACTCAATGTCACTTGCATTGATCCACAAATTCAAAAATTCGGTGATGGGAATCTTTGATAAGTTAAACATTGCACCATTACAACAGTCCCCACAAATTCATTTGTTCGATATTGCAGTTTTCAAAGTATAGTAACAGGCCAACGTTGAGACCTGCCTGTTATTGTCAATCATACATCTACGCTTTGCTGCATGTCTGCAGATACTATGGCTTGTGTCCCTGTTTGTCCCGTGACAAGTTTATGAGCAAATTCAGGTTTATTAAGGCTGAATGATGTCATTGTTCTCAGGTAGGTTTCCCTGTTGATAGAGAGAGCATTTCTTTGAGGAATTCTGACTGTGCATCTAGAACATACTGGAAATCTATGTCTCTGTCTTCATCTGAAAAACATTATCACAGGTTTTTTTTAAATTTTTTGTGCGACACTTTAGGAGGCACATTTTTTTTTTTTATAAAATACATTGAGGAGATTTTACCCTGCGCGCAGAGTGTCGTTATAAACTATCCTCTGTCTTGTATAGACAATATTACAGTTTAGCAGCCCCACCCCAAAGATTGATGCCTGTGACAGCCCAGGTAACAAATCATTTCAAATCTCCCACGCTGACCCTTTTTCAACCAATCAGTCAAGTGGAAGGAATGCGTGCTGAATACATGTTCATTAACTATGCGGTGATATCATAGGAAATGACCATATGGAAAGTCGTCCATATTTCGACGACAAACTCTGACTGGCTCAGTGAGATCAGAGATTTATTGTAAACTGAAAGAGTGAAGATGAAGCTCTCATTTAAGAAATGAAGTCGAACGAATGCAAAGGGTACAGAGATTTCAATGTGGGGAGAGGCCTATGCTGTACTTGTATTATACATGTATGGCTTCCTTAAAACTATGATTTGAAACTATCGAAATCTAGAGAACTTTTAATTTTAAGCTGATATTAATATGCATGGATGTACACTCTACAGTTTACAGAGTGACAGACAGACCTCTTACAGTATTTCCTTACTTGCTGACAGTTTACTAATGAGTAGTTGGATTTGATAGAGAATGCACATACCTGCATCAACAGAGAATTCATGTAGATCAATTATAACCTCTCTGAAGGTGTCAATGATGCATGACATGAACATCTGCTTGTCTTTTGAGCTGTCCAGGATAGAGCTGATTCTGTGGACGATGGCTGTCACCCAAGTCATAGGGCAATCTTGCTTTATACACACCTGTTGAATATGTGAACATTGGATGAACGGAACTTATTTTCTGAATACCTTGGTATTTAGGGGAGGCATCAAAAGTTCGATGTCAGATAGAAAACTAAATATATCTAGTTAGGGGGAGGGGGTTCAAACCCATTTCAGTTTGCTATCCGACAAATTTCAACATTTCAAATTTTTGGCAATTTCGACTCAGAATTCCTTGGAATGGTTTAAAAATAAAGATTTTACCTGATGCTTTCTTCGTCAAGATCATTCCCATGGATTCTATTCTATCAATAGTTGTTAAAAGCCACAAATTAGGATAGGAATTAACAAAAAAAACTAGATCGTGTTTAGCAATAATTTTTCAAATTTTCAAACCGGAAGTCACCAATCAACTTTCATGGTATTTAGTTTTGGGGGGAGGGGGGTGTCAGAGTCAAAACTAGATTTATTTAGTTTCCGATCCGACATCGAACTTTTGATGCCTCCCCTTACTGCACAAAACTCAAGTGTATCCTTGTCTCCCCCAACAAAGTATAACCACAATAACACAGGGGCTTGAATCACATGAGGGGTAGTGATCTCCCTAACATAAGTGCAACCAGGTGCCGCACAGCTCGGACTCTGTTGAAAATTCAGTTACTATCACCCTGTTGAAAATATGTTTTCACCATGTCAAAAAGATTAAGTATCAAGGAATTTCAACCTGTTGTGATTTTGTTGAGAAAAAATTGGGTTTTCACTGAGGGAAATACAGTTTTCAGCATTTTAAGTTACAAATGAAGCTAACAATTCAAACTCAAGTATAATTTTAGAATCTGAGATACTTGTGTACAGATGTAACAAGAAATACCAAAACCTACCAGACACAAAGATGTAATGATACTAGCCAACTCAGCTAGCCTGCCATTCACAGCTTTACTTCCCATCACTTTCAGTGTCAGTTGGTCACCACACTGGAACAGTAGATGAGCAACATTCTCTGCTAACCAATCATCTGGTGAGCCTACAAAAGGTATTTTTCATTTAAGATGAAATATAGAATTGCTAAATTGACAAAATGTTATCATTATTATTCAAAAGACTGCTTTTAAAGTTATCTGTAGTTCTTGACTGAGGGTTTATTCATTGATAGTATTACCATAGTAACAAGCTAATACATCTACATGCTAATCACATCTTCCTTGCCAACAGGGTTGCTATGTGTTATATTTTGCTTTATGAAATAATTAAGTTTTTTTCTTTATGACATCATAATCAACTAAACTCATAAAATATTCACCAAGATTAAACAAAATAAAACAATGAAAATAAATGACTTATGACAGGATCTTTTATTGCACTCACAAATTATGACATCACAATAAATCAATATAAATGTATTACCAAGGATATAAACAAATATGAAAAAAGAACAATCATTCGAAATTCATAGAAATAGTGAAATGAATTGAATACTGCAAGAATGAGCCTGAAAACTACAATACAGAACATGGTAAATGTGAATGTTTCCAAGAGGAATTAACACTTATTACAAGACAATGGAGAATAAATTCCTCATAAAACTGATGTTCATTGGGGACTCAACAGTTGGGAAAACATCTTTGATATTTCGCTATGTCCATGGCATCTTCAATGAAATGTACCTGGCCACAATAGGGATAGACTTCAAAAAACGGACAATAGAACTCCAGGGAAAGAACCTTACAATACAACTTTGGGATACAGGTGGCCAAGAGAGATTCCACTCCATTACACAAAGCTACTACCGTTCAGCTATGGGGATATTTCTAGTTTATGATGTCACAAATCCAAATTCATTTTGTAATGTGGAAAAATGGATGAAAAACATTGAACAAAGTGCCAAAGAAGATGTTGTGATATTTTTACTGGGTAACAAAGCCGACTGTATTGAGACGCGACGGGTGATTAAAGATGTAGGCAAAGCTAAAGCAGCAGAACTTAATTTAGATTTTCTAGAGACAAGTGCAAAGACTGATAAAAATGTGAAAAAGGCATTTGAGGAGATGACAAAGAAGGTAATGGCAAAAATACCAGAATGGGTGGAGGAAACAGTAAAACTAAATGAAAAGGAATCTAAAGAGAGCAAATGCCCATGTTGACTTACCTTATAAAACATGCAATACAAATAGCAAGTTTCTGCATCTTAATCAGTTAATGTAAATACTGAAAACATAAATAATTGATCTTATAAGAGTTACTCTTAGCATGAAGGCCCGTAGCCAGGATTTGCCAAGGGGGTTCAGTTTTCAAAAATTTCCAGGGGGTTCACATTTGATAGTTTTGGCCCAAATATGGCTAAAATCACTTGAGAAGTGCTAAAATGGTGAAAAACTGCATGATTTTGAAAAAATTTTTGGCCAGGGGGGGGGGGGCTACAGGCTACGGGCCTGGCATGGGCTAGTTGAAAGCCTGTGCTCTTAGGTTCTAACACTTTAATTACTGTAAATCTATTCAAAATTATAATAATTCACTATCAAATCAAATCATAAATGAAAATAAACCTCACAATAAACATGCTTTACTTAAGAGAGTTTGTTTAAAAATAATAAATTTGTTTAAATAATAAGTTTCTTAGGGCCATTCCATAAAAATGTAGAGGTGAGTTGCAAATGCAATGATAAACATTTTAAATTGTACTGTGGGTAGTCAAGTAGTCAGGTAGCCAAGTACTTGCAATTATTAAGAATGGGGCCTTCAAGAAGGGGTATTGGGCTTTTAAATGGAATAGCCATTTGTAGCCTTATTCTGTTATAATAACAACAAAATATTTTTTTATCAATTTCAACAGTTTTATTGAAATCTATCTTACTTGTGATCTCATCAAGGACACTGATGATGTCATCTTCTGACCACTCCTTGCCTTGAGTGTGGAGAAGACGCAGTATGTCAGCAATATCTCCAAAGCACAACTTGGCTTGGTGTCTATTTGCTGGACAGTTCTCACAAACATCATACCATTGAATCTCCTCTGGAATGTTTTTTTATAATTATAGACAATTGTTGACCCCTACAGTCATACCATCATTTTCTTCATTCAAGACATATTGCAGCATTAATAACCCTAAGACAGTAAGATATCATTTTCTCAAAGACTGGATACTTCTCTAAGTTCATATGGTACATGCAGCATTTCTCTTGTTTACAGGATGTTTATTTTGTGCCATGATGAGTAAAACTATTTCAGTGGACAAGGGATTAACATGACAAAATGTAACAACCGCAATTACAAAAGTGTAACCATTTTTTACAGATACTGATCATACTGAATGCCAATGACAAAAATGGTGGCTTTAACAATATTGATTTATTGACATTATGGTACTTTTTGAATATATGTATATGTGCAATACAGGTACACCAAGTGCCCTACTTTACCTACCTGCTGAAACTGGTCCATACAGGAGAAATAGGAGTCTAGCCTGATGCACCATGGGCCATGGCTTTAATATGCGAGTTATCCAGAATATCCTGTCTTGTACCTTTTCCACTTGGTCCAGGAACACCCTCCTGTAGAATAATCTGGCATGGTACTCATGCTTAGGGTTGGAACCTTGACAGATAAAAACACAATCACATGCAACTACAATCCATGTTATACATGAAAGAAACAGACCATAGCCTGAAATATTCATTTATTCAATTAGGAAAAACAAGCTCCTACATATTATTCACACTTATGAGTACATCCATGTAAATATATACATGTCTTTGCAAGGGGGATGGCAAATATGTTGTTTCATTGAAGCAGACTAAGCAGTATGAGATTTTTGAAGTAATTACATGATTTTCAAATATGCAATACACCCTACTGAATTTTTCTCCATCTATTTAAAGTCCTGAACGCCATTAGAGATGCTAAAAATAAATTCTGCTAAAAAATAGTAGTGCCTTAATGAAATCCCACCTGGTTTGCTATTGACAATAATCCCTAAATTTTTCCACATATATGAGTTGATGCTCATCGTCTCAAATGTTCTAATGAGCTCCATATCATCCCATCCATTGAGCACCGTATGCAGGAACTTGCCAAAACACACCAAGGCAATACAGTGAGTGGGATCTGTACACTTGTCTGCATTGCCACACAGATACTGAAAAAGATTAAATACCAATAAAACTAATCAATCTAGATATGTTCATTGAGCTCTTCTACCCTTGTTTGTACCTTGACTGCAGAGGTTAGTTCAAACTTTTACTATTAACTTAAAAGTAACAAAGTTCTCTTGAAGAAGCAGCACCAAACGAAATTAAAAGGGTACTCTGTTACACTACATGTAAAAACAAACCTTCGAAAGGAATCTTTCCACAATTCTCAGTCTATCTTTAGTTGTATACAGACAGGTTGATCTTTTCATTAATAGCCCTGAAACAATGAAAGTAAACATGTAAACATGAATTGCAGTGAAATAGCAATGTGGAGCCTAAGTTAGAAACTTTGAATCTCCAGTATAATTATCATTGAACACACATGGCTTGTTCTATTATCTGGAAAGAAACGAATTTCCCACACCTCAAAAGTTAATGTCTTTACATGGAATTATTTATATAATAAGTTAACATCAATGGAATACTCACCCAGTTTTTTGAACTGTTCAACATATGTGATCTGGTCCCTAATGGACATGACAGTGTGTGTGAGAGGTTTGGACATCAGGTGCCTCTTGGCATTGTTGGTCAGTCTATAAACCTCTATCAGGTTACGCATATTTTTTGAGGAGATTGTCAACATACTTAGATCTTCAACTAAAAATTAAATATCAGTGTGATCAACAGATTTTTTGTTTGAATATATTTTCAAACCATTACAACTTGGTGCATTCTGTTTGAATTATTGGAAGCCAATGTCTCAGAATACATTTGACATTTTATCTTGTGTACTTTTTTATTAATATCTATATGTCAATATTGTTAAACAGAGATGTCAGTTGTGAAATGTAAAGTGTTGAAAATAGGAAAATGTTAAAATGGTGCTTATGTCATCTTGTTTGTGTCCATTTGATCTTTATTGCACATCAGTGCAATGCAAAAAATGTGTTTTATTGAGTGTGATCAAATAAACAATTCACATCATACCTGGAATGTAGCTGAGCAGGTGAAATTTCAACTCAAGGGGGAGAATTTCAAAGTAACCAAGAGGTCCATCCTTTATTCTTTTCTCAAAGGTTTCTGCTTTTTCTTTGCTTTCTAATCTGCAGGAACGCCTGATCTTCTTGCAGTGAAAGATCTGTGAAATACTGAGGCTTCCCATCATAATGTTTTGGAAGTCCTAAAATTGTAATATGAAAAGAATTATAAGTCATCCTAAAACTTTGTGAACATCATCAACTATAGATACAATCAACTAAATGAACATTAACCCAAGAATTGGTTTTCTTGAAAATATGAACCATTGGCATAATATGCATGAGTGTTGACATGGGGGTTAGAAGGGGGAGGGGGTGTGTTGGGTGCAAATGCACTCACTCTGAAACTGGCCAGAAAGAAACCAATTTAGTTTTGTAATAAATTTAAATTAAGAATTAATACCATGAATAAAAAAAATAATAAAAAACCTTAACAAGAAAACCAGAAGGCTGATAACACTAGATTGCTAGCCCGTTTTCTCTATTCTAGGTTATCAACATCGATGACCTCTATTTTCAATTCTGTAGCCTAACAAAAAATATAGGTCAATGATGTTGATAAATTCTAAATATTTCCTCAATTGAAAGATGATTTCATTTTCAGAAACAACTCAAGACAATTTAAAAATTTCGTGATTTCTCCTGGGAATTTTTCAAAAGTGTTTGCTTTTTCTTGAGCTTTCACTGGACATAACTTTGGCAATCCTGCCTATGTCCCATCTCACCACCCTGCCACCAGGCCACATTACCTAGGCCTAAATAGGGAGAAAGAGGTTGAAGAAGAGAATTGATTTGCTTTCATTAATTCCAAAATTAAACACATGGGCGTAGCCAGGGGCCGTGAATTCGTATGATCCCCAATCCAATCTGGATAAATTTCATCTTTTGGGATAAATCTTGGATTACTAATCCGATAAATATTTGGTCAATTCGCACCATCCGAGGATTATGAGGGGGAATTCCCAAGATATCCAATTTGCATTGGAATTCAGATAAAATTTATCCAAAAAGTAATTGGATCATATGAATTCACATAGCCGTAGGCAGCGGGGGTTCGGTGGGTTCGAACGAACCCCCGGTCAGGATTTCCCAAAATATCATTTTGCGGAAAAATGCCTATAACCAGAAACATTAACTTACTGTGCTATTTGAAAACTACATATATGACCAGTAAATGAATTGATATTTGTTATGGTGAACACGAGAGCCTTATTTTGTTAAAACATGTCATAATGAAGTTACACTTCCCTCAAAACGTTTGGCAACCTTAGGAACGGGATGAGATTTAATTGTGGGAAGACCCCCAGAGCATGAGATTTTACAATAATTTAACAATTAAGCTGCTTCTTCTCGGACAAAATAACATATCTTGGGCAATGGCTAAATCAGTCCTGTGTAGGAATTTTGTTTTAAGCCAGTTTAGTTCTGGTCCAATACGAAGTTATTGAAAGTTATTGAAAACAATGCAGACGTCCCATACTCCGAATGATTTTTACAACATTGACGAAGAAATATCTGGAATAGTCGTAATATTGATGAAACACATGTTTTTTCAAATGAGTACATCTCTTTTTTGTTTTATTTCAATTAAAATTTAAAATATTTCTTGGGACGTCGCTGGGGCTGGGAAGTCCCCGAAACCAATTGCGTTAAATAATTAAAAACGTTGTGAAATGAATTATTTAAAAGCGTGTATCATTTATAAACACAAGCATTTGTTCAAATTTATTCATTCTTTCATTTGTTCAGTATTTACTACCCATCACTTTTTCAAAGAAAAAGCAATCATTGCAAAAAATGATTTTGTTTTTTTAGATTCCCTCCACTCATCTAAGAGATTGTATAGAATTCAAATTGTTATCGTTCCAGTTTACTTGCTCTCCATTTTTATGTTAATGTCATGATATGTTTAGCGAATAAATTACAAAATAAAAAACATTGGGGGACGGGGACGTCCAAAGAAATATTTTTGACTTTTTAAAACAAAGCATAACCGAGACCTACTTATTTGAATAACAGATGAATAACAGATTACAGAATAGATGTTTTCATCAGTAATATGACTATCCCGGATAGTTTAAAAAGCCTTCGTGTAAACGTTGTGAAAAGTTATCATCGAAGAACGATCTTTCGGAGTGTAGGGTGTTTGCGCCATTTTCAATAACCACGCATTTGATCCAAACTGGCTTCCAACAAAGTTCCTGCAAAATAATGATAAGCCATTGCATGAGGTGATTTATTTTGTCCTAGATGAAGTAGCTTAAGTTAAAGAATAAATTGTGCGAAATAGTTGATATTCCTTGGTAACAAATCATGCCCAGGTGTAAAATCAAATCAGAAAATCATTTATAAGTTGTCTGACTTTTTTGCACGTTGCCTGTTTATTTTACTTTGTGAACATTAAAGTTACAAAGCTACAAGGTTATTTTTGAAAATCATTTTTACGTCCTGTGTTATTTCAATGGGAGAGGTTTCTTGATAAAGCTGATTACTTTAAGACTTTGCTTAACGTAAATAAAGACATCATTTTTGTTAAATAAAATTCAAATACAATTGTCTACTTGATGAAGGTATTAAAATGGATTCTATTTTCCCTCCCAAAATAGTTTTTTCTTTACAAATTATGCATATAAGAATTCAAACTTAAAGATGCTTTAATACATAATCCAATGGGTTGGTTAGGATTGCCAAACTTTTGGAGGGAGTGTAATTGTACAAATTGCACAAAACTGTTTTTATTTGAGGAACCCTAATGAAGGGGGGGGGGATTTGTGAATAACATAAAAATAGAACCCCCGGTCACCAAATCCTGGCTACGCCACTGATTCACCACAAAAGCAATTTTGTAAAACTTGTTGAAAAAATATTAGGCTATGCCTTGCCTAACAAATTAGGCTATAGGGCTTAGGCTTAGATCTAGGGCAAAGGGGTGTAACGTCGAGGTGTGGGCTAATGTCCAGGGGTAATGTCTACATAAGAGACAGGGTAATATCGACACTTACTAATTAGAAGTAGAATTTCCGTTTTCTGCCATTTTTGTTTTCTGGAAAAATTAAAATCTCACAAGATCTCAAGCTTTGCAATCTATGCTATGCTTATCTACTACCGACGTCGTAGATCTACGACGTCGGGAGTAGATAATTGGGCCAGACAGGTTTGGTTAAGTCTATGCATGGGCTTTCAATGCTGATCTAGGGGGAAGCTATGTTTCTTTTCTCACATGAATCATGGGTTTCAACTAGATATAGAGCAAACAACAAGGTGTCGAAGTTACCCCGCATGTCAAAGTTACCCCAAAATGGTGTCGACATACACTCCTTCGCCCTATGCTTAGTTTGAAATACTTAGAATACAAATGCAAAAAATCACACATCCCTTGACAATTGCTGGCTAGGCCCTGAAACATGCAAGATCAGAAAAATGTGAATATGTCAGACTAGCCAAAGCTTACTTAGTCCTAGATCTTTTACTATAAGCTTAATTTTTCATGACATGAGATCAATCTCAGAAGTCTGAGAAGATTTTGATTTTCAAATTTGCCGCCAATGTAAACTTCGCTAAGATATCTAAACGCACGTAAAAGCATATAGCACTTACCAAGATTAATATCCAAAGTGTCAATATCAAAAGCAACAATAAATATCGTTACGGCCAATCATATAATCGTCTGCAAATACAGAAAAGTCCCGATGAATGAAAATCTTTTGGAAAATCTAAAATTGAGACTTCTCGTTTGAAGAGCTCTAAAGAATCAGAAGATCAGAGCGACATCTTTCAATAGACATTCAAAATATAAACACAATCTTGAGCACAACCAACTATCAACACCTTGGTTTATGGTTATACTTGGTCAATACACATATACACATGCCATAAGGATGATAAGGAGTATCTAACCAACAAACTTGAATACTGAGACAGCCTTTTTCTGAGCAAACGCTCCCCCCTAATCAATGAATAAATCCCCTTTACATACAGTCCTTTCACTTGAAACTTGTTGAGATGCTCGAGGTGAGCAAAATTGCTACAGAAAATATTTGTGCAAACTGTTGACAACTTCCTACCTTTGATGTCAAATATTAATTAGTGGATAAATCTAAAGATGGCAATGTGGTTTGTTTTGATCTGCAGGCAGAAGTGATTAGCTCCCACAAGGTGATGCCATTCTTTGCCAGTTTGAGAGTGATTTATCAGTATATTATTCATTATGTACAAATTGTACATCCATCTATGCCATCCAATCAATTTCCAGGATATGATGATGTGAACAAACACATTGCGTATGTTTGCTTAGAGCCGCACATGCACAAAGCAAAAGTTGAAATTGTGGAAATGGCAGTTGCTTATTTCAGTTCAACATCATCAATTCTAAACTACGGCTACAATACCCAAATTTTATGCGTTGTTATGACAATATTTAAAAAACATCAATTTTATGGCAAATGGTTCCATTTTTTAAAATTGGTCATAAAAGGTGACAATGGGCTGGCATCTCTTCTTTGGTTGGGTTGTAGGTCTACTTTAGTTCAATCCAGTCCCTATCTCAAAATTGGGAAAAAAATGATAATGCTATAGGCATGATAAGCCTAATGGTGAACAGACATACATTGTATTGTAAAATCCCATTGTGAAGCATTATAATATAAAATAGTACCATGGGTACTGGGCTCACTTTTGAATCAGGAGTCATAAGGAGGCTTTCTGTATTGATGTTGAACAAAAATAATGAAAATCAGAAACCCTATCGACAGAGGTTTAAAATGTGCCACTATTGTTGACGAACAGACAGATGGACAGACTGATGGATGGACAGACGGAGAATTGAGTGATTGCAAAAGGTAAAAATATGAAAAATTTAGTTTTTCATACCTGCCATACACATACTGTACTTCTACTTAATTTGGTGCTACCTATTTTGGCGGATTTCTTGTTTTGAACATTTGGCGACTTCTTAATTTGGCAAGCTTGCCATATTGAAATGTATATACGTGTACCATACTATACAATTAAAATATGAAATATTGAATCTGGCCGCTACTTATTTGGCTGATTTTAACAATTTGGCAGATCCGCCAAATTAAAGCAGCCATCAAATTAAGTAGAAGTACAGTACTTGTTATGCAGGAAAATCTGCAATAATTGAAAACATGTATGTTTAACAGCACAACTGAATAAGCTCAAACCCATTTTATTTAAAAATGGATTTCAAATTTTCTTATTAATTCTTTACTCATTGTGAATTCACAAATATAAAATTGTAAAACATGATGCATTCAAAGAATTGGATAAATACTGTAGTAAAATCAAAATATCTATCAGACTAAGCAGAATGTACTGTAAGCATTAAAAATTTATTCACACAACAGTATACAATTTAACAGCATATGCTTGACAGGGGCATGGCATAGTCAGATTCCAGTCAGGGTCAGGGGGGGTGTGTAATTGCCAATTTTTGGGTTTTCAGTCAGGGGCGGGTGCGATCATGGCATAAGCAAGGCATAAACTTCCTTCAAAATTGAGCTAGAAACTTCAAATAAAAAGCATCTTAAACCTCCTTTCTTCTTCTTCTGTCTAATTGTTCTATTTTTATTGGTTATAATTATCGCACCCATCGCACCTCCCCCCTTGGCTATGCCTATGCTTGATGATTCAATTCAGAAATAGCCTATCATAACTTTTGTTGCAATCTGAGCTCAAATCATTGCCATATCATTACTTCTATACTCCTTGCCATTCATTTGCTAATATAGATCTATTGGTGTTCATATATGCAAATTACATGTGCATGATTGGCCTGTGTCTAACCCAAACAAAGAGACATGTATTGTGAGACACTTCATAATACAGTCAATCTTGGAGCATCTGGTGCTGCAGTACCCTGTTTATCTAACCTTGAATACTCTCCAATCAGTCCAAGCAGTGATTCAGATGCACAATCAAAGTCAGACATCTCCATCCCATCAATGTGTGTATAATGATGCATATGGGCCTTCCGCTTGTACAGTTTAGTAAATCGGTCCTTCAGATTAGAGAATGTGTTGACGATGCAAGTATTATTGGCCAGGGTTAGAAGCGAGTATGGTTGACCAACTGGTGGTACATTACATAGTCCAGTTTTCCAACCTTCATTGTTCCAGCCGATGAATTTAAGAGAGGGTTTTAATCTGTCGATGTTGCGTCTAATGTCAGATACTTGAACATTGCCACGTACAATCAATGCACATGCAAGATACAAACTATGCTTAGGATCAGCCTTTATAAGTTGATGGTCTTTGGAGAAGGCCTCCGAGAACATTTGATCGAGACGCCTTGGGGGTAAGTTTGTGTCTGCGAGGGTGTACAGTGGAGTCTGACTGGACACTAAATAATGAAGCTTGGGAAATGGAACTAAATTCATTGAAATTTCATTCAAGTCTACATTTAGTGATCCTTCAAACCTTGCAGAGCTGGTCATATTTAGTAAGAGATTTGCAGCAATATTGTTCATTGCATCAAATGGTTGTTCGTTTTTTCCTTGGACAATTGCACCCTTGCTAGATGTGATACTTGGTTTACCAGTTGATGTTTTCACTTTGTTGACAATGTCTATCAGTGCCTGGTTTTCTATTGGCAAGACACAATCTGCATTTTCAGTCAACTGATGCATCGCAAGGACACTATTGTACGGAGAAGTAATGACATCATCATCAGCTGACGGATAGATTGCAGTGACAAATCGATATATCTCAGGATATTCCTCCTCTAAGAGATCCAGTATGTATGTTCCAACACCTGACCCAGTCCCACCTCCCATGGAATGCAATATGAAGAAGCACTGGAGGCAATCACAAGCTTCTGCTGCGCGGCGTACAGATTCTAATATCGCTTCTCTATATTGTGGACCATACATCTTGTGACCTACAGCCCAGTTATTTCCACTACCAGAAACATCTGATATCAACTGATTATAATCAAACACATCTCGTAGCGGTCCTTTCATAATTCCACTAACAACACCTTCTTCCATATCCACTAGAACAGCCCTGGCTTTCAAAGCACATATTTTACTTTTTGCATCACCAAGAGGGATGTCAGACGCATTCTCCCGACTACTGTCAACATTTCGGAAGAAACTACTAAGTGATTCATCGTAATATCCATTTTTGTTTGTATGTGCATGTTCTCTCAGAGCCAGATCCCAAAATCGACAACCAATTTGATTTCCACATTGTCCAACTTGAACCACTACTGACTGTGTCATGGTTCACCCCGAGTAATGGCTGCCTTTTACGCTTGGAGGGAATGTTTATAAGCCCATTGGGTATATGATTTTGCTACTTTACGGCTCTCTATGTCCATATTTCTATAAATTTAGTTGGATTTTATTTTTTAGAATTATTTATGGGCGCTGACATTTTGAAAATTCTTGCAATTTGATTGGTCGAAAGTTTTCATAGAAACAGAGAACATCTGTGTGAGGATACAAAACAAGTCGCTATAGCGTAAATGAATTATTCTACAAAATGCTTTCATTTTCATAACATATCTAGCCTCTGATATATCTAATTATGTTTGCATATCTTTTATCTCAGCTTGAACAATTAAAAAGAAAATCTCATTGGTTGGTGACCATAATAAATTTCAACTAATGTACCCAACTGTACTGCTCAGGGTGTCGACTTTTGGCTTGCAACCGAAGATACCTCAAGAAAAGCCGGAGATTGCCGAAGATTTTCTTTGCAAATAAAGTTGGCCGAGGGTACCACGAGTGTGAAAATGACGTCTCTAATTGGTCAAAAAGAGAGGCTCGGCATTCTCCGTCAGATTGAATCGGCAAACTTTGGTTGTATGGCTTACCTTCTGTTGTAAGGCTTACCTTCGGCTGCATGGCCCAACCTCGATTGATTGGAAAAGATGCTGCCCCGTACTGCTCAGTGATCAAAAATATAAGTCTCTTATGTGTATAACCTCCCCGATCTTGGTATTAACATTGATTTTGAGAGCATTGGACTTAAGGAAAGCAACCTCTTTCAGCCTACCAGTTTTCTCAAATTTCCTCTCAATAGATTGTCTTAGCTTTGCTGTCGTTATTTGACTTATCAATCCCTAATAAACACCAAATTGTACTTTGCTACTGCTAGGCTAGGCCAAGAGTTTATTATAGCTGACAAAATGGTATTATTTTGTTCACATGATCTGTTCACTTAATCAGCATCTTGCAAAAAATCCAATTCAATTATTTTTGAATAACCCAGATGCGAGTAGAAATAATCTTGATTTACGTCGTTAAAAATTCAAAATTCAGTCAAAGTAATATCATATTTGAATTCTACATGTAAAATTACATCTAGAAATGTGGTTTTAAAAAGTGTTTATCAACTTTGAAAAAATAATTTTCTTTGAAAATGTGACTTCTAGCTCGGGGAGATTCCCCATAGACCCCATGCTATAAAATCACAAAAAATGAAATATCTTTTCTTTTAGTGGACAGATATTTTGCTTTGCTGGACATATTTTCATGAGAATAAGTATCAGACACATAAGGGTTATATGAAAATTGAGCTTTAGGCTTCAGTCCCTTATCTCCATCTTCTGCCAGAAATCAATGTTTTGATGAGACACATTTTTAGCAACAAAAGACTTTGAAGTATTGAGTATAACCATTTCTTTCATGTTTATTTTACAATGCATTGCATGTTATCTATGTACAAAATATAAATACATTTATAAAATATAAATCCACACTTAAAAAACATCTACATATGGGCAAACTAGACTGCTAGATGTTCAAATAAACACAATTTTCAGAACACAATTTTGGTGGCTCACGTTTTTGCCGATTTACTGTGTAACTACCATCACTGAACACAATTCAATATACCAGAAGATGATGTCTTCACCAAAATATTGTATAAAATTGTTTTAAAATGTATTAATGTATCCAATATTGATCACAACTTAAAGTTTTAGACAGGTTATGCACTAGCTACATTTACCAATTTCATTCAGCAGAATTATTTGAAAACTAATACTCCACACAATTCAAAGGGGTGCACAATTAACCCAATTACACAATTCTGGTCACTTTAAATTCAAATAATGAATAAAATTTTTAAGTATTAATGAAATTGTTGGTTTACATTATAGTGCTTTGATGCACTTTTATTTTTACTTAAGTTAATGATATTTAACAGTACAGACAAAACTCCAGAAGATAATGACATAAGCTAGATTTTGGCCAATAGCAGTAATCAGGCATTTTGATTAGAAAAGAAATTAAACTAGATTCAAGCCAGTCATATTTTGAAAATAAAATAAATTTTTCATCATTCTAAGATTTATATGACATTAAACTAGATTCAAGCCAGTCATAGGTATAAGGATTTTGAATAGAATTTTTTTTTCATCATTCTAAGATTTATATGACATTAAACTAGATTCAAGCCAGTCATAAGTAAGCATTTTGAATAGAAATTTTTTTTTCATAATTTAAAGATTTACTCCAATTTATGACTCAGTCTATAACCAACAAGAACAATAGATAATAACTGCCTATATATTTACAATTATAAAATGATAAATTAGATGACTGAATCATTGAAATGTACATGTAAAATTATGATCTTTTAGATATTTTACATATTTACAAAACCTATTTATTTACCATTACAATTTCCCAATTGGCATAATTTTTTCATTATGCTTCAAATATACATTTCTAAAGTACCACCAGTCACATGCATACATTAAGTCCTGGCATGTAAAAACATTACGTAAACAGTTTGAAATATGCACACAATTAAATAGTAAAATCTACAAGATGCACAATAGCTTTACAATGATCAACAAATAAACACAAAACCTTAAATCTTATGTTGGAAGGTTTAAACTGAAATCTTCCATTCGTTTGATGAGCAGTGAACAACAGGGGAAATGTTCTGGAATTCCTGAATACAGTCAGGCTGATAAACTCTACAAATCCATAAACTGCTTAAAATTAACTAATTTCAGATGTTTTAAAGCTGTCAAAAAAACTCTTTCATGACTCTCTCAATGAAAAAGTAACTCAGACAAATTGTCTAGTCTTAGATTAAATGTACAGTAAAACTTGTGTAAAGTGAACATTTTTTTGCCAAGAAAAAACGTTCACTGTAGGTAGGTGTTCACTAGAGAGAGGGTAGTTTATACAGAAATCAGTGGACTATGTGCGTAGGAAGGGTGTCCACTAGGGACAGGTGTTCACTAGAGAGAGGTGTTCACTAAGACAGGTTTTACTGTATATCATCTTTTTCATGATTTTAATTCAACCATCAATTCTCTACTCTACTCTGCATGATGATATATCTATTCTTGGAGATTCCAATATGGAGGGAACATCTTGACAAATAAGTACTCTTATAAAGTTCCTTTACCACCCCTTGGGATGCAGTAAACATACAAACATTTTCTTATCGATGACAAATGATTCTTAGAGATTCCCCAACTGAAAATCATTTGGCTTTATTTCTCCAGCTGCAGCAAACAAGAAAATATTTTGCATAAAATCTATGCTTGGAGATACATGCACCATTCCCTGTCATCTCTCAGTATCTCCAGGCAGTTGTTATAACCTATAGCACTCTATACTTGGAGATCAATGTCGCTGATAGCTATCCATGCTTGGCAATTGTTATAGCCGACAGCTATCTATGCTTGGAGATTGCATGTACCATTGTCACTGTCACACTCTGAGAATCTCCAGGCAGTTGTTATAACCAATAGCTATCCAGTCTGGTTGAGTGGTTGACCACTGTACCTGATTGATCTCTCCAGATGCAGTATATGCTAGTATAGGGTCCTCTATTGCTCGTGGCATTTGTTGAATGTCCCATATTAATGCTTGATGATCGTCCGCTGAAAGATTTAAATGAAATATACATTTTTAGAAATGATATTAGAACCAAACCGAGGCTAACGTTTACTAGTGGTGCAACTCGCCAGAAAATGTCACTCAAGTAGGAAATGTAAAAACAGGCAACTATCTTGGACAAATTAAACGAGTGAGTGGCAAGTACTGACATTTGAGTTGCACCACTACTGTTTATTCTTCAGAATAAGAAAACATACTTCATGCAATGATAAACTGTTTTAATTTACAACCTTGACTTACCAAACTCAACCCACTTCAAACTTTAAATTTGACACACCAAGGGTGATGACCAGAACCAGTGTAACATATGTAGAAAATAAATGAACTTCATGATGCAAGACTATTTTAGTTGTTTGTATATCATGTCTTACCTGCAGTACATATGTGGCAGCTAGAATGAGGTGCCCAGGAGATAAAGTTAACACAGGCTTTATGGTTGTTGAGCCTTGCCACTGGAGTACATGGTACACGCACATCTAAGATTATTACCTAGAAATTATTAAATGGAAATATTGTTATTAGTACCGTACATGAGATTCATGTTTCTTATTCATGGTACAAATTGTGAAACTTTATTGGGTGGTATTATTTGGCATTTCAAGCAATTTTAGCCGTGTGTGCGGAATGTACAAGCCTCATTTTAGCCATTTTCAGGAAGATATTATAAGGTCAATCATAGTCAGATTTGAACTTCTGAGAAAGTTTTGATTTTGAAAAAATTGGTCAGTTTGAAGCAAGTTGAAAAACACCATCTTGACCCTTTTTGACCTTGGGAGGTCATTGAAAGTCAAATCTCAAATCTAAAGTCAGATTTGAAATTCTGAGAACTTGTAGATGATTTTGAAAAAAATTGATCAATTTGAAGCAAGTTAAAAAAAGACCTTTTTGGCCTTTTTTTACATTTGAGAGGGTTATTGAAGGTCAAATCTCTCAGATTTGAACTTCTGAGAACTTGTAGATGATATTGAAAAAATTGGTCAATTTGAAGCAAGTTGAAAAAGACCATTTTGACCTTCAGACAGTCATTGAAGGTCAAATCTCAAATATAAAGTCAGATTTGAACTTCCAAGGACTTGTAGATGATTTTGAAAAAAATTGAAATCACTCTAAACAGTATTTGTTAAGTTATTGGAAGTTTTTAGAATTTGTTACAGACGCTGGTTGCCAACCACCGTCACAAACACAAATAAAAACAGAGACCATAACAGTATGTCACAACTTTTGGTGGTGACATAAAAATCATAGTTAAACAAAATTCTAGATATAAGGCCAATTGATGAAGATTCTGATAATTACAAATTATGTTACACTCAAAAAAGTATTTGAGCTGATGTGACACCAACATCTCTTTTTAACCCTTTGACAACTAATATTTTGAAATGTCAATAGATGAATAATTTAATAAAAGTATCAATATTTTTTAGTTCCCTTATTTTCTTTACTGCAAACCAGAACAACGGCAACACCAAAGCGTAGCGAATCCCATCGAACAGCTATGGATGGCATTTTTACAAACAAAGTATATACCAAAAATGGCAGCCATTTTTCAAAATGGCCGCCTTCTACCAAAAGTGTCATTAAACCATGTGCCATGCTTATAACAAAATCGCTAAACTACTTTTCAAGTTATAGCAAAAAACGTTAAAATGGCGGCCATTTTTCAAAATGGCCACCTTCTACCAAAAGTGCCATAAGACAGTGTGCTGTGCTTATAGTATTTACATACCAAAAATAAACAAAATCGCTCCACTACTTTTCAAGTTATAGTAAAATATGTTAAAATGGGGGCCATTTTGCAAAAATGATCGCCTTCTACCAAAACTGTCAATAGAAAGTGTGCCATGCTTACAGTATTCACATACCAAATATGAACAAAATCGCTTCACTACTTTTTGAGTTATAGTAAAATATGTTAAAATGGCGGCCATTTTTCAAAATTTTTTTCAAAATGGCCGCCTTCTTTCAAAAGTGTCATATGACAGTGTGTCAAGCTTATAATATTCGCATACCAAATATGAACAAAATCGCTCCACTACTTTTCGAGTTATAGTAAAATACGTTAAAATGGCGGCCATTTTGAAAATGGCCGCCTTCTACCAAAAGTGTCATTAGACAGTGTGCCATGCTTATAGTATTCACATACCAAATATGAACAAAATCGCTTCACTACTTTTCGAGTTATAGTAAAATACGTTAAAATGGTGACCATTTTTCAAAATGGCGGCCATCTTTCAAAATGGCCACCTTCTTCCAAAAGTGTCTTTAGACAGTGTGCAATGTTTATAGTATTCACATACCAAATATGAACAAAATCGCTCCACTACTTTTCGAGTTAGAGCAAAATTCGTAAAATAATGAGTAAAGGCCGCCATTTTTCAAGATGGCTGCCATGTGCTTCTTTAATATCTACATTTCTAGCTTTATTAATGTCCTATATAATTTTTTTTACATCTAAAACATATTGCTATTACAGTTTTACATATCGTTCGATGGGATAAAAATAGTTGAAATATTTGAATGCCCATACATCATGTGACTAGAATTGATTATGTTACAATTTTAAACTGAGGGCATTTTGTAATAGTAGTTTTGAATAGGGTAAAAAAAGCAGTCTAAGGACTTATTTGGTTCATTCAAAACTTCAATAGGTTTATTTATGCCAATTTCTGTGTGGGTGTGTATATATCAAAATGTGTAGAAGCTCAATGTACTATGCAGAAAATTTATATTAGTGGAACTTATGGGATAGGCTTTTACAGTGAACCAGTAAAATGCATATAACTAAAACAGAATGTGGACTTCTGCTTGGACTGTTAATTGGATGTTTGTATATATATTTTGTTTTCAATGCAAGGTCATCAATAAAAATGAACAACAACTCCTGGATGGTTAACTTAAAAAGATTTACTATACAGCATAAAGAAATTGATGAATCAGAAAATGCTAACAAGACAGAACAATCTGTGAAAGATTCTATAGATAAAATGAAACTTAAAACAAAGCAAGATCCTATCGATATATTGCCATTTACCATATATGAGAAAGCAAATCAGAATATAGTGATATACAACAGAATGCCTAAATGTGGTTCTTCAACAATGATGACCTTCCTGAAGAAACTCAGTCATGGCAAGTTTAGAATGATGCATTCATATATATATGATCAGAAACAACTCAATGACACCAATGACATCCTTAATTTTGTGGAATCTTTTAAGGATTGTGTGTCAAGAAAATGTGTGACGGACCGCCATATTCATTTCGTAAATTTTAAGGACTTCGGATTCAAACAGCCAATTTACTTCAACATTATCAGAGAACCTTTTGAGAATTTGTTATCAGGATATTACTTTACTTATAAAAAAGCTAAGCCAAAGATTAAACATGCTGAATATTACAAAAGCCATAACAATCCAACCTTTGAAGAATGCATTAGAATAAACATAAACATTGTTAAAGATGTAGATGCTTGGTGTCGTCTTGGTGCAGTTGCCAAACGATATGTTGTATGGTTCTGTGGCCATGAAGCAATCTGTTCTACCAATATGACATATGGACTTCAAAAGGCCAAGCACAACATTGATAAGTATCACATGCTAGTTGGACTTACTGAGGAATATGCACTTACACTGAAGGCAATGGAGCGAATACTACCATCCTTCTTTCAAGGAATTGGACATTTCAATGCTTCAACTAGAGTGAACCAAATAGCCGAGTCAAAAAAGAAAAGGCCATCATCAAAGATGATAATTGAATATGTGAAGGTGAGGTTAAAAGAAAATTATGAAATATACTACTATGTGAAGCAAAAGTTTCATGCAACTTTGAAAAAGTTAAATGTGAGCTGAATATGAGAAAGCTGAGTCATACTATCCATAAATTAGTAGTATCATTAATAGTTAAACCATTAATAGTTTGTCATGGATACCTATGCCATTTATTACTAGAAATCGGCAACTCTAAGGAGTAGTAAATCCCAACGAACATTATGATTCTGTATACCATCTCCTCTACCATTGATTTGCAGACAATAAGACATAAACTGGAGATATTTCAGAATTTCCACCAATTTTGGGTGATCATTTCCTTCACAGAGGATGACTTGTCTGATGAGGAAGAAACTACAACAGAGGAATTCAAAAGGATGTGTGAAGCTGCTTTAGAAAGATTGCTTGTTTGACAACATGCTTAACCTTGACGTTAATACCAAAGATGTCTTTCTAAACAATTAAACATTCTTTGGATTTAAACACACAACAACAAATTGTATTTGTTGTTAGCTTTATCTTATGCTCTACTTTGAGTATCTGCAAATATTTCTTATGCACAAAGTAAAACAGTGTCAAACACAAATAATGGATACTATTCACAAAGACACATTTATCAAAGACTACAATTATAGACAATACATGTTCTTATTTGTTTGAACAAGATTTTGATTTTTAAGTGACTTAAATTAATGAAACTCATATTAACAGAGTGTATTCTTGAAGAATAGTACATGTACTCCCTTTAGTTTTCTGAGTTAAAATGCTGAATTCTGCACGTGAAATTAGTGAATTCTGCAGCTTCAAGTGGCTGATTAATGTATTTTCTAACGATTGAACGTAGTGATTGAGTTTGAAAATGATTTAATGCATTAACTGAAGTGTTATAACACTTATGAATTTGGCGCTATATGCGATACCAAGGCTCGAATTTGTTTGTTGGGTGTACTGTCGTGTGATTGGTCATGGTTTGTTCAGGTAAATTGGTCACTTCGGCTTCTTATGTGGACCAGATAGGTTGTTCACTTAATTTACCAGATATTTTATTTATTTTAAGGTAAATATTTGTTAATGTGGGAAAAACATTAGAAGGCATTTGTTAAATACAGTTAATATATTTCAATATTTTACATTAGAGCTTTGGAGCCTACACCATCATCAGTTTCAGCTTAGGATGTAGGTAGACCTCCTTTCTAGATTAGGTACCTCCTACCTAGATTAGGTACTTCTTACACTTCGTGAGAAGGGTCTCCGCGAAACTGACAAAAGTTCAAAACAACTTAGATATGTTATTCATTATCTCATTTTATCAAAGTAATCTTGAAACTTAAAAATTTGAAGTCTTTAAATGTGATGATTACTGTTAATTTTGACAGTTCATGTTTGGCTCACAGTTAAGTTACAGATATAGCCGCTGATATATTTGTTTCACATCATTTAGTAGAAAACGGAGAGATAAACTGTTAAGTTTAATTTTCTTTGCACATAGAATGTATGCCGAAACAGGTCAACGATGTATTGACTGAAAACATTTATTGCACATATAATTAAATAGTGTTCAAATGGCAAAGAAGCTACGTTAATGCTTGGTGCATTGATTATGGATAATCGAAATAATCTCCGAGAAATTGATTATTGTTTTTTCAGATAAAATAATGTTTAAATGGCTAAGAGGCCACGACAATGCCCGGTGCATTAGTCGAGAATCCCTGAGAGGGATTGATGATAGAGACGCAGAGAGATTGTGAAACCTGTATGATTTTGTATATTATATGGATTACTTTAATAAACGGGTCGCGCACAAGCCATCCACATTGTACTCGTGTGTTTTGTAAGTGTTTGAGAATGGGTGTTTCTTTTAGCAAAGCCACTATAAGTGTTCAATGTATATGTATTTGTAAAATAAATTCTTTGAATTAAAAAAGTTATGACATTATTAGATTTATCAATAATTACAATGCCATTAACAGTTTTGCAATTAATAGTAATGCCATCAATTTTTGTCCTACAGGTACCTACAGATAGGATAAATTGTTGATGGAAAAAATGTCACAACTGAAGTACATTGTAACTAAAACATTCGTCCATTCAAAGATTTATGTTTAATGTTTCTGCCCTCTCAGATAAATAGGATGATATTTAATAATAAGCCACACGGTGAACAGAATCGCACCCTTGAACAGAATACACTTTTCAGGATGGAAAATCCAAAATGGCCACCTTAACATTTACCCAGAATGCCGAAAAACTCATAGGTAGAAACATTCCTGAAAATTTCAAATCAATGGATCCCTCAAACGGTTTGGCTGGAAACCTGTAGACAAGCCTTCACAGACAAGAGTTTAGGACGGAAAATCCAAAATGGCCATCTTAACATTTATCCAAAATGTCGAAAAACTAATCAGTTCTAAACTTTCATAGGTAGAAACACCCCTGAGAATTTCAAATGAATCCCTCAAACGGTTTGGCTGGAAACCTGTAGACAAGCCTTGACAGACAAGATTTTAGGACGGAAAATCCAAAATGGCCACCTTAACATTTACCCAGAATGCCGAAAAACTTATCAGTTCTAAACTTTCATAGGTAGAAACAACCCTGAGAATTTCAAATGAATCCCTCGAACGATTTGGCTGGAAACCTGTAGACAAGCCTTGACAGACAAGATTTTAGGACGGAAAATCCAAAATGGCCGCCTTAACATTTACCCAGAATGCCGAAAAACTAATCAGTTCTAAACTTTCATAGGTAGAAACATCCCTGAGAATTTCAAATGAATCCCTCAAACTGTTTGGCTGGAAACATGTAGACAAGCCTTGACAGACAAGATTTTAGGACGGAAAATCCAAAATGGCCGCCTTAACATTTACGCAGAATGCCGAAAAATTAATCAGTTCTGAACGTTCATAGGTAGAAACATCCTTGAGAATTTCAAATGAATACCTCAAACGGTTTGGCTGGAAATATGTAGACAGGCCTTGACAGACAAGATTTTAGGACGGAAAATCCAAAATGGCCACCTTAACATTTACCCAGAATGCGGAAAAACTAATCAGTTCTAAACTTTCATAGGTAGAAACATCCCTGAGAATTTCAAATGAATCCCTCAAACGGTTTGGCTGGAAACCTGTAGACAACATTATTCGGGACGCCCGCCCGCCCAACCACACACCCAGCAAACTGATTACATAGCACCTTAGGGTGCGATAAAAAAACACATCAAGTAATACATGTACATGTATTTCATTTCTAAAATACTTAGGGGAGGCATCAAAAGTTCAATGTCGGATTGGAAACTAAATAAATCTAGTTTTGACTCTGACCCCCCTCCCCCTAAAAACTAAATACCGTGAAAGTTGATCGCTGACTTCCGGTTTGAGAATTTGAAAAATTATTGCTAAACACGATCTAGTTTTTGTTAATTCCTACCTTCATTTGCGGCTTTTAACAACTATTGATGGAATAGAATCCTTTGGAATGATCTTGACGAAGAAAGCATCAGGTAAAATCTTTATTTTTAAATCATTCCAAGGCATTCTGAGTCAAAATTGCCAAAAATTTGAAATGTTGAAATTTGTCGGATAGCAAACTGATATGGGTTCGAAACCCTCCCCCCCCCTAACTAGATTTATTTAGTTTTCTATCCAACATCGAACTTTTGATGCCTCCCCTTAAGGAAGCTGTTGTCACTTAAAGTTGGAATGCCGAAAATATTAACACAATTGAACATGTTGAATAACTAATATACTTGTGGCTTGGTTGAATGGCTATGAATCCCATGTTCTGATGTGTCTACTAAAGAAGACAAGGATTATGTCAAGCGGATTTCATAATTTTTCCTCTTGGATCGAAAAATTTCATTTTAATTCGATAAACTTATGATAGGTGGCGAATTTGGGTCCCGCGATTCATTGATATATCGGCTCGTTTGGTGACGATACGAAGACTCAAATATCGATACACCAAAAATATTGTTAACAAATCTGAAATCCATCATATTTTGCTGAAATCTACTGAATATTTATTTTTTTGAGAACTTGTTTATATATTTTTTGTTTGGTTGCTCACTGGACACGACGCGCCCAATATGTTGTACAAATGTGAATAGAACACTTAGCGGATTGCCAGTCAAAATGCGAACAAATAACTTGTGTCCTCTATGTCTTCGTATATCAACATACTTTGTTTTGTAATTCTATATAGTTTTTTCAGTATGAATAAATATAATCTTTGAACTTTTTATTCGACAGAACGCGTTAAAAATTGATAATTTTTAATTAATTAATTTAATAAAAAACGAACAATATTTACGTTCGGAGTATTAATATTAACTGGAGGTTAAGAGATAAAAACTTTTGAACACAACTGATACAATTATGGCCGTGTAAGCATGAGACAAGGGTAATTGTGATATCATAATATCTCCACTAGAGTAGAAAATCTACTGTAGTACTAAAAAACATTCCTCAGTAAAAGGGATAGCACAGATGGACTTACAAAATACAGGTTACAAAATATAGCTGACTTCTAAACAGGACAGGTAGGCTTGATACTTGACTATAGTTTTAATGCTGCATCTGAATCAAATGTCACAGCAAGTGATAGACTTTCAACTCTGACTCGACCTCAGCTACGTCATTGCTGCACCCCCCCCACCAAACAACGATCATGTGACACAAAAACAATGATTCATTCACTAGATGGTGTAGTTAAAAGGAGGTTAATTTTACGACAAACGAAAACTGAAACTTCTTTCATCAATTTCGAGGTGGGTGATTTTTTCAGGCTCCAGTATTTTGACTAAAGTAAGTTCGGGTTCATAGCCATTCTTCAGAGCAGGTTTGAGGCCCAAGGATTTATTTTGGAGTTTTTCTGAGGAATTATTCCCGATTTACCACTATTCCTTTAAAGATGATTGTTTAATGTTTCTTCCCTCTAAGATAAAGAATTAAGGAGAGTTCTTTCATTATAATTTTTTAAATTTTACCCAGCTGAGAATCAGGGGTACAAAATCAAGTTCATAAGAGAGCATGTCACAACTCAAATAGCTTTCTAAGCTGAACATTGAAGATAAGATTCACTGTACCTCCATTGCATCCATAGCCATTGTGGCTAAGTAGTTAGGATCTTGTTTATTCCAGGCCAGTCTTAACAATGGGTGGTGCTGGGGGTCCTCATATATTATAGTTGAGTGCTCCAGGTGTCGCAGATCAAACATCCTCACTGAACCATCAGCACCTGGAAAACAGTCAAACTCAAAACATCAACTCACATTTGGCTGAATCAAAGGAGACAAGAATTACATCATATATCTATATACTAATTTATCATTCATTAGGGATCTGTTTGTACCTTAAATTAAATCAGTATGGGCAAAACTTCATTGATATGAAATAGAGATTTCCTTTTTTAGCTTGATGTACCATATTGATGAATGATTATCAATTTTTTGCCAAAGATTGATTGACATCTCCAAACTACAAAATTGGTCACATTCAAAATCACCTTGCAGCCAATTGAAGATTCAATTAGAAAATCAGGATATTTCATAAATCACATCCTCTCCTTGCCAAAATCGAATTTCACCCAGTTGAGAAAAATCCCTGGAGAACACCGAATAAATATCTTACCAACGCTAGCGAACATGTCTCTACCTCCTCCAGCTCTACTGAATGCTATATCATAGACCTCTTTGTCATGGGCTATGAGTTGTGTCTTCACATGGCCAGACACAAGCTGATGAACCCGTCCAAGCACCTGTCCTGTCTGGAAGTATAAAGTAAAATCACACATATGTTAATGAACTTTTACTTTACAATGTTTTTAGACTTTTCTAAATATTCTCAATAAACTTCATTCATTGTATTATTGCTTGGTTCCCAAGTACATGTAATCTTTAAAGTTTCCAATTCAAACAACTTTTTTTCTTCAGGATATTTTCTAAGCTGTTGTTGCATACAGTATTCATCTAAAGACTCAATAAAGTACATGCTGTATCAATATATTATTCATCTCACAGCCCCAAATAGTAAAGTTGTATCAATACATTACTCACCTCAAGGCCCCATATAGTACATGTTGTACCATTACATTACTCACCTCAATGCCCCATATAGTACATGTTGTACCATTACATTACTCACCTCAATGCCCCATGTAGTACATGTTGTATCATTAAATTACTCACCTCAGACCCCATGTAGCACATGCAGGGCTTGCATTAACGGCGTCCTGTACATGTTAAGGACTCAAAAATAATTTGGAGGACGCAAAAATAAATATTTCCGTTTTTTGGACGCAAATTTTTTTTAGGTCAATACTACAATGTTTTTACAACGATACCTAACAAAAACAAATAATTATGATCTCTCACCTTTATTTGAATCGTAAATAAGGCTCAACATGTTGAATATTTACAAATAATCATGATTCTCTCGAATTTTTTCGACTTTGTTTATTTTTAGATTTGAAACCATGACACGCCACAGTTTTTCCTATTCAGAAACAAATATTAGGTCATTCATGAAATAAAATGTATTCATTGTCGAATGAACGAACATGCATTTATTCAGTCCGTACTTAACGTTTACTTCCGTTTTAAATTCGCGGCAAGAAATTAAAAACTGAAAAATAAGGGACACACTTTTTTTTCAAAGGACACACTTTTTAAAAAAAATTGTGTCCTTGGGACTCACAAATTTTCTAACCTAATGCAAGCGCTGACATGTTGTATCATTACATTACTCACCTCAATGCCCCATATAGAACATGTTATATCATAACATTACTCAACTCAAGGCCCCATGCAGTCCATGTTGTATCATTACATTACTCACCTCAAGGCCCCATGTAGCACATGTTGTTTCAATACATTACTCACCTCGAGGCCCCGTGTAGTACATGTTGCATCAACACATTACTCACCTCAAGGCCCCATGTAGCACATGTTGTATCAATACATTACTCACCTCACGGCCCCGTATAGTACATGTTGTATCATTACATTACTCACCTCAATGCCCCATATAGTATATGTTGTATCATTACATTACTCACCTCAAGGCCCCATGTAGCACATATTGTTTTCAATACATTACTCACCTCAAGGCCCCATGTAGAACATGTTGTTTCAATACATTACTCACCTCAAGGCCCCATGTAGTACATACTGTATAATTACATTACTCACCTCAAGGCCCCATATAGTACATGTTGTGTCAATGCTTGAAGTCCCTAGTAGGTTCGGATCAACCTCGTTCCAGTCAAATGATGTGAGAGGTGCACAGAAATCAGAATTCTTATTCTAAAATATAAAAATTAAACATATTTAAAAAACAAGTAATTGAGAAGCAAGGGATGAAATATTTGCACATCTTTGTTTGATCAGACATTACTTTATAACTATTCATCAAAATAATTTGCAAGCATAATATATCAAATGTAAGCCTTCTCTTAAAACTCATTGATTAATCTGGATGGGGTCTGTTTCTCAATCGTATGGTTAGTAACAAATCATTAGTTCCAAAGACCTGTACCCCTGGTGCACTGAAGGGACTCGCCCTTATAAAAAAAACAACCATTTTTTCCGAAATTCAATGGTTTCATTGCATATCATGTAACCATCATTTCAACCTTGAAGATCAAAGGAAAAATCATTATATCAACCATTCAAAACCATTGCGCAACCATTACTTCACCCAATATTTTCAACCCTTTTTACATAAAGTTGCAATGGTTACGCAACCATTTTTGAGAAACCATTGCAAAACCATTACAACCATTACCCATTGAAATTAACAGTTACAATTGATTGCAACCATTGATTGGGAACTGCAACTATTGCAACCATTAATCCTCAAAATGAATGCTCATGGGCAGACCTGTAGCCAGCTTTTGCACTTTTGACAAATTTACAAGGGGATTCATATTTTATAACTATGGCCAAAAATTGGCCAAAATCACTTGAAAAGTCCTCAATATGGTGAAAAACTGCATGAATTTGAAATAATGTTGGGCTATGGCTATGTTGATATTATTAGTATGTTTTTTTAAGTAAGCATGTCTGTAGTCTGCAGTCTATCACACTCTTCTCTCATTAAAGAATTTTTTTTCGATTTTGTTTGTCTCGGATCTTGTTCTCAATGACAAGTCTGACGTCACTTCCAGAACAACAAAAAACATACACTTATTTGTATATATCATTTAATCTAATCCCTAGGATTTTAAACACTTATTTCTATGACTATTGCAATCACTTATCAGGTATCGTTTTTAAGGAGAATGAAAAATGCAGAAATCTTGTAAGAAAATAAGGATTCTTTTTTGTTTCAATTCAATATTGTTTAATTTTGCTGGCTTATTTACATTAAGAAAATTGTAGAAATACAAATTAAGATTTCACATTATTGAATTCAGATAAGGTACAAAGACAGAGCAGCAACAGTTGTACAGACAGAGCGGCAACGGTTGAAATGCTAATTATAACCATTGAAAAGCTAATTATAACCATTGAAATGCTAATTATAACCCTTGAACAGCCAATTAGATAAAGTTCTGTTTTGATAGTTTAACAAAATCATTACAAATTAATTCTTTTTTAAAGAATTATTTTTGTCTAAATAATTTATTTTTGAATTCCCCCTACCATAATAATGACACAATCATAGTAAATTAGATGAGATTCACATTAAGATTTTTGAAGCCAGCTATGGTCTTGATGAATTCTCTTTTTTCTAGCGATAGTTAACTTAAGTTCATAATACAATTTTGAGACATATCCAACTTCAAGTTCATGCTCATAGGCATAAAACCATGTCTAGTAAAAGGAAATATCATCTATTCAAGTGTTTAAGATATTTCCCTTTCAGTCATTATGATTAAAGTTTAATCCAATTAGTAATTAATATTTTTTGATTTGTAAATGATATTGAAGAAAAGACAATCAATCCGGCTCTTGCCTAATCCAAAGCATAAATACAAGGATGTTGATGTTTGAAAATCATGTTTTGGAAACATTTTCAGTTTAATCTACTTAATTGTTGTAATAAGACTTCTTTGATATTGAAGAAGCAGTTATTTTGGCACTAGCTTAATCCAAATCATAAACAAGAGGCAGGAAATACAATCTTTGATGTTTCATAATATGTGCACGTATGTATGTACTTTTAGTCAGAAACATTTTTTTGTTGAGACAGGAGAAAAACAGAAAATTTCCACAGAACGTTTTGTTGTATTGTTCAGTAAAACTGAATGAATCAAGAAGGAATTTCCAAATAAACTACAAGAATGACCAGGGCCAAAAATGAATACACTTGATTCTCTTCAATAAAATAGAAATACTATCTCTATGAACATGAACTTGAAGTAATATTCAGTACCAAAAATGAATAAACCTTATTCTTTATAGAAATAATATGCCTATGAGAATGAACTTGAAATCATATCCAGTGCCAAAAATGAATAAACCTTATTCTCTTCAATTAATTAGAAATAATATGCCCATAAACATGAACTACTGTATTTTGAAACATAATAATGCATTCAATTTACTTGTATGTTCTTCATGTTTCAAATTGTCTCATTCTTAAACTAAATAATTTCCACAATATGGTTGAAAATAGTTGCAACCATTTGGTAAATGCAACTTAAACAATCAATGGTTTGTAATGGTTGCAAATGATTCCATAATTTCAATGATATGCAACCAAAGTTTTCAACCAAATTTTAATGGTTGCAATGTAATGGTTGGAAACCATTTCAATTGGTTGCAGCAATGGTTATGCAATGATTTGTAATGGTTGCGCAATGGATTTTAACGGTTGAAATTCGGAAAAAATGGTTGTTTTTTTCCTAAGGGTGTATAAGATTCTACTTACATTATTTAGTAGACATTCTAATCTAGTTTCTGTATCTATGGCTCGCCAGACCCTTAAATAATCACCACTTGTGGCAAGCAGGTCAGGAAATACTCCTTTCTGAAATGGTTAAAGCAGATCTATTATTAGTATGCTGGATATATTTCCAACTTAATATAAGATATTATATAAGTCTAATTAAAGTGAATATAACTACATTTGGCTTTTCACATTGGAGCTCTCAGTGTGTTGACAACACAGGGGATAGTATACCCAAAAGCTTTCTTTACAAAGACATGTTTGTTTTAGAGAGGTGTTCGGATAAACAAATTCAACTGTAATCAGTAAATGAACATACTTGTCCAGTGATGAAGTACATTGTAGTTTAGTTATCTTAATTTACTATTTAAATATGTGATTTCATTCAGGTAGTCTGCCATATATTACATTTGTGAGGTTAAAACTTACACTATCAGGAATCCACATAATTTTGGTAGTAGGGTATGGGTGGTCAAATGTACTTCTGGCTGCAAAATCTGAAGTTTCTTCATCGAGAGATACTATCTGAACCTGGAATACGATCAGAAATGAGTTCAATAACACAAAATGTAATAAAACATTTCAAACTGAAAGCAGTAAAAATCTGAAATGTGTATGTCCTTTAAATGAGATAAGAATAAATAACAATATAGAAAAAGTAAATACTATTATGCAGGGTTGATACCATTGAACTGAACATTATAAATCTAGAAATAATATAATTAATGTCTAGAGCATGATATCATTTTGTACCCCTGATCCCCTTCCAGTTCCATCTATCAATACCCAAATCCCGAGAAATACAAAGTATGGAGGAACTCAAATTAATCAATCAGCCCATTTAATTCATTTTTAAATTGTAGTATAAATATGATAATAGTATAAATTATAAGACATTTGGAATTAGATTGCCAAATACAGAAGCATAAAATATTGACAAAAGAATATTGATCAAATCTGGACTGTGTAATTGTAACCATTGTCCAATTTGACTGTAATACATTATGGCTAAATTATCAGTTGACATGCAATTACTCCACAAATGTTATTCAAAAAGTAAATCAACATTAAGAGTAATTTTCGCTATCATCCTGACACTCCATTGACTATTACTTTAATGGATCCTAGAAATACATAAAGGTGAAGAGCTTAATGGATCATACCATAAAGCATGATCAATATATATGCTATTAGAAATAACTTTGTTCTCCGGGGATATAATCTAACAATTATTGATTTTCCATTTGTGAGAAGCAGTGATAATCCAGCAAACAAAAGAATGATACTATTGAGGATTTTTTTCCAAAGTGGTCTTCATGAGAAATGAAACACAGTTTAGTAGCTAGGGGTGTGTCACTTTGATTAAAAGCTCATGAGCATCACCTTCTTAAGCCTTTACTTTATAATTTCCTAACTGGATTATTAACATGAATTACTTCATTCCTCATTATTTAGAATTACAAAATATCTCCAATGGAAATGACGCCTTGGCCCTCTTGAAAAATAAAATCTATAGGGAGTGACAAAATTGCAAGCAATGTGTACAGTTGACCTATATGTACCAATATCCATATTATTATATAATCATATATATATGAGAGAGGGTTATCTGGTGCCAGGACTAGTAGTCCTGTGTACACCTATATATTTTGTCTGTATGGTTACAATATGGGAGTATTTGCCATGTATAAGAGATGAAAAATATCATAACTCAAAGCGACCCCCCAGCCAAAAATTCTTTCAAATTCATGCAGTTTTTCACCATTTTGAGCACCTTTCAAGCGATTTAGGCCATTTTTGGGCCAATGTTGTCAAAAGTGACCCCCCTGGAATTTTTCAAAAAAAGAACCTCTGCTTGGCAAATCCTGGCTGTAGGCCTGGGATACATGATTAAATAATGCACAAAAATTGCAATAAAAACAAAAATTTCCTTCTACTTCCGATTACCCATGACTGAGGATTGAGCACATAAAAAGAACTCTTAAATGAAGGAAATTATTGAGGTATGCTATTTTTGTCTGTAATATGTTCCAATATGTGTCCTGTATACAGTCGGTTACACTGCTTCAAAGCAACCAGTTGAACCCAAACAATAAGAAATCTAAACACTATTGTGCAATAATATTTTTGTATTGCACACGAATGACATTTAACGTTTGCATATCTTTGATTGCTTGTGAATTGGGTTATAAAGTCTGTAACCTCTTATGTTCTGATGCTTCTCTGCCATGTTAATTTTGAAAAAAATAACATGGCAGCCTGGCGAGCATAATAACTTTTTCAATTTGAGAAATGTCTACGTTAAATAGCTAGCTGTAGATGTCTTAATTAAATGCAGGGATTATCGATAATCAGGTAAGACATTTATAAATCATGACTATACACTGCGTTTATATGAAAGGGACCAAATTCACCACCAAAAACTTTGGCAAAATCTTAACTCAGTCCCAGAAATGTATAGTCATATAAATCCGACCGTTGTATGCTGTTTTTCGATATTCCTTGTTCCTATTTGGATATTTATTTTTTATCATTTTCTTAGCATATACCGTCGTAGATATTATAGCTGACAAATTGCGGTAAACGCTTTTCTGGCCTGTCTTGGTAACCATAGTTACCATACTAACCAAAGTCACACAAATTATCGAGTAATTATTTAGCTCCAACATCAAAGTGTTAAATCTTACCTTAGACATGTAAAACACTTGATAATTGACGAGATATAATCAATTGAATTATATTTTCATTATCGCCCGCCATGTTGCTGAATGTTGTTTCCGGTAGTCTAAATGTAAACATGTACCGAAACGGAATCATAATTATTTATTACACAGAGATCGATTCCAAAGCCGTTCTCTCATACTTATTACTTTTCTCATTTTGAAACAATAACTTTTCCAAATAACTTCCCTTCTTAACGACACTGCTTCCCTTTCAACAAGAGCTTTCAACTGAATCTTCGTGTAACAAGTACTTATGATTTCGTTTGATATAGTTTTACATCTAGACTCAGATTAACCCGGAAGTGACCTTGGCATGGCAAAATGAAAAAATTTTAAAATTCAAGCGGCATGCTTATATTTCTTCAATTACCAAGCGTTTTACGTGTCTAAGGTAAGATTAAATACTTTATAGTTGAAACAAAGAAATTTATTTATCATTTGTGTGAATTTGGTTGGGTAGACAGGCCAGGAAAGCATTTCCCGCAATTTAGAAGCGCGGAGTGTGTATGACCCTAGTATGCAAGAAAATAAGAAAAAATAAATATCCAAATCAGAAAAATAGCTACAAATAACATCATACGAGGGTCAGATTTATATGACTAAGAAATGTACGAATTCGCGAACGTAGACCCAAAACCGCGGTATTCGGTAATCTGCATTTGTTTTTTTAAAACATGAATAATGTTTTTTTAAAACATGAATAATGAGATCCGCGGCTTACTTTTGGTCTCTAACTGTGTCTTACATCAGTATCATCAATCCATGCAAGTATTTGAGCGCTGAAATACTTCTTTTTTCGATCAAGACTTTGGTTCATCGAGTGAATGTTTTTACGACCAATTTCCAATATGGTGGTTTGCTAGGAGCGAGATATGCAACAAACGAAATGAATTTTGAGAATGAGTTAGGTTCGGACAACCTCCGGAAATTTTACGAAAGTGTCCGAGCAGAAAACGCCATATTGGAATTTGGCAGAAAAAACATTCAGTTGACTAACAATTACAAGTCTTGATCGAAAAGGAAGTACTTGTACAATACTTGTACGGAAGGATGATAATGATGTATGACATAGTTAGAGAACAAAAGTAAGCCACGGATCAACTTATAATTTGTGTTTCAAAAGTCACTATTATTCAGATGTCCATTTATCCGTTGGAGAGCCATAAGTTTCAAAATCTAACATGGCTCTCGGAGTAAGGATTTAGGCCTTTATAATGATGCAAACCTTATTGTTGTATTCCTCGACGAAGCTCCCCACAGCAAGTCGAAATCGTTTATCAGGACGCACACTCCAGTTCATACTATAGATATTCCAGGCAGCCTCATACTTATATATTTCTTTCCGCTTCCCCGGGGGAGGAGCGGAATTAACTGCAGTCGGTAGAGTTGACATGCTATTTTCAAAAAATTAAAAAATTACTTCCGTAATAAATTTTCAGAACTTTTACGGCTTTTATTTCAAAAATGCAATCTTATAATGCACTGTTCACTAAACTTATATATTCTTCATATCCTCTTCTTTGTATTGTTTATTGTTTTATTATTTGATCATGCTCATATATGACGAAAAACATGCAATTATAATTGATTTTCAGCAACAAAAACAATATGGCTGTAAGTTGAAGTCACGTACAAATCTCGGATACTCACGTGACATTTCTTTTTTACCACTTTGAAAATCATCTTTATATTGATATGTAAAATTGATTTTATGTGTTTTATAGCTTGAAACTTACATAATGATTATGAAGCTTTATCATTCATAATGACCAATAGTGTGAATATTGATAAATAGTAGTCGTAAAGTTATGAATTTTAAAATCACGCGAGATTTGGGAAATTGCGGGAAATCAGTTTGGGAAATAACATTACTCTAAAATCTGCTAAAAATGGTGCAACTTTCGCATATTCCCGACGATCTGAAGCCTCCAGATGGATTTTTTAAAGATGTGAAATATTATGTAATCGGTGATATTGATTCTAAGGTAAAATACAAACGTATATAGTCGATAGCTTATGTATCAAATGCTTTCAAAATTTTGATAGGCTAGAGTCTAGACTAGAGTCAGTACGTCTATTTCCAAACACCCCCATCAAAAAATGTAGTTAGCTTGGCTGTACTGCACATCTATGCTATGATTCTATATATATTATGTGTATTATCCACTGTAGAATGCATTTGCAGAAAAAATTACGAAAAATTGTAAAAAATATCTGGGTTATTCCATTTTTACTACAAGGTATTTTAGGGGGGTAATTCCGAACAGGAGTTTTTTTGGGGGGTAAATCCGAACACTTGCATGGGGGTAATTCCAAACACTTAACTTAAACTTAATTGTTTTAATTATTAGATTGATGGTATATCATTATATGATACCCTTAACTTATGATACTGGATCCTGTCACCCCTGCATATCAAGAAACCCAAATTTATTTCATTTATTACTGACATCTATTTATTTAAACGCACAGAGTTTGTGGGGGTAATTCCAAACACTAGCATGGGGGTAATTCCAAACACCTAAATCATCATAATTGATTATTTTATTGTAAGATTGTTGTTATACATCATTATATTGTATCTTTCAGGCTATAAATATTATGTAGAGGTAGTAGAGGTACTATTATTCAATTCAATGATCTGCTTGCCATTATTTGGAACCCGTTCGTGTTTACCCCCCTGTTTGGATTTGGACGTATTGACTCTAGAATATTTTTAAAATTTTTGGGGTAGGCTTAGGTCTAGAGTCTATACGTCTATTTCCAAACACCCCCATGGGCGTGGGGCTATATTTTGAGTTGGTACGCACACTCAGGGATGCCTGATTGCGTGGCCGAAGCCCGCGCATCCCGGGGGGTCCGAAGGTATGCTTCCCCGGGAAAACTTTTTTCAAGGACGTTAGACCTCTATTTGATGGGATCTAAGCGTTTTTATCAACTTTAAATGTTGACAATGGTAGAAATACAGATACGGTAGGAAGCATCAATAAATTCGCAAATAGAGCTAAATTAATTCATTTTAACACATTTTTTATATTTTTTCAAATTCATTTGGTACGCCTGTGCGTATTTTGCGTAATAGGCGCTACGCCCATGACCCCCATCAAAAAATATAGTTAGCTTGGCTGTACTGCACATCTGTAGAATAATTTTGTATATGTTATGTGAATTAGAGGCTGTCAAATGTATTTGCAGAAAAAAATTCAGATAAATTGTCAAAAAATCTGGGTTATACCACTTTAACTCTTACAGTGCATTTTATGGGGGTAAATCCAAACAGGAGATTTTTTAAGGGGGTAATTCTGAGGTTTTTCATATTTTTTATATATCCTTTTACAGGTTACATCTTTTGGTTTTTGAATACTGGCTTTTGTTGAATGACTGTTTTTTAATAATTTCCATGAATTTGGAATAGCGGTCACTAGCCCTCCATGTTTCATAAAATCAATTTCAATACCAAATTCTTCAGCTAAGGCCTCATTTGTTTTGAAAGATTTATCACTGTTTAGAAGTTCAAGATCGTTTATTTTATTTATTCCTGCAGCATACCATTCTTTGTAGAAAATTGACTTGTTGTTCACCTGTATGTGTTTGTTGTTCCATATGTATTGATGTTTTACTCTTTGCTACTACACTGCCTCACTACCTATCGATTGTCACTAATTATGGATAACACTTTATCCAATGAAATCTATATTCCTTCCTTATACTTGTATTTATATTTCTGATTTAGGTGATATCCCTGCTGAATGGAGGTGGTGCTAAAAAAGACTCTTATCTGACTGATATTATAACACATGTGATTGCTGAGACTAGTGACAGTGAGGACAATGACTACAGCGAGGCTAAGGAACTTTATGAGTTACCTGTTGTCACTGTAAGTAGATAATCAACTACATATCATATGTTACCCTCCACATAGAGTCTAGGTATAAACTACCTTTTGCCTAGTATAACTTAAACTATATTACAGTTTAGCAGCCACCACTACTACTGTTACCTGTGACAGCCTGTGTCTTAAATCATTTCAAACCTACCATGCTGACCTTTTCTGAACCCATCAACTAGTGGGAAAGAACACATGCTAAATGCATGCTCATTGCCTATGTGATTAGGTCAGAGGAAATGTTGTCCATATTTCGACGATGAACTCTGATTCACTTGGTGAATTCGCTTTATTGTAACCTGAAAGTGTGAAGATGAACGAATGCAAAGGGTAATCATATGTAAAAGTTAACATTAAAATGCATGTTAGCCTAACTGAACCAATGGCTTATCCCCATTCCTCAGTTCTCTTAATTGATGATTTGTGATCACCAGATTGATTTTATCTTGTAGCGACATGACCATTAGGCCACATTGGTATATCTGTTTGATTTGGAGAGATTATTTTCTGAATTTCGTACTATATTGATTCGACTATATCCTGTTTATTCTCGCATAGTCGAGTTGGCGACTGCCTATCTTCATGACTGCGTAGAACCTGATTGACCAATGAGAGAACAAGTATCACATCATGGAAATAATACAGTGTATTGAAATTCTTTGTTTTAAACATTTGTATTTGATTTTGTCTCAATTCCGCATATTTTTTGCTTTGTATTTCCAGCCAAACTGGGTGGTGCTATCAGTCAAATGTGGAGTGTTACTTCCGTATCCTTGCAAAAATCTCTGTATTTTGAAGTTTTTTCCATATCTGATGTCAGTGGTACATCCCTGAGTTCATGCCTTTCTTGAATAACTTTTTTTATCAATTTCATGTAAACTATTTTTTTTAAATTAGTAATACCTTCATAAGATTATAGGAGCATCTCTTATCCCTGTTAAAGCCTTAACCATATGCAGTACAAATGCCTTCAATCCAGAGCATAATCAGCTTTTCTCTGGTGTTACAGCTTGTCCTTCACATGTGAGTAGTGTTTTTACGTTTAAATGACTTGTATAGAATTTGGAATATAACAATAATTGAGGAGAAATTATCATCAGTTTGACTTCAAACCTATATACATATGATAGAAGTCTTTATTAGATTTGTTCTTGAAACAGCAGCTTGAAAAGAAACTTGATAAGTTGTGAAAAGTAGTCCAGACAGTCCGGTAGACTTCTAACACATACTCATGTGCAACCAGGTGTCATTTTGCTACACGTGTTGCTATATATGGTTTAATATATGGCATCGCTTACAAATGTGAAACTACCCAGTCTCTGCCATGTTAAATTCTTCAAGTCACCAGAACCAGTGAAAAAAAATTCCCGACCTCTTGAGCACACAGCCTCAAAGGAATCACAAATAGTGAAAAAGATAACGTTTGAGTGTTATAAAATTTGTTTTCTAGTTGAGTGAAGATGACAACAAGTCAGTGTGGGGTCTTATTACATACCATGGCGGAAATTTTCAACTGAACCTCAACAGCAAAGCTACACATCTCATTGTCACTAAGCCAGCAGGGGTAAGTGAAATATATGCAGTAAGAAAAGCAGAAATTTGGTGGAATATGTCAGACAATATTTTACATTTGGAGAGTACATGTATGGTTCCTACATTTGGAAAAATAATTGAACAATACAATATTTTCATATTTAGCACCATAATCTAGTATCATGTACAAGCTATTTTTGTGCTTGTATTGGGGCGATTTTCTAATTAGGAATTAGGAGGTGCTTCACCTCAGATAATTCAATTTGGATAGAGACTTGAAGGTATACTGTATGCTATTTGCAGGAGAAGTATGAAACTGCTCTACAACATGAGAACATCACAATCGTCACACCAGACTGGATATTTGACAGTATTAAAGAAAAATCTCAATGTGACCCCATGAAATACCACCCAAGGCTACATATTATATTAAAACCTAAGCCTCCTACCCCACCCACTCCACCAGCCCCCATCCAACAGGCATTCACACCCCCAGATGAAAGGGAACAATTAGGAATGCATCTTCCATTGACTCTTCCTCCTGGTATGCATGGTACACCAACTGATGGGAAACCTGTCGCTCCCAAACATATGAGTCCAAGGGGGTCAGGACCAGGGACGCCAGTTGGCCCAGGGGGATTTATGTACCCTGGAGGCCCAGATACTCCTACTGCAAAAGAAGCACTGGCTAAACTTGTAAACAATAGAATCCATGCGGGTAAAATATCAGAGACCCCAGAGATGCCAATACCTCAACCTAGGAGTATGATACCCCTAGCGCCACCCCCAGGTGCACCACTTGTCCCAGGGATTTCACCCTCAATCCCTCCTGGAATGTCACCCTCAGGAATGCCAAGTATGGAGAGTATGGGATTGGGGGTATCGACCCCTCATGGGCCTCCCCATATAGGGGAGAGAGCACAGTCACCTAGAGGCACCCTCAGGAACATAACCAACAGTGGGTCAGGAATGGCCCCCAATTTAACCCCCACAGGTCGACAACCAGGTTCCCCAGGGAGACACCCTGGGTCCCCAGGAAGGCACAGACCCAACACTCCTCCCAGACAAAGTAGCCAGAAGGTAGGATCAAATTATAATTAATTTATGACAAAAGACAGTGTCTTTTCATGTCAATGTAAAATACTGTACCTGAAACATTTGAAATAAAGTGAATTGAATTGAATAAGTAAAAAAATAATAAAGTGTTAAACTCATTGTTGTTAAAAACTAAAATCAATTAAATTTCTGTCGTCTTGCAGATCAACCAGATTCTGAATCAAATGGGCCGAAGTGGGTCTCCCCGGGGTAGAGGATCTAGCCCTCACCCCCTACATGCACCTGCCATCAGGGGTCCTCCTGAGCCTCTTTACTATGGCCATGATCCCAGTGAAGCAGGTATGTGACTTCCTTTTAAGAAATCTATCAATAATCATTACAACTCTGTATACAGTACAGGTATATGTACTTTATTAAGGAAAAATGTTTGCATGTGAAAAAAATAATGTGTAATTCTTCCTCCAAATGCAGGACTACTGACATCATTTATTTTGTTCCTTCCTTCAACATTGAATGATGTCTTGAGCCCTGCATTTGGAGGATGTGTGTGATTTCGCATTTCTAATATCCCATTATTGTGTCATACTTTAACCAAAATTTGGTTTTTTGTATTCCATAGTGCCTGCAGATTTGTGCCTCCTTGGCTGCGTGTTCTATATTACTGACTACCAGAAGTTACTCGAGCCTGACATGATCACGACATGGCGTAAAGTAATCCAGCAGCATGGGGGTGAGGTGGACACGACATATTCTCACAGAATAACACATGTGTTGTGTGACAATCAGACCAGTGACATATTCAAAGTGGTTCGTATTTTTAGAAATATTTTCTTTAAAAATATACTTCCAAAAATGGCTCGATGGATTGATTTGAAATTTGCATGGATGGTTTTAGTAATGAAATCTAGAACTGCTCAGTTTCTAAGTGTGCTGGCTAAATTTAAAGTTGCACATTTTGGATCCTTTGGAATGATCTTGTTCACCAAATAGACACTAGTTCAAAAAATCTTTTTTTTCATCATTGAGTACAATATGTGGAACTTAGGCATATTGCCAATCTTTGCAGAAGGATAATAGAAATGCTGATCTAAATGTTCATATTAGAGTCTTGATCTCCTCTGATAGAGAATAACCAAAAATGTAATTTCAAAATGGCCACAAAAAATTTCGGGCAGTTTTGGTTGATTTTATTTTATTTTATTTCCAGGCTGTGAAAGACCAAAAGAGGGTTGTATCAGCTCACTGGTTGAATGATTGCCTACAGGTGAAACGTATGGGACCTCCAGGTTTTGCCTTACATTTTCCTACACCACATGATGTATGTAGCAAGCCATGTGGAAACCAGGTAAGGAACCCAAAAGAAAATGTGGAAATGGCAGGTCTGCTCTTAAATGATCAACAGAATTATTTTTTATTTCATATTAATATATAGACTATGCCTCGTTCAAAGTAGAAATTAATTTCACATTTTAAAAAATCTACATTCATATATTAATGTGATTATTCATGATTTTAGTTGTGATTAAAAATATGACTTTCTTGAAACATCTTTGAAGTTGAAGAGCCATTGCATACACAGTAAATATACTACATGGTTCTGTTTATTGTTCACAGGTAATAAGCTTGACCAACTTTGAAGGTGAAGAGAGAACTAGGATCAAACATATGATATCTATCATAGGAGCCAAGTACACAGGTTACCTTACAAGAGAAAACACTGTACTTATATCAAAAAGGTTAGAATTTGCATCATCTTATTTTTCTCACTTGAAACCATGGTTAAGTATAAGGAAGCCAGATTGTAAGACAAAGCATTAACAACAAACTGCCATCATCTGAAAATAGGTTCCAATGCCTTATGTCAAATGCTAGTCACAATACAAGTGGCTATAACAATATGTCACTACTTCTTGGTAATATTGATGCAAATGAAAAATGAATTAATATTTAGTTATGCATTTGTGTGTAACTAGCTGATATCTTGAGTTGTCCTTGTATTAATATCATTCTATAACAAAAATATGCAACTCTGAATGTTAAGTACATGTAATGCTAAAAACTAGCACATGGTTTAATGGATTGATCTGAGATTTCAATAATTTTCTAATTATATTTCAGACTGGAAGGAGTGAAATATGAAAAGGCCAGAGAATGGAAGATCCCTATAGTGAATGTACAATGGCTAAATGACCTGATGTTTAACCAATTAGATGCCTTGAAATTACCCGTTGCACCCAAGTACCAACAATTTAACTTGCATGATGCATTTAGGATCCAAGAGCCCTGGAGAGTTGCTCACCTATTAGGTACTAGGTCAAAGATTTTACACTTGCTTATCTTGTCATTTTGGTCTGACTTTACACAATGCGAATTCCACTCTATATTAAATGCAAACGAGGAGTTTTGTGATATTTTGTTTGGCTGTCCATTTTCCTAATTCCATGTTGTAATTTTTAATCCAGTTTCTTCATACATGTACCTATTACATTTTTAGCTTCAATTTTCCCTGGACTTTATTTGAAGTTCGGAATATAACAAGAACATGTATTTAACAAAATTAAAACTTGAAATGAACATACATTCACAAAGGCATGTTTCCTGTTTTCAGAAGGTTGGAGGGTACCCCTTAAGATACCTAGAGATGCATGGAAGGTATGTTTAGGCCACATTCTTTTGTCACTTCTAAATGATATAAAAATTTATCTTTTTCACCCACTGACAAATAAAAGTTTAAATTGTTGATGGTAGCAACCCTATATTTCCAAAATACAAATATACTGCAATATAATTTTTTTCAGATTTTATTTGCAGTTGAATGCAATGTTTAGATTATTCTCTTGTCTTTTTCTCTAAAATGAATAAAAATTGAGAGTAAGATGTAAAAAGTCCCATCCCCGATTTAAAAACAATACTAATATGTCTATTTGAGAACAATTGCAGCATGCATGAGAAGAAAACTAGCTTGAACAAAGCATAGAAAAGTATTTGTATATATTTTGCAGAAACTCAGTCCCAGTGCCATAATGAAACAACAACAAGGAAAGAGAAAGGCTGAGGAAACACACCACCAACCTGTAGCCAAGAAACTCAAGTAAGTCAATTTAAGCAAAACATTTTACCGATGCCAACTTAAAAATGGTGAAAATTGGTCAAAATATCTTTGTATATGTTTATGTCATCACCAGAAGTGTTATAGTATCAAACTTATTTTTGAACAGTTTTCAGGGTTTGGTGTCTGTAACAAAGCACCTGTAAAAATTACGGCATCTGTAACAAATGGCAGGTTGTGACATTTTGTATGTTAATGCATTGTTTGTTATATTATGACACTACTCTTTTGTTCTATTTTATTTATTTATTTTCTCTGTTGTATCTAGACTTGAAGGTGGTCTTCCCAACACAGGTACATCTAGTCCAAAGGTGCTCATCACAGGGGTCTCTAAGAGAAAGGTTGCAGAACTAGAAAGGGTAAGCCTAAGTTAGTTATTAAATCTGCATGTTCTCTTCTGATAATCAAATACCTGTTATTTGTAATGTCATGCTGCATTTCAACTCATTTCTTATTATCTCATACATACATGCTTATCTTACAGAAGCTGTCACGTGTTATGTGTAGTTATGTGATCCATGTCCAACCAATGAGGAACATTATATACACAGAGGTTTCTTTTTCAGAGAGTCGAGTCTCTAGGTGGTACTATTGTGACGACAGCCAAGCAGTGTTCACATCTAGTAACCAATCAGGTCAGCCGTACCATTAAGTTCCTAACTGCCATGCCTATATGCCGCCATCTCGTCACCTCAGAGTGGATCAATGAGTCATTCAGTGCAGATAGGTTTATTGGTAAGAACATCATTACATTTTGTCTTGGTAATGCCTTGTCTGTTTATTTTATGAGAATCATTCATGAATCTCTGAAATCTCCGATTTTTTATCAAGAGATGATTCAGAGTTGACCTGCTCACAAAGGCTCAATTATACGGCCACAACTTTACTTATATTGAAAAACCCAACTGTTCTTGCAGTGTTGCTGATACACTCAAACATTTATTCTTCTATTGTCCAAACATAGCACAAAATAGATATACATTTCTTGCACTTTTAGAGACTCTTAAGCATATAGTTGTAAAGAATAAATAACAATTTATTGATTTTCTGAAATATGGCAGTAACATACTATCAATTTTTTGCTCTTGTTGCCAACTTTTCTATAAAGAACACATTACATCAAAATCGATTTCCAATTTTTGTCCAGTTCATCTCGGGTTTGTTAATGTATTAACATTATGTAATGCAAATATAGATAGATAAAATCTTCTCAACGGAAAAAAGGATTTGCCTCCAAATTGGTTATAGCAGGGGGAAGAAGGAGGTATGGATTCTGGATACCTGCTTATGAGGATGCAGTTGTTTAAGATGGCTTATTTTTCAGATGAATCCAACTTCGTCTTGAAAGATGCTAAGGTGGAGCAGGACCTGAAGTTTGATATAGCTGATGCGCTGAAACGTGCAAAACAGAAACCTCTATTTAAAGTAAGCAATGATCTCCCACATTATAGAAACATAGGCTTCATATTACCTGTTATCTTATTCTGCTGTATATTTACTGCTTCATTTTAATGAGAGAATTCAATTATATTTTATATATATGATACATAACTTGTATAATATTAAATTGTTTGATAATACTAATATTATGAAGTTATTCTTGAAGAAATGAAGAAAGTAACATATAATTCCCTCAATAAATGTGTGAACTGTGATTTCTGCAATGCATTTCTTATGCATCTTATGCATTTTCTCCTTATCTATATGCATCTTCCTTCATCACGCAGGACATGACATTCTACCTCACCCCCTCAGTCATGCCAGGTGTGGCACCCCTTAAGGAGATGATTGAGAATGCAGGAGGTTTGGTTGTGCCACGTCGACCCAGGGCCAAGGTTGTCCAGGGACAAAAGAACAGTAAAGGAGAGCCAGTGTTCATTGTAATCACTTGTGAGAATGATCTACATCTGTGCAGAGACCTCTTCCAGAAGAAAGTCCGTAAGTACATTTTTATTGTTGAAATGCGTGTAACTGACGATGATCATTTTATATTCAAACTCTTTTAAAAGACCATAAATGCTTAGCTTATTTGTACAAAGGTCTTATTATATAAGAATAAGAAGTAAAATCGTTTCTGGCCATCAGAGAGTAGTTTAACATGATGATGGTGGATTAGGGTCTATTTAATACTCTTTCATTGGATTATGATTGTGTTTTGCATTATTGGCCAATTCAGTAAATCATGCCACCTTTTGGTTGTCATTCTCACAGATTCGGGTCTGAAAATTAATTGAAAATTAAAATTCTGTTAATATTTATTTATTTTTCCAGCTGTCTTCAATGCAGAGTTTGTCTTGACAGGAATCATCCGACAAAAGATAGAATATGAAGTATTCCGTGTACATTTTGCTAAGAAAACAACAGACACTGTGAAAACCTAGTGAAGATACAATACTCATATTGGGTGTATGTTATTCTGGGGGAACAAGAACAAAACTGTATTTTTTCTTAATGAATGTTACTAACTGAAAGTATACAGTGAGATACAGTGACAATTTTAAATACCATTGTTTCAAAACATATGGGGTAAATGGGTTCAAGAATGCTGAAGAAAAAATGACATTTAAAAAAGAAGTCCATGGTGTATTATTAATTGAAAGAGAACATATCTTTTAAAGTGCCAATGACAAATACTTTTTTTAAATTATCTCGTCAAAATGCAGTCTTTCAATTTTGATCATGTAAATCCAATATGGAAATTATTTTAGCTTTACAATCTAGTTTTGAAAATGATGTCTTCATTTATTTCGTTATTTTTAATTTGATGATTTCTTAGTGATATGTGATCATTGTAGACAATTTTATGCAATCATATGAACATCATAATCCATGTCCTTCAGTCTACATACATTCACAATCATAACAGCATGTTTGTATATCATTGTATATTTCAAATTATAACCTAATGTGTACAGTAAAAACTGTCAAGTAAAGTGGAACACTTCTAAGATTTATGATCCATGTTAAATGAAGCTCTTAAAAGAACATATGCACAAACCAAAGATGTTCCATAAACACAGGTTTTACTGTATACTGTGTTTTATATATCTCTAGTAGTATTATAGTGTATTTTGACTTGAATATGTTATTATATCTGTATGTTTTTGTTGTAGCGCATAGATTTTCAATCAAGATTTTGTGTAGGGCATTTTTATATTTCTAGTAAAAATACAATGAAATAATTTGTGAGTTTCAAGTATTATTTTTCAATCTTAAGAATTTAAATTTTGTAGAACTCATTTTGCTGATATTTTAGTTTTATTTATATATTTATCTCTGTTTTAATTTTTAATTAAATGTTTGAGAAATTGTTTTTTGGTTGTGTGATATGAGTACTAATTGGTCATTTAGTATTATAATGTATATAGGTGTAAATAGTCATTTGTAACATAAGTCTCATTTATGTACCTCATTAGACAAAGACGGTATTTTATATTGCAATAATACATAATATACAAGTTTTATTTCATAAAAATATACATCTTTTGTACATTTATTTTTCATAGCTAGAAAACTTGAATAATACTTATATCAAAGCTGTGTGAAAGTCTGAAAGTATACATGATCTGAAATATTTCACATTTTGGAAGATGTAAAGCAACAAGGTATTAACAATTCATAGAATAATTTTTCTGAAGAAATGAGCTGGAACAATGTAGACTTATTGAAAGATGCCATGATATGGGCTTGTCATATACTTTATATCCTAATATGTAAAATTGACCTTGTGAAGTCACATCCTCCAAACCAATAGATGTAAAGTGAATTTCATTGATCATAATGTGAAAATATTCTCCAATAAACCTTTGTTGATGCTGAATTGACAGCCTTTAATCCTTTGATTCTCCAAAGTTTAATCAATTGTCATTTTACAATTCATTGCAATAAGACCTGATATCAGGATTGATATTTGTGAATAATACTGCTCCATACAATTATAATTGATCCGCCTTTATAAAAGGGTGGCATACTGACATAAAGGTACATTTGAACTACATAAGGTATCAAATTCTTTAAAATACGACAAATAATACTGTTTCATCTGAAATGCAGATATCAAGCTCATTTATAGATTTACACAAGTAATACTTTTATTGGAGTAAACATCAATTTTACTGAATACCTTTTGTAAATGACTAACATTGTCCATTATAGACTCTCATAAAAACTAGAATTGATCAAGAAACACATAGCTCTTTCATAGAATTTTGAAAGTGCCAATCCTACAAAATTCTCTCAGAAATGATATACTACTGCTAGTATTCATCGTCATCATAAAGTCCACACTATGTGATTCATTGGTATAAATTGGTGTAACAACTGGTCCCAGATGTGATTTAACCAATTGCAACATACATTGTAGTTTAAAATCTTGTAACACCATAATACTGAACTCTATTGTCCCATAAATATTACACTTATATAACCTAACCCTAAAACCTAACTATGATGCTACAATTTGGTGCAATACCTTCATATATAATGTGCAGCTCTGGATTCCAATGAGATCCGCATTCATTTTCACTCAGATGTGAGTGTCCTTGCTCTGACATTGTTATTTACAGCTGTACCTACAGCTATCATTTCCACCTGATGGCTCAATAATCCACTGTGTTGCTCTGTTGTCTCCATTTCTAGAGATGTGTATGTGTCTACCATTTGGGCATGTACCCCTACCATGGTATATCACAGTATAGTCAGTGTTAGGTATAACAGCATTGGATTTTAATAAATGCATAACGTGATCTCCTCTAGTCTCGCCATCTATCCATAGATCTGCAGCTCTGCCTACCATGTGCTGAAAAAATAACAACACTTTTAAAATATGAATGAGACAAACTTTTTCAAAAGTGCTTTTTAAAATCATTGGCTTTTCTAGATCCCCGATAAGTGAATACTCATTTTCTTATAAACGATATTAATAATAATTATGTGTTGAGATTTTGAAAATAGATACATACATTGCATAAGGTTTTCACGAGCAACCCATTTGACTAATCACTAATGAATAAGTTGATTGTTTCACCAGATTTTTTTAGTTATAGAGGTATTCAATGAGAGTTACTTTCAAAAACTTACTGAACAATACAATCTGACCAATAGGGTAGCTGCTTTTACATTTTCATTATTAAGTGTTACAGTTTGAAGTACTTACTGGTTTTGAATATTCGCTCACTCCAAACACTCGGGTGCCTCCCTTGATGATCACCTTCTTGCCAAAGTACTGTGAAATATTATGAATTGTGCTCATTAATCGGCTATCCCCAATCTGGTGTCCACACATATCTACTCGGCCTCCAGCCGCTGCTACCATGATGCCTTGGTTCCAGAATGGACCTGAAAATTAATTTTCAGTTGAAATTATTTGATAAGATATTAATACCAGGATAGCCTAATTAAACGCTTATATTATATTGGATCTGGAAAATGAGGAAGAAATAAACTGGTGTGGGTGATGTAGGATCCAGGTCTGTACTGCATATGTACATATTGTATATGTATTGTACTGCATATGTACATATTGTATATGTATTGTAATGCATATGTACATGTTGTATATGTATTGTACTGCATCTGTATATATTATATATGTATTGTACCACATTTGTATATATTGTATAAACAGTATATAAATTGTATAACATTTGTATTTATTGTATATGTATTGTATTGTAGTTGTAATATTGTACTTTTACAAATGTACTAATTAAACGTGGAGAGTATTGCCGATTGGATATAGTTTCTAAAAGTTTGCATTATACAGTTACTTAGGCAACATCTGCAGAGCAAGAAATTAAGTTCAAATTAGAACTGATGGTCTATCACGGAAATGAAACTAAAAACAAAATATAATTTGAGCTGTTCAGTTAATTTTCCATTGCTGCTAATGAGGTGTTTCACACTTCATTTTCAAATAGAAATATAACCAAATAAGTCATTGCAATTCAGTCATTAAGCATTCAATAATTGTTGATAAAAGTGTTGACACAATTATGATATACAAGCGAATAATAACAATGATGTAGATAACAACAAGACTATTGAATAGAAGTACATGTAAATGTAAATACTGATTCAACAAAACATTGATAACAGTCAACGCAATCATTGTTTTATGTCCACACACCACAATCAACTTTTAAAATTTATTCAATTTTAGCCTGTTTTGTATTGAGGCATATATTGTAGTTAAACGATATTATTAAGGTAATAGATTATTATGATGTCTGATTTTTTATTAATTGAAATGTATGATTGGAGTTGATGAATGGTAAACCTCAAAACTGTCACAGAACTTTTAATTTTTCCATATAGGTTGGTAGATTATTGTTTTTCACATTAAATCCATTCATCTAAAATTGCCACTACAGTTGACTTCTGAAGCATTATTATCAAAACAGCAAAAATAGTGTTTAACAATTAATACACCAATATCTCCCCATTTGAGATTTTAAACTAGATTTGCTTTATTGAGTGTAAAATTATACAAATAATATTGTCCATATCACACTATAATATAAAAATCTTCACTTTTTGTGTAAAATAATATTACGTACCTCCAAATCTATCTCTCTTAATCTGAGACATTTTCAAATATTGTTCTATATATTAACAGTTGTTGCTATCGAGAACACCAGATAAACTGAAACTCTTAGTCTACAGTGGTGAATAGTCAACTAAATAAATGATCTTCAGTTTTCAACTGAGACTTAGCAACCCCACTTAGTGATTTTAGGCAGGGCTGAACCATATACTCGTAGTTGGGTGCTTTTTGATTTGACATTTAGCTGAACTTCTCCAATTTTATTTTACAAAATGTTTTAATTAATGCTTCATAATAAATATTTCAATTAAAATGTTGCAAAAAGTTCTATAAATCATGATATCTTGTCTAAGCCAGCAGTGGCACTTAGCTTAAAACTTACCAAATATTTTGAATGGTCCACCCCCACACTTTTCAACAATTCAATGTAAATCCCATAGTTGGTGTTAAGTCTAACAATGCTCAATGGCGTTACAATGAATAATCCAACAATGGAATCACAATCAGCTGAATATTGACATAATATCCTGATCAATTGAGATTTCAGTATAGCAATATGTACACTTCACTTGAAATGTTCAATGGAAATAGTTTCATCAAAGGCTGCCTCTGTTTTTATTCCCCTTTCTAAAACTAATATTTGCTGTATTCACATTGGTGTTTTCACTTATTTGTAATGAATCTACAGAATAACCTCTTGTAAATGAGCAATATAAAAAATAAAACTAACAAAATGTAGATTTTATTTTTTGATTTATTTACATGGTCATAAAAAATTATTTTTGGTAAAAATTACAAATAAGTAAAATAAGCATTTATTTAAGTACAATAATAAATTTAAAAATAGTACCATGGGTACTGGGCTCACATGGGAAGATTTCAATACATGTATATGCATGTTTAACAGTAGGAGCTAAGAATATTTAGCTGTACAATTCAAGTGATGGAATACTTGTTTAATTATGACCAAAAAGGAGCTGAAAACCTCATTTCTCCACAATAAAAGCAGCGGCCAAATACTTTTGGAGCTTACCAAAAAAGAGCTGAAACCCTGACTTTTTCGCAATAGAAGGGCATTTTGAATATTTGAGTACAATTCCAGGGAAATTGATGGAATACTTGTAGATTTATGTCCAAAAACAAGCTGAAATCTGATTTTTCCGCAATAAAAATGGTGGCCATTCGTCTATCTGACTTATTTTGCCAAAACTTGTAGGTGTTATTGATAACCTATTAATTAAGGTACATGTACTTGTACAATTTCAAGCAAATTGGTGAAACATTTGGTGAGTTATGACCAAAAAATACCAGGAAACCTGATTTTTCACAAGAAAAATGGCTGCCATTTTGAAACAACCTTATATAGATACATTTTAGAAGTGAAACCATTTTAATTGGACGGACAGACAGACAAGTGGGCGATAACAATAGCTCATTATAGACATGTGAGCAAAAAATTAACATTCAAAATTAAAATTTTAGGCTCATGCCTTCTTGGCCTCCTCATATGTTCCAAAAAGGAATTGCACAATTTCTCATAAAAAATATAATTTTTGAAAACTGAAATACTAGTTGACAGTTTGACTAAGTTAAAATTGAAGATCAAGAAAATGATGACTTTAGCTATAACAATGTCATAACAACATCTTAGGGATGACATAAAAATTGTGAAAAACATAAAAAAATTGACTTTTAAAAAGCATCTGAGAGCAGCCTATAAAATAGGGTGCATGACTTGAATACATTTTGACAGAGGCCCACAGTCTGATCTTTTTAGAACATAAATTCTAGTTATACTGTATATCTAATCAAATATTATTACACAATAAAATTGTTGACATTTTCTACTTTAACATTATCTGACTTTGTTTCAGATATTATGCTATTTAAAAACCCTAAGCATATACTAGATCAGCTATAATATAATATGAAAACTTTATCTCTCTATTTGTGCAGAACTGTGAGATCATAATAGAATGGCTTTGAAACATTTGGATAATCTGATAATCTGGATTATCTTTCATTATCCATCGAATGGACCAGGTCTTTTAGTTGCAAAATAGAAGTCCTGGTCCATTTGATGGATGTTTCCGCCACTTTATGACCAACAATGTTTAACCTGTAAACTACAAATAAGCCAATGGATCACATCTTTAGTGATTGCAAAATAAGGTTCTGCCATTAGTATACATCATCAATATTTACTTATGTGATAGAGCCACTTAAAAGCCCATGGTCCTATATGATGAGGTACCATACTTTTAATAATATTCAGACCGTTTCCAGATAATTATCTCAGTTCCAGAGGTCAGGGATTAATTAATAGTGGTACGGCGTCTGGTTTGGTTATCATCCTCCAACAATGGTTTTCTCTCATCATCCTCATCTTTAGATTCAGCATCAAGTCTTTGCTGAAGGCGTTTCTCCTTCAAACTTCTGTTTAGAATGCCTCCCTTGAAAACACACAATGTTTTATTGTTAAAGTCCTTCATATTTAAGAAAGTTACAGGGATCAGGGGATATAAGTGTGTGAAGCTACATTATCATATGCAGTACATGTAAAAATATATCAAAACATCTTAAATTTCAGTTACTGGTATGTTATGTGTATATGGGAAACTTAAAATAGTAATAATTGTATTAAAATTACCTTGCGTTTATCATTTAAATTGAGTGCAACAGCAGTAGTGACACAAACAATGATGTTTGCCAGGAGGAATATCATTACATATTTCCAGCGCAGCAGTGTGTCTTCCCTTGAGAGACTGGAACAAACATTTGTGTGTGGTTAACATAAATCTACATGTTTAATATAATAATGATCAATTAGAAAACAACAAGTAGCAAATTCCAATGTACTACTTGTAGGCACTACAGGAAAAATTACAAGAAACTCTAATATTGAGAAAATAAAACATCTTCAAGCATTTTTATAAACTTGGCACTCAGGTAAAGGAGGTAATATTGTCATGTAAAGAACTTACTTTTTATTTTTGCCTAGGATTGTTCCAACAACAACATTACATATTCCAATGCCTATCATCTGCATAGAGGTGGTCAGGCCCATGGCAGTACCAATAGTTGCCTGGGGTACCACCAGGGGGATAGAGGGCCATAGACTTGCCTGGAACCAAACATTTGAAAATACTTTATACACCTCGTGTACATAACAGGTTTATAGTACTATATACACATGTACATATCATTCAGAGACCTTGTATTTGTTAACTCACTCCAAATGGATAGAGAACTAAATCACTTAAATGATTATACTTCATAACACTAACAGTTAAACATATCAGAAACCATTATACCATCTTAGCCTATTTGTCTTTGATGCCTTACATTTTAGGTAAGACTTACCGCTGCTAGAGAGTATGTGATACCAAACCATAGGGTTGCGACTAGAGGATATACAGTGGTAAAGGCCAATATACCAAACACAGGAATAGAGGCCAATGCACAGACGATTGCAAGGTAGCCTCTCTTGCCAAATTTGTCCTGAAATGAAAAATACAAGTACATCTACGGTGTATGACATCATATAAGTGCCCTGAATATCTGTCTTCAATCACAATTTTGATGCCAATGAAAAGATCTTCATAATCTCAAATGTAACATTCATGGCCTTTTGATGGTGTTTAGTGTTAGCAGCAGTTACCAAAAAAGAATCTTTGAATTGCTATCCCCGAAAGATAATTAAATCTTTATAATTATATGTGTAATACCCTAGAAGTGGGGGTTACGAAAACCAACCAATTTTAAAAACAGGGGATATACACCTGGGTAATATACAGTAGATTGAACAATGGGAATAGAGGTTGAATATTGCGTTATTCGACTGAGGAATAAACAATGATTATATTAACTACAAGTAAACATACATGTACTTACAATAATTCCCCCAAGGAAAGGTGACAGAACCATAGAGACATCGTAAACAGCACCAGCTAAATATGCAGACACTTTAGGATCATACTTGTACTTATCATGTATAAACTTGCTAAAACAAAAAATAACAAGGTATTACATGCCAAGTTGTCATCATCTGGTTGCAATTGCAAGTGTAATGATTTATAAGTTAAGAGGCAACAATTCTGACATAAAAATATATTACCAATTTTTAACAATTTTACTACTTCTTAATGATAACACCAAAAAATTCCGCTGGTTAGCCACAAGTTCTAAAACTGAAGCATTCATAAATTGAAGGTGCACCTATCCATAGGCATAAATATAGATGGTAGTAATGGTGCTAGAATGCCATGACTCTAAGTGGCAAAATATGACAAAGATATTGGATTAATAGGGTGCAGGTGGACTCACTCACCTTGCATCTGCAACAAATGGGAAGACTCCATTGTAGAAGAACATGATTGTCAGGCTGAGCAACCAAAATGAGAGGGAAAAGTAACGGATGTCTGAGAATCTCTAAAACAAATCAATACAGTCTAATTTTAGTTTGAGACCAGTTGATGTTGTTCATGCCACTTATGGGGATCTTTTGAAACAATTCTTAGGTAGTTTTTAAATATTACAGGAAACAGATGTCAAACTATTCTCTTAAAGTGATATGGAATTTCATGTCCCTTTAATTGGATTTAATCAGAGAGTGTCTCTTAAGTTAAAATACCGGTATATTAAAATTGAAATAAAGGCCAAACTTTATGTAATAGTATAATTTCCAGAAGTGTCTCATGACATACCATTTTCTTGGAGTTTTCTTTAATAGTGGAATCCGTTCCTAACTGCCTAGTGCCATAGACATCCAACAGTCCAACAATGATGGCTGATATAAAGCCAAAGCCACACAGCATTGCTCCTAAATATATGCAGTATAATGTGTGATTCAATTATTTTTCACATGTTATTTTTTATGGAGTTGTTTATATGTGATTCTTGTTGAGGACACAGTCACATAAAAGATGAACAACCAGATTTAATTATATTATGATGTGAATTTTTGAAAAGATTTCATTACAGGAATGTATTACATACAATCTATTTTTTCCAAATTACTGATTTATTAATAGTACAGTGTAATACTAAAATTCCTTGTTAAAGGGGCACTCATTCTTTCTTTAGTGATTCTTTGAGTTACTGTACAGGAACATGGAGTGTCCTTGTACACATGCTACACTTCATGATAAAATGCCTTGCCACCTGTAACTTCATGCTATTGCTATCTTGAAATAAGTATTCTTATATCCAACATGGAATTGTTATTGCAACTTTAAAATTCCAATGTTTGCACTGTTATTAATCATGGAAAATTACTACCGTATGAGATTTCCCTACCTCCCCACAGGGTCCATGGCAAACCTATACTGCTCACTATATTTTCTGTCACCAAGAAGTTGAGGACACTCCCTAGACGGGAAAATGCTAAAGAAAAGCCAAATGCTAATGCAAGTTCTTTATCCTTAAACCAGAATGCTATGATCCTGTTCTGTACAACTGGAATAAAAAAAACAATAGTGATCATTCAATAGTGACAAAAGAATCTTATGTAGATCCGTATGAAGTGTATGTCCATTCAATTAATGTAATCCATTCAATTACAGAATATCCATATGAAAAAACTAAAACTTACTTGTTAATGAACCATTGCCAGAACCGAATATGAGTCGCCCAATTAGCATAAGAGGCAGCATAGCACCTGAACCCTTAAACATGGCACCCACAGCAAATGTAGATGAACCAACCACACAGAGGAATGAGAAAACAAATACACCAACTGAAAATAACATAGACATAAATGAAAACAGTATACATAATACTATACTATACTATACCATGTACATGTATGGTTATATTGTATCAAGTCAGTCTAATTCCTCACTAGGGGGCACCTTGATTGTATAATTCCTGATTAATTTCACAAAGTAACAGTAATTTTGGTAGTGTGTCTGTATTATAGATAATGCTTCCGGAGTTCATAGAATGAAAGTATATCATCAAGGAAAAATTTGTTTCATCAACCAATTGTAATCTTCTTCACTCTAGCGTAAACCTACATGTATATATACTCACTTAAAGTGTACATATCCATCCATTGAACAACTTAAATGGATTTGGTTGATTCAAATACATTTGATATTCCCAGCAATGAAAATATCTTTGATGAGTTCACTTCAAATGATTATGAATCAATATAGCCTCCCCAGTTACAAATCTATAATGTTAAATTGGTCAGCATTAAGAGTGTCCATTCAGTACAAGTTTTACTGAACAGTGAATCCTGGATATCTGAACACCTGGCTTATCCAAACGATTTAATCTGAAACCTTTTTTCAGTCCCATTTTTCCTCATATTGACTCCCATGTTAAATAAACCTTGAAATCTGATTACCTCCTTATTCAAACAGTCATATTTGAAATATTAACCTCATCTGAACACGTTTCCCGAATTACCACATATTTCTGATAAAACTGCTCAAATGTTTTCAATTTAACTTTTTGTCATTTGTCATTACAGTATATAAAAACTTTATACCAAACCAATATGCAAAGCCAACTTACTTCTGTTCCCTACTTTGTCAATGAAAAATCCTGCACCAATCACCACAACTGCATTGCTGGAGAAGAAAATTAATTGTTATGGGTAATTTACAAAAAGTACATTTAAATGTATCTGGCATCAATTGTTTATATTGGGGTTTACTCCATAGCACAAGGTTGCGTTCCAATCAAAAAAATGTGGAAGTAGTATGGAATATCTGACTATACAAAATTACTATTAACATGAATAAATACCAATGCCCAATTCAGAGTCCTGACATGGAGTGCTATTGTTCCTTTATGGTTTTTGCCATAGAAAATCTAGGTCAAAGAACCAAGTAGCTTTAGTGGACTATTGGTATTGGCAAAAATTCTAGAAGGATAAGTCATCATGCAGATTTAGACATTTGAGGAGCATCACTCTTTTTGCATTCTAGTACAAAAGTCAACGAGAGCAAGTGGTCCTTCATAGTTTGATATACTTACGTCCAAGCATATATAGCATACAGTAGATTGTAGTCATCTGCGGACATCCCCAGGCAATCTTCACAACACGTTGCATTACTACTACTATTGCCAGATGAATTGTTGCCTGATGTACCATTTATGCAGATATTCTGATAAAATTAAAGTAAAACATAAGAAGCATTTCCAAATTTTATTTAAAATAGTACCATGGTTAGTGCGCTCATATGGGAAGGTTTCAATATTTTTAATATTTAACAATAGGAGCTTAGAATAATTCAAGTTTTCAACCATATGAGGTAATAATAACCATTTAAAACAACTGTGTCTACCATTTATTATATTGACCCTATCGAGTACATGTAATCAAAACACTCATAAAAATACAATGAGGATGATTGTTGAGATACAGGGTGTCCAATAAATAAGGTGAAAGATATTGTAACTTTCTTAATATTGCACCAATGTTGATGAAGTTTTCAGAGTTTGTAGGCCAAACATTTTTACCTTTATTCTGTGAATTTAGAGCGTCTTCTATTTGATTGGCTAGAGTTGTGGTTGCTATAGCAACCGAAACAACAAAAAGGCGGGGCAAGTTTGTTTACGTCACAACTTTCCAAAACATATTTATTCTTTCTGATAGCTTTATTCATACTCCCAGGTCTATTACTACCACAAATACAATATAAAAACAATCCTAAAGTCCCATTGTTATGAAAATAAGCTATTCAACATAATGTCCATATCTAGCTATACACTTCTTATGCCTATTCACCCACTCTCTAAACACACTTTCAAACCCATTCTTGCCCATTTCCTGAAGTCTTGCTAAGACATGTGATCTGAGTTCATCAGTGCTTCCAAATTTATTTCCACTCATGTCACGCTTGAGTTCTGCATACAAGTAAAAGTCGTCGGGTGCAAGGTCTGGGGAATATGGAGGGTGTGCAAGTAGGGGTAGCCCCAGTGCCCTAATAGTTTCACTAGTGAGCATAGCTGTGTGTGAGGGGGCATTGTCACAGTGCAGCAGAAACTTTTCTCCTTGACGTTTTTTAACGGAATGGGTTTGAAAGTGTGTTTAGAGAGTGGGTGAATAGGCATAAGAAGTGTATAGCTAGAGATGGACATTATGTTGAATAGCTTATTTTCATAACAATGAAACTTAAGGACTGTTTTTATATTGTATTTGTAGTAGTAATAGACCTGGGAGTATGAATAAAGCTTTCAGAAATAATAGATATGTTTTGGAAAGTTGTGACGTAAACAAACTTGCCCCACCTTTTTGTTGTTTCGGTTGCTATAGCAACCACATCTCTGGCCAATCAAATAGAAGACGCTTTAAATTCACAGAATAAAGGTAAAAAGGTTTGATCTACAAACTCTGAAAATTTCACCAAGATTGGTGCAATATTAAGAAAGTTACAATACCTTTCACCTTATTTATTGGACACCCTGTAATTGAGTTGGAAGCGAATTGAAATATTTATAATCTCACAATTTTGTGTCACAGCTATATGTTTTATTATATATGTGACTTGCAATTTTGTCACACCCTGTATCTCTAATTCTAGATTTGCATTAAAAGATGCACAGTTGTCATAAATACTCACTCCTTGGAATGTGGACTGTAGTACACTGGGCATATCAAAGCAAAAGTATGACCCAAATGTTAGCATACAGGTGAAGAACAGCACCACAAACCGAAATACACCTGAAAATAAACATAAAGTGAGATAACAATAACGCCAATGTGAAGCAAATCACATCGCACAGCTATGGCTGCGGCTTGCCATTTTTACAAATATAAAAATCCCTCTACTACATTTTCAGTTATAGCAAAAATCATAAAGTAAGGCACATCAAAATAACCACCATTTTTTAAAATCGCTGCTCACTAACCAAATAGACTAGATGCGAGGAGAAATAATCATGATTTACCACTGATGGATCCAGAAGCTAACAAGGGGGCTCACATTTCTAATCAGAAAAAGATTTTGGGCCCAAATTTTGAAAGTTTAAGGCCTTTTTCATAAAAAAGCCGAAAAAGGCCAAGTAATGCCGAAAAAAGGTCCACTAATTGATGATTTGCGATCACCGAATGGATTCTATCTTTTAGTGACGTCAATTAGGCCATCCAGCTTTAGAAGCTTGGTTTTGAGAGTTTATCTTCTATATTTCGTGCTTTATTGATTTATTTTTCACGAAAGCGTTCGATTTGACTAGATCAACATTCATCCTAAGCACATACCAAGTCTAAGATCGTACTGACAATGATTTAGATAGCGGTTAAGCACCCCCCGATTTTGACAAAAACGGGGGGCGATTATAGGCATCGATGTTTAGTATGAATTTCACCCAAACTTCGCACATATATAGATATACTCATAATCTAGTCAAATCGGCATACCTGGTAAATATCCGACCCATGGTTTTCATAGAAGAAACGACAATATTTTAAGCTCAAAACTGCCACGTGTCCGCCATTTCGTGATTCCATCATGTCTAATATCATTTCTATATGACGTCACATCAATAAGACGAAATACGTGGCAACAGTATCCATAAACAAAATTCCTGAATTCTGATCGCAAAAGGTCAATTGAGGCCCTACCAAAAAACAATTTCTGCCCCCCACCCTGGATCCGACCGTGATTCACATCATTAAATATTCAAAATTCAGTCAAAGTGATTTCCTACTTGAAATCTACATATAAAAGTACATCAAGAAATGTGGTTTCAAAATTGTTTATCAACTTCTAATATATTTGCCATGTTATCTGACCCAAATTAGCTACCTGGTGGTGAAACTGGTGGTGGTAAAACTACCTACTGGCATCTGGCCTATTGTCAATAAGAAAGCACATATAAAGTTTCAACAAAATCACTCTACTACTTTTTGAGTTATAGTAAAAAACGTAAAATAAACACTATAGAAATGGTGGCATTTTCTCAAAAAGTTGCTCTTAAAAAAGACTTAAATAAAAACCAATGTAGACATGAACTATTAGACACGGTACTATGACTAAAATCAATGAAGGTATATTTATCACCCCCGGGGGGGGGACATTCGGGGGAACGAGTGGACCACCCCCTTAGGCAAATATTCTCTCAAAATCAATACAATTTTTCGCGATTCTGAGCATTTTCAAGTGATTCTGGGCCAAAATTGTCAAATGTCCACCCCTTGATCCTTTTAAAAAGTGAGCCCTTAATTGGCAAAAACTGGCAATACGAGCCTGATATTACTTAGCTTGCAAGTTTGTGCTTTTTCTTGAATTTGTGTTTATTTTCCTTGTACCCTTGCATGCTTTGGATTTTGCAGGACGCAAAACAAAGAATCTACTTCTTATGGCCTTATGCTTATTTAGTCGGATTTAGTTTCATAACTATACAAATCCAAATGGAATCAAAATTGATAAAATCAAAAGACGGTACTCTCTTAAACCAGGGGCGTCAGAAGGATTTGCCAAGCGGAGGGGCAATTTTTGGGTATGGACGGGTCATGCGTGAAATGCGGCACTTTGCTGATCGCATGACCCCAGAAAATTTTCAAAAGACCGTCTCTGGTGCATCCTGCAAGCATATCTCAGCACAATGTTCCCAATAATAAAAACAAGAACAAATTGTGTTTTTAGAAAACTTGACTTGACTTTGACTAAAAAACTGTGACTTTTACTAAAATATACAATTTGCACTTATTTTTCAAAGTATTTACACACTGTCTGGGTGCCTGAGAAACTATACATGGTGTAGAATTAAATATGATATTTATGAGAAATGAGATTTTCTATGCTTGATGTAGGCTAGATACTGACATAGTATCATTTCTGTCATTATTACACTTTGACTTTAATTAGATAGACGTCCTCAGGGCCGTCAGATGGGGGGGGGTGCGATGGGTGCGACCGCACCCCCCTTTGTTACCCCCCAAAATAAATTTGAAAAATATTTTTTTGTAATTTTTTTTCATTGACTCATACACTTTGAAAGTACCCAGAAAGCACCAAATAGCATCTTAAAATTGTAAAATTTTCTAGGGGTATTGGCCACCCCTCACACCCCCCACAAAACAATGGAAAAGTTCTAAATTTATTTTAGTGTTTTGTCTCAGACACTTTTAAAGTGCCCAGACATCATCAAATAGCTCCTTCATATAGTTAGTGTTTCTGGGGGACTTGCTCCCCCTCTTGCATCTTGCACTTGCAACACCCCCCCCCCCTCTGGCGCCCCCCCAAAAAAAGTGATTTTCTCAAATTCTTTACAATTTGAAAATGCCCAGAAAGCACCAAATGGCGTCGTAAAATTGTAAAATTTTCTAGGGGGAGTGGGCCACCCCTCACACCCCAAACAAAACAATGGAAAAGTTCTGAATTTGTTTTATGTATTGTCTCAGACACTTTTAAATTGCCCAGACATCATCAAATAGCTCCTTGATAAAGTTAATGATTCTGGAAGACTAACACTTACTCGCCCTCTGGCATCCCCACTCCACCTCCCCCTCTGGCAGCCCCCCCCTCTTAACACCCCCCCCCCCCCCAATCAAATTTTTTTTATTGACTCATACATTTTGAAAGTGCCCAGAAAGCACCAAATAGCGTCTTAAAATTGTAAAATTTTCTTGGGAAATATCCGCTTTAAGGCACAGACACTTTTAAAGTGCCCAAACTTCTAATGGAATAGCACCTTGATATTGTAAGTTTTGATATGGGGGACAAACACTTGCTCCCCCTCTGGCACCCCAGCCCCACCTCCCCCTCTGGTACCCCTCTCCCCCCCTCTTTGACACCACCAAAATTTGAAAAAAATTGTGATTGTTTTTCAATGTTTTTATTGACTAATACCTTTAAAAGTGCCCAGAAGCACCAAATATCATCTTTAAATTGTAAAATTTTCTAGGAGAGTTAGCTACCCCTTACATCCCCCACAAAACAAAATAAATATTCTGAATTTCATGTATTGTCTCAGACATTTTTTAAGTGCCCAGACATCATCAAATAGCACCTTGATATGGTCAATGTTTCTGAGGGACAACCCCTTGCTCCCCTACTGGCACCCCACCCAACTTCACCCTCTCATCCTCTTTGACACCCCCAAAAGAATTTGAAAAAAAAATCACATTTTTCTTATTGACTCATAACGCACAGGCGTACCAGATGGTTCCAAATTCGCTCCAAATACAAGCAAATTTCAAAATTTTCATGGGGGAGAACCCCCAGACCCCCCTGAATGCTCGGTTTTTTATTCACTCAACTCTTATTCTTGTGGTGGTGGCGTACTACTAACTTAGAAACTTACACTTTGAAAGTGCCCAGAAAGCACCAAATAGCATCTCATTTGTTAATTCCAAACCAATATAGGGAGTAACTGACCACCCCCCACCCCCCTGTCTTACGTGATTTGATTTACGCAGCAAAAAAATGGACAATTTTATATTCCCTTTAGTAAGCTAAAAACCGCACCCCCCTTGGAGAAAAGTGTCTTACGGGCCTGGTCCTTGGCTCTAACTTCCAATTCAAGGAATTCTCGGTTTCAATTCTAAAAAAACTTGGAAAAGGGGGGGGGGGTAGACTTTATCCTCTAGTCTGACTTTCTTTTGAAATTTGGAATGAAAATATTCAGACTATAGCCCACATATGTTAAAATTTGGGATTGAAAATTATTTGTTTACAGAGCAAGTGCCATTCAAAATCATGGCAGATTGGGTAAATTAAACGAAAATGTAAATAAATCTAGAAGCAAGAAAAGGAAACAACACCCAATAAGTTATATATCATTTTGAAGGGCTACCCATTCTTTATGTTTTTTGATAAAAATGTGAATATGCAAATGAGAAAGTGTCATTGTGACGTCATAATTCAAGATGGCGCAGTTGGATTTTTTTTCGAAATGGAATTATTTTAGCATTTAATTTTTTATTGAGACTTAAATTTAAAAATCTGAAAACGCAGAATTATAGATCTTTTTATGCTGATTCCAGTGGTATTTGTACCATGACATAACTCCTACAAATAATTTTTTAGAGCTTCGAGACTGCAAGTTCTCGGAAAATCCCTATGGCAATTTAACATGGGATTTTATTGTTTTTTAGATTCATTTTCATTTCAGCTTTTCACTTTTTTTCCATTTTTCCAAAAATTTATCAGTCACGAAGGAGTTAGAAGTGAATTTATTCAATTAAGTGCAAGGCAAAGATAACTTCAATGTATCTTACAAAAGTCTAAGTTCAAAAGTAGCACAAAATAAAAACCCAAAAATCGCTAGGGGAAATGGTCCTAATTATCGCACGGCCCTATAATTATCGCACGATTGTCCCAAATAGCTGAAATATGCATACACCATCTTTTAAACCAGTGTTACGAAAAACAGTTCACCATTACTCCCAATCTTCATGATTAAATCATATATTTAGAAATATCTCTTCATTTTCAAGAATTGTTTACTTCCGTTATTGTCATAAATGCTATTGCGCAAGAAGTGAAATTCGTCTGACAAAGTTTAACCCCCCTCCAAATAAAGACGGAAAAGTAAGTGTATATAATGTATATTTAATTTTCTTGATATTTTACACTAAAACTGATAGAAAAATGATCATAGCATTTGTATGTATCTGTTATAAACAGAGAAATGTATACAGTATCGTGAAATGACATCTGAAACACAACTGTGCGATAACTAGGACGACTGTGCGATAATTAGGACCACCGCACATGCGAGTCTAATAAAGGGGTCTTAAAGTGTTATTGGAGAAATGTCAAACACTAAGACTTAAAATTAAAGAAGAAAGGTTGACCTTTCATCTCATATTCTCAAAGTATGTTGAAGTTATCATATTTGAAATCGTCAGTAGTTTTCCAGAGTACCCACTGGCGGATTAGGGGGGGGGCCTGGGGGCCCGGGCACCCCCCTTGGGTGGGCCCAGAAAAAAAAATTGGGCCCCAAAAAAATTTTGGGCCAAAAAAGGCCTTCAGGCCCCAAAAATTTTTGGTCATTCCTGGGCCTTTTAAGGCCTTATTTTTTAATTTCAGGCCAAATTTTGAAGAAAATGGGCCTCAAAATTTCAAAATTTGGGGCTACTTTTTGGTTTTAGGGGCCCAAAATTTTTTTTAGACTTTTTTTCTCTGACTTGAAATTTTGGCCCCCCCCCCCCTTGTTGATTACCAGATCCGCCCCTGGTACCCGTGCGGTGATAGGACCATTTCCCTACATCGTGACGCTGATGATGTTCGAAATTATGTGCCTTATAAATATCTTTATCTCTAGGGACAGATTCTTATGTTCTATACACATAGTAATATTTCCAGCAACTTCATATGGATTGAGAAATTGAAGGTTGAATATTCGGAGAAAGGTCGTAGGGTCGAAGGGTTTTTAGTACATTCCTCAGAAAATCTATACTTACAACTTTCAGCATTCAACCTCATTGTTCTACTTCTTATACTACTACTTTGTTGAAGAACTATGAACTCTTAGATCCTTGACAATTGACATGTTAAACAACCACCACCCCCATGTGTTGTTTGCAGACAAAAAAGGTGAAACAATCTAAATGTCAAATCAAAATCGAGGGAGAAGTATGTGTAGGTATTTATTTTCCTCAACTTATAAGATAAATAAATTAGATGTATTAATTGAGCAATTTATGAATATCACCCCATGGTCATAATTAGTACAAGACTTTTGTTGTACACTAATAATATGTATTCTTCTTCTTGTATATATTCGTTTCTGCGTTGCCGGAACCCGGAAGTTTGGTTGCTATTTTAGTGAGTATCTAAAATGGAGGGCACCGGGAAAGTTTTTTCAAATGAAAATGATGTCAATTTTGTCAATAACAACGAACCAAACGATATACAGTGGAAACCAATATCATTAACATATGTAGAGTATCCATCTGGTAAGTTTATTTTATCAAATGCTGCACCAGAATTAGAAGAAATGCTCCAGAAATATTTAGATAAAATCCACGTCAATTTTTTAAACTTCCCATAGGCTTACCAAAGGGAAAAGTAGTAGGAAGCTATGGATATAACTATCAAGGGTTTAGAAAACAATAAAAATGCGTTTTTTGAAGAATGTCATCAATTAGATTCATTTTCATAATATATGCAATAAATATGCTTTCGCTTTCTAATCAAATCGGAAAGTACTCTAATAACGAAAGTGAAAGTACTTGGCTGTTGTTAGAAATTCCCCTCAATAAATGTCACAACGAATGTCTCCATACCATCCAATCGCATATTGATGATGTAATACTCGTAGCCCGCTTTTGTGAAAATCCAATATAATGTGACGTCATTTCCCTAACAACGATAGGCTTGGAGAAACCCCCAAACTGTCAGTCGATTTCCCGAATTATTTCACATTTAAATACCAAATAAACTTTAATAAAAGTGAGTGAGTTTTCAAACTAAACAGAAAAAGTGGCTGATAATGTACCTTACAAAGCTGCTAATGTACTTGTGTTTATTGTTGTAATTTTAAATAAAGAAATAAAATATAAAAAAACAACTACTGTCTACTGTATAACTGTTATCTGATGAATGGTACCCTGCCTTCCAAATGGTAGTAAATGAACTCCAAGTAACTACATTAGCTTATCTTTCCGTCCGATCAACAATAACTTCAGTTACACAAAAAATGTAAACGAACTGAAAATATTCCCAAAAATTACATTGTGATCGTAAATATGTACTTAAAGGTGCAAAAAGTAGTGCAGAGGGGCCATTCAACGATCATGGACCAGTGTCAAAATATATTTAAGTTTGGATATTTCATCAAGACTAACATCTTTTTTTTTTTCTACAAAGAAACCCACTAGATAATCATTATTTCAGCTTATATTCCTCTTGAAACATGGTGGATCTTAAAAATATAAAAGTTAACGTCCTCTTTTTGAAGCTTTGAACTGAATTTACACTTTTTTAATGCCGAAATTGATAGTTTATCCATACATTTTAAGGTGCTATGGAAGTTAACAGGAAGTGACAAAACAGGAAGTGACAATTTTTTTTGAATTTTTATATATTTTTGGAATAAAGATAACAGAGTTCTGGTTTGACCTCCAGTCAATTTAACTATATCCACATATCATTTACATGACCAGGATCACAATGTGCATGATCAGAATGACCCTAAACATGATGAAATAACCTTTTTAGCCCTTTGAAAGTGTGACTGAAAAAAAGCTAGAAGTAGGAGCGTAGGGAAGGTCACTGAACAGAATCTTTTGAATTTTTCAGAAAATGTGCCCAATATATTGCTCTAAATGATACAATCTTTGAAAATTTGATATCATTCATAGAAAAAGAAAAAAAATGAAAAAACTGATTTAAAAAGCGATCTATTTTCCTTTTTATGACCGCCATTTTTGTTTAAGACAATTTTCTAATATTTCAAAGATTGTACTAGTTAGAGCATTATATTGGGCACATTTTCTGAAAAATTCAAAAGATTCTGTTCAGTGACTATCCCTACGCTCCTACTTTTAGCTTTTTTTCAGTCACACTTTCAAAGGGCTAAAAAGGTTATTTCATCATGTTTAGGGTCATTCTGACCATACACATTGTGATCCTGGTCATGTAAATGATATGTGGAAATAGTTAAATTGACTGGAGGTCAAACCATCTTTATTCCCAAAATATCTAAAAATGCAAAAAAAATTGTCACTTCCTGTTTTGTCATTTCCTGTTAACTTCCATAGCACCTTAAGAAAATAGGTATGTCAAAGAACATGTTAAGCCAACTATTGCCTTGATAGCTCAGAAAAAGTTAAAATTTTCCTATTTTCACTCTACAAGCCTTATTGCCCCTTTAAAGCCCTCAAAAAGGACAAAATTTGATTGGTCAATATTTTCCAACGATAAATTTCGCGAAGCTATAATCAAACTAGTTATGCAATTTTGTTTTTACACCCGCACGCTAAATAAAACAATGACACTATCAAAGGTATTGTTCTTTGTCATTGCTTTAATGGTCAGGGGCCCGTCTTGTAAATTTATTAATACAGATGTATTAGTAAATAATTAAAAAGTTATGAATGAGTCATGAATTCATAAGGAGGAGGGAAAGTATCGCAACAGATTTCGGACAGTCATATGTGATTCCTCTTAGATAAAGTGGAAAACAATATTTGCCATGTTATTTTCCCATAGGGAAAACTCATGCAATCCATTGCTTTCAGCTAATTTTTGTCACCCATAATGGATATTTTTAAAACCCCTGAAGGAATCACTTATTCCTTTAAAGGGGTTAACTGTGTGTTAAGATACAACATATTGATGCAAGAAAAATTAAAAAAGGCAGGGGTGGAAGGAGTTGAAAATTAGGAAAACATTTCAGAAAAAAACATGTGGGTGTGTTGTTTGCATCTTCCCCGTCTCAAAGTCAAAATTATTTCATCATCTCTAGGAGTGCTTTTCCTAGAGGTAATGCATTGGTCTAACAACCTGTTTAAATCCTCAGAAAATAGCCAAAATCCAACATATGACTGTCCGAAATCTGTTGCAATATTTTCCCTCCTCCTTTACGAATGGACGGTACACATTTTATTCATAATTTTTCAATTGTTTAGAGCTAGATTAACGAATGGATTGACGTCATATTCCACAGTTGTCTGGACAGATAGTCCAGATAGTACAACAAACAAGATTTAATAAAATCAAAGTCATATGATAAGTGGTATAAAAATAGAGATTGAAGCAAAAATAGAAATAGAAATAAATTGATAATAATTCGATGTGTTGCCCTTAGTCTACTCTGATTAAAAAATAACAATACGTCACAAAATACAATAAGTAAGAAGCCGTTCACAAATTTATGAAAGGGTCAGAGGTGCTATTAAAGTAAGGAATGACAGCAGACATGAAGTCACTTTTTTCATAACTTGTTAATAATTTGTGAATCGTTCATAACTTTATTAATGGCACAGAAATGCAACTTTATGGAATTCGTAAATTTAATAGACTTACGAAGGTTTGTTACTACGAACAGTACAAGAATGGACCCCAGTATACTAAGTATAATCAAGAAAAGCTTGTACAATGAACAATGAAATTTAGAAACGAGTGCTATAGATTTGCTTTCGGACACTGAACTGATTGACCTAGATAACAGTGACGCGTCTTCTTTGGTAAACTGCTCAATTGTTTGTAGGATTTCAACGTAACTCTATAATGCAATTTGAAGATGAGTACGTTTATTCTGTTGTTGCATCAATGTTGCAGTTTGCAGAGCGGTAAGATTGGAATGAAAGTGTTGAAAGTCAAATGAAATTATTTTTTCCAATATGGCGACTAGTCAACTGATCATGTGACATCTTCTTCTGGAATATTTTCTCACTTTTCAATCATCGTCTTCACCACGCTATGAATCAAAACATGGGCTTTCAACTAGAATTGAAAAAGTCCATGATCAAAACAATGAAAAAGATATCTGTTATATTAAAATTAATAGGAGATCAATTATTTCTGATAATAATCTGAATATGAACGAATATATCGATTGATAAATAGGTGTTTTCAACGTAACTTTATAATGCAACTTGAAGATGAGTACTTTTATTCTGTTCTTTCATCAATGTTGCAGTTTGCAATGTGGTAATATTGGAATGAAAGTGTTGTAAGTCAACTGAAATTATTTTTTCTAATATGGCGACTAGTCAACTGATCATGTGACATCTTCTTCCGGAATATTTTCTCAATTTTCAATCGTCTTCACCACGCTATGAATCAAAACATGGGCTTTCAACTAGAATTGAAAAAGCCCATGATCAAAACAATGAAAAAAATATATGTTATATTAAAATTAATAGGAGATCAATTGTTTCTGATAATAATCTGAATATGAACGAATATATCGATTGATAAATAGGTGTGAAAATCCCCATGTTAAACCTATGGGGGAAAACAAGGAAGTATGAATTTGTTCCTCCATGAACTGCATCATGGGAAATATTTTGACCTTATAAGGAAAATCTTTCGCTTCTCTTCATTTGAAGAGGGAACAACAAATATGACAATTGACTGGAGGTCAAAACAGAAATCTGTTATCATGTTCAAAAAATGTCTAAAAATGCAGCATGTTTTGTCATTTCCAAGTACCGTGGCACCTTAATGGTATTTGAAAGAAAAATTTATTAAATACTTTAAAGAACTACCTGGAGATCTATAAATGATACAAAGTATTATACAAATATCTACTCTTCTCTTTCAATTGAATACAAATGTTGGCCATAAGTTTAGGGAATTGAGGTGATGGTCATTACAAAACCTAAGCTCACAAATCATGTTCTCAATTAGCAATATTTAGCCAAAAAGTCCAAAATTCAATTAGCTTTATTATGATACTGTATATAGAATTATGGGGCCATGTGATCTAGGATCGGCTGTGGATGGGGCAAGAATCATTATAAAACACCCTGTTTATTGTAAACTTGTGAAACGTTAATTAAATATTTATACTTTTGACATATTATTTTTGAAAGTTTCAGTTACATAGAGCAGGACAATGATGATTGAAACATGATTAGAATTTTACCATCTTTTTTTTCAGGTGACTTATTAGGGAAAGCCTTGGCTTGGTGTAGCTTGATTCCAATATTCCTTCTTGTTAGTTTTGCAACATTGATCATCTTTAGGAGAGATCTACATACAGTAAGTATTGTTCACCTGCCTAAATCAGTGGAGACGATTAGGTCATTTAACGTTTATCTCGTCAATTAACGTCATTGCTGAATATAAACCATAACCTTGCGCAAACTATTTCTTTCCACAAACGTTGTAATTATACCTGCTGATTATAAGGAAATAAACCCCCAATGGTCAACATTCTAAACATTGATTGATCACTCCAAGAAAATATCAAAAGCATGAAGTATTATTTGGAAAAAGTTATCCCGCTGCTATCTTTGGGATAATCTATTCATCCATCCATTGGTCCATCTGTCCATTCATACATCTGTCGTCGATAACTCAAATACCTAATGGGCATAGATTTTCTTGTAGTGATAGTTATGGACACCTCAATATATTATAGCCATATAAGTTATTATTTAATGCCTATGCAATTTACTTTTAGATCTGCTACTTGGCTGGAATAGTGTCTAATGAAGGAGTTAACTGGCTGTTAAAGCATACAATAAAAGAAGCAAGGCCATCAAAAGGTAAAATTTATGTATTAACTAAATTTGTATTCATGAATGCAACTTTGAGCTGTCAGCTACCAGATTAACCTACTATTTTATGGGCAACTCATTTAGATATGAATAGTACCTGTGACTGTTTCATTCATTTCAAATGAGTTGGTCATAAAATAGTAGTTTAACTGAGTAGCTGACAGAAGAAAGTTGCATTCGCGAATACAAGCTAAGTAAAGTATAAAATAATAGCATTGTTGGGATGTTATTTCTTCCAAAAAGGTAGCTTGATTTTCAATTTTAAGGTATAAACACAACTAATTCTCTGATTAATTTTTACATCCATTGTGTTTTCCAGACAAAAGAATCTTATATACAGAATATGGAATGCCTTCTAGTCACTCACAGTTCATGTGGTTCTTTACATCATATTTAATACTTTTTGTTTTAGTAAGGTAAGAACAATAAAAATATTGAAACACTTAAAGATATTCATATCACCTTAATATTTTCAAAACATCGGAACCTTCCTAATAAATATAAATATGTATTACATGTAGTTCAAAATTTTGACACGACTTGATATTCATGATTCAAACAAACCTCTCACTGACTCTATATAGTGATTTACTACATGTTTATGACTGTTTGTTTTTTATTTCTACTGTTTGGTATTCTGTTAAGTATATATAGATTATCCTTTATTAGGTTCAGGATATCTGATTTATTCTGAGTTCTGAAACCTGTTTCATGTGCCTCAACCACGTTCAAGTATGGGATAAATATGTTTTGTTTATTTTGTAGAATATACAAAAATAGCAGTTTATTTGATGAGCTGTGGAAATATGCAGTGAGCGCATTAGCTTTAGTAGCATCAACTGCTGTCTGTTACAGCAGGTAATATTATTACAATGTCCTCCCTAGAAACTTTACACCAAGTCTTTATACAAAGTTCATACCAGTACATGTATGCCAATATTTCATCAGTTTTCAAGTGAGCATTTTTCTGGAGATCAGTTGATCCTCAAGACACAAAAAGTTAAGCTGCTTTAATTAAGATCTAGGTGTGTTTTGATAATGAATTTGGCAATACTGATGATAATACCCAGAGGCCAACTGACTAATCTAAAGAAGCCCTCCTTGAAAGTCTCAGCCTGTCTATTACAGAGGCCATGAATTGGATTAGTTTTGTTCATTGCAGGGTATATTTAGGGTACCATACAATACGTCAGGTGCTGTGGGGAGGTGTAACAGGGTCCACTCTAGGTATATTCTGGTTCATCATGGTACAGTTTGTCTTCACACCTCTCTTCCCTACCATTGCAGCATGGTAAGATATTTAGTGGAGAAATAGATATTCTATATTGTATGTTTAAAACATGTTTTGCCCACCCTGTAGATACTGATTTTAAACCTGTGCAAAACTGGTACAAGTAGAGTCCTTGTCAAATATTTTAATGGATTAGATTTAAAGCATTGGAATTAGCATGTTGGATATTTTAACAAAAGGAGACAGTGTGTCTAATCCTAATATATCCCTTGAAAACATATTTAGACTAATTGATATTTTGAGCAAGTTCCTTATTTTGTTGTATTTCCAGGCCAATCTCAGAGCACCTTATGTTACGCGACTCAACACTCATTCCAAATGTGATGTGGTTTGAATACACATCTTCACGAGTAGAGGCAAAGTATGTTATATTCATTTTCTGTTAATTAAATTAATGATATTGTTGGTCTAATGATAGCCACAGGTAATGATTTAAAGGCAGAATCAACAATTGGACAGTGACAAAGTTGAAAACAACCTTAAATTTAACTCAAGAAAAATAGTCAATATCATGAATATGTAGGCAATGACTTCTGAAGTCAGTCCTCAGTTGATATCACCTGATCATGAAATAATCTATTATTATGCAATGAATATGAATCGTATATTATGAAAACTGTGACATTTTGACAAAAAAGCTGATTTTACTAAAAGAAGGTGTTCTCCTGTAATAATGCATCGTTGTTATCTTTCAGGAGGCGATTGAGAAAGTCCAAGTCAAACTAACAATTGAAGACCAAACAAGGATATCAGGAATTACAAGAATTGTATTTATCTGTGATCAACATAAAAAGAGGTGTCCATGTGAAATTGGATAATTTTGTATTGCTTATGTTTTGGAGGCTTAAGTTGTATAGACCTTAATTTTGGTACCTTATAAGCCCCTTTCCATGCTGAAACTAAGGACATCACATTCAATTAGATGATTAAGTGGTCTGATGGTTTATGATAAAGATTATGGACACAGTAAAAATGTTTGTATTGAATCTTGAAAACACAGTACTGTATTGTGCATTATGTATAGTATGTACTGTACATTATGCATGATAAATCTTAGTAGGTCTATTTTGTGACTTATTTACTCTGAGTTTTCATTGCATACATTATCTGAAAATCTAGAGGATTTCAGAATTATTAGTGGCAGGACTTTTAGCTATTTGCAGTGACAAATACTAAATAGATAAGATATGTTCGATATATATATGAACATACTTTTTTCTGAAACATCTTATTGAGAAACATATAATTGCATTTCAAAACTTATTTTGCTGACATGTATTCAAGACATATCAGTGATCTCCCCAGCATTAAAGCAAGTGGGCGCAGCATCCACCTGCAATTTTAAAAACAGTCTTGCACCTACCTGAAAATCCATTTGCACCCACTTGAAAATAGAAAAATCATGAGAAATAGGCACATTTCTTTGACCAATTTTTTGTGAAAAGGAGAATTTTGCACCAACCAAAAAATCCTGTTGAGAACACTGCATACCATGTAAGTCAAACTTCCTTGATTAGATAATCATTTTCATTACTGAATTATCACAGAGGGAGTGTAAGAAATAATTGAGGGTGCCAGTCTGAATCAAAGACTTTTAAACATTGTGACAGAATAGGTCAAAATATGGTAATACATGTACTAAAATACCATAATATTGGTACATCATAATGCTACTAGACTTTCCTATGGAAATCTTAAAAATCTGCTGTTTATACATGGAACTAATGTAATTACTTTCACACAGCAAACTGAACGTTTGTTTGGTTTTATTTAAGACAATGGACTCCAATTTGTTTTTTGGTATGTTTATTGTAAAACATTGCCAGCATAATCAATCCAAAAGCATAATCTTGTTTATTATGTCATCATCAAAAGTGGTGGCATATTGTATATTGTCTCCAACTTTTTTGTGGATGGTGTTTGGCAGTCAATATCTTTAACAAATGGCAGGTAGTGACATTTTGCATGTTCATGTCTTGTTTGACTTTTGTTAAAAAAATAAAACAAGAGTCCTTTGTATCAAACTTGGATTTATTCAACTGAATTGTTAATTAACTCCCAAACTACACCATATGCATTCACAACAAAATGTTCATAAATATATCTCTTGTAGGTAGACCATAGCTTGAAACGGCTCAGTCACGCTTACCTAGGATTAAGTTGGTTTTGAATAAATCTTGGCTACTTGGGATTTATCTATTTCTTAACTCATGTATTTTACTTTTGAGTGTATACTCTTAAAGTATGAGTATGTGAGCATGATGATTAAAAATGTATTTTATTATTACACACATATCTAGGATATATTGCAATTCTCATAATGGTTTGATTTTTACCGGTGGTGTTTTTGTAACTATGCATTTTTGTGAAAAAATAAATCGAAACTGCAATTTATTTAAAACATATGTCATGGTTTTTTAAGTACTAGATAGTATTCTAATATGATATGGGAAGTCATAAACTAAATTAAACTGATTCGATTCTATGATTTGTGGCAAATATAAGACCTTTTAAGTGGTGACATATTGTTTTAGTCTCCAACATTTGGTGTTTGGCATCCAGCATCTGTAACATGACATCTGTAACATGGTGTCTGTAACAAATGGCAGGTGGTGACATTTAGCATCCACTGCCATGTTCTGCCCAATGTCAAAGACCTCGTATACTCTGTGATTTGGTAAAAAAATTGGTTGTATATTGTGCCATAAATCATAGAATCTCAATCTTTATTCGTGAATTACTGTATTTGTCTTTAATATTGGCACTTCAAAGAGAAAATTCTAGGGATTAAGGAATGGGTACCATTTACACAATTTGAGAAATCATTGGCATACATGAAACCTATTTAAAACAGTAAAAATATTATTTAAAAGCATTTAGGATCAATGATTCCCAGTCCTCTGAAGTTCTCTGAATTGAAAATGAGAAATATTGTAGGGGATTATATGGTGCAATCTTATAGTCAATAAAAATGTTTTAAAGAGTATTGATGTTTTTTGGATGAAAAACATAAGCGAAATGCATGAAAAAACTCCCCCGATTCATTCTACAAACAACTCGAAGTCCTTTGTTTTTCATTGTCATATGCGGCTTTGTGGTTTGATAAGGACCTGACTAAAGGTTTGAGCACAATTGATATATTACATGGTTACCATTTTTCATCCATTCTATATATAAATGGCTTTCCTTTAATACTCATTACACCTGACAGCTAATTTGTGATCATCTTATTTATTTATTTGTTTACTTCATATACATGAAAATCAAATATTTATTGAAAATCAATGTAGTTTGTCATTCATAATCCTCCAGTTCCTTTGTAGGTCATGGTCAACCAAACATCTGAAACATCATGATGGATTACAATATATGTTCATTGCATATATCCTAAATTGGTGTTTAATGGTTTCAACACCTATGGTTTCATATCACTACATGTAAGCTTTCCATTTGTGTATAATCTGTGCATGAAATACACATTGTACAGTATTGGGTGTCAATATTGGGACAAGCAGGGTTGAATTCTTTTGGTTTTCTAAAATGTTACCCTATTCCAATTCAGTTGTGTAGATGAAAACTTGATATTCAATTGATAAACCTGAACATCTCTGGATACAATGCCATGCATTTAATTCATGTACTAGTAGTCTCTAAACTATCAGTTTCAGAAAGTTATGCTTTGAACCTTGGGGACATTGTATGACTTTTTAATGTAACTGACATGTTGGATAAGTAGATATTAATTCAAAGAGCAGCATTGATCCTAAAACCATTATGTTGTTCTGATCTTTTCCATGTATCATAAATATATGTTGTATGATTCCATTACCTTAAGATTCTACAGAGTGGCACAATGGCAATTGCCTTGACATCCACAACGCTTGTCAATATAACTTGGATCGCTTTGGGGAAACTCATTGCAGTCTGAGAACATGAAATAACTGAAACTTGTAGCCCTCCTACGCGGTGAAAGATCTTCCTGTCTTATAGTTACACAACCACATGCCTTTTTTGGACACACACACAAGCTTCCGCGATTTTCACTGCAGTTGGTAAATCTCCAATCGCTTGGTTTGGACAATTTTTCAAGCTGTTGGGAACGTAATGATGCTTCACACAACACAAGCAGACACAAAACAAGGATAGGCAAACATCCGTACTTCATCTTAAAAAGGATAGTCATGTTGATATCAAGACAAGGATGCAATCAGTTAAAATGAATGAATGCAAAGAATTGCAGAGTCAATATGGCATACTTTTATGCAACAAAATTGCATTGGTATATTTTAAATGTAATTGCATTATACATATGCTACCAGAAATAGTTTTCTATTTTTATGCATTTTACCATAAAAAACAGGAACAATTGTTACAAATATAACAAAATTCAAGTTATCAAATAATGTTATCTCATAATACTCTTCATATTCTCTTATTATTTTGCAATGACAGCTCATGAGGCACACATACAAGTAAAGTATAGCCAAAAATACATTATTTCATCAAATGATTAATTTTTTATCAATGGCCTGTATAAAAAGTCATGTGTTGTATACATTTAGAGAATCGATATTTGTTTTATATTATGCAGTAATTAATTGTAGGCTAACCTCAATGTTTGTAAATTTTAGAATGAAAATACTAATATGACACAAATGTAGCTTTAGATAAAACTTTTGTTATCAAAGATGTAACTTCTAATTCCTGCACTTACCATTGCTTACTTGTGTTTTTGCAGTGATTTTGATCAGATACCAGATGCTAGGTTTTTATATTTGAATCCAGTTTTCTATGAAGGATATGAAATAAACGGAATAGGAGATTATCTGTATTATTTAAAGGTTGATAAGTTGTTTTTTAAATAGTTACTTTCAAAAGTCAATATTACCATTTGTTTTACTTGATTATTATTCCCATTATGTAATTGTTATTTGGAAATTTTTTTTTGTACTTATTATTATGAACATAAGACCCATTGAATCATTATTTTGCCTCTTGATAAATTGTGTTTAAATTGTTTTACTCGATTACATAATTAATAATCCCATTATGCAATTGACACTCAATAATTGTAATAGATTTTTCTAGTTATTATCATGTCATAAAAACCATTTAATTATTATTCCCTTGAAAGTTATTTTTATCACACTTCCAATTTTGCAATCAACATATTTGGTGTATATATTTGGTGTACATATCATATATTTGTTGTACATATTTGGTGTATTACAGTATGTGGGTGAGCTGAAGAATGCTTAACATAATTGATATTTGGGAGATCAAGATTTTGAAATTAATATTTTACTTATCCAACAATGTCAATTACAACCAGAACAACAGCAACGCCAAAGCGTAGCGAATCCCATCGAACAGAAATGGCTGGCATTTTTACAAACGAATAGCAAATATCATAAAACAACACACCAGAAAGGCCACCATTTTCAAAATGGTTGCTCACTAGCCAAGTTGTTATCAGAAGAAATAATATGCTTTTAAGTAGCCACCTCTAAAATTTTTGAAAAATCACACATGTACTTGTAAAATAACACACATAAAAATGGTTTCCATTTTTCAAAATGGCCGACTACTCCCCAAAGTTTTATTAGACAATGTGCCATGCTTAAAGTATTCACATATCAAATATGAACAAAATCGCTCCACTACTTTTCGAGTTATAGTAAAATACGTTAAAATGGAGGCCATTTTTCAAAATGGCCACCTTCTACCAAAAGTGTCATTAGAAATAGACAGTGTGCCATGCTTATAGTATTCACATACCAAATATGAACAAAATCGCTCCACTACTTTTCAAGTTATAGTAAAATACGTTAAAATGGCTGATGGCGGCCATTTTTCAAATTTTTTTTCAAAATGGCCGCCTTCTACCCAAAGTGTCATAGGACAGTGTGCCATGCTTATAGTATTCACATACCAAATATGAACAAAATCGCTCCACTACTTTTCGAGTTATAGAAAAATACGTTAAAATGGTGGCCATTTTTCAAAATGGCCGCCTTCTACCAAAAGTGTCTTTAGACAGTGTGCAATGCTTATAGTATTCACATACCAAATATGAACAAAATCGCTCCACTATTTTTTGAGTTACAGCAAAAATTGTAAAATGACGAGTAAAGGCTGCCATTTTTCAAGATGGCTGCCATATGCTTCTTTAATATCTACATTTGTAGCATTATTAATGCCCCTTATAATTTTTTTACATTTAAAACATATTGCTATTACAGTTTTACATATAGCACCTAAATTACTGTAAAATCGGCACTAAAATGGCCGCCATTTTGAAATGAGTGGCCATTTTGAAAATCGGCTTTCGAGCAGAACTTCTACCCTCATAGGGTATATGTGTACAAAATATGAACAAAATCGGACCAACGGTATTTGAGTTATTGCCCGGACGGACGTACGGACGGACAGACGTACGGACGGACGGACGGAGGCGTTCCCTATATCCCTCCGAACTTCGATGGGATAATAAAAAAGCATATGCCCATGTTTTTTTATTTTTCATTTCAATTGAATACACAATAAACAACAATAACAAGCAGATAATTAATATCATCAACCCCACTGTAGCCTACTGGTCTTTATTAAAAAACCCAGCTTACTGAATTGCACAATATCAGTCTCATGATCAATGGTATATATAGGGTAACCAGTACAGTGCGCTCGTGTATGCTCAGTTAATACACCAATGGAAAGCTTGCGTATAGAATTAATGACACCATGGTGTTCCAAAAAATATTTTAACACCAATTTTGGATTAGTTTTTCAAGTTATGTCTGGTCAAAGTGCCCATGTTTTTTGCCTCAAAATGTCTGCCATATGGGATTTTATTATTATATATTCTATTATGTTGTTTGTGCTATCCACATTTATTTCTTTCACAAAAATAAACATTCTGTAGAAATTTAATCTACAATTTTAATTTACCCTTTGTAGGCCATATCATGCAATTTCTTCATCAGGTGTTCTCTCAACTTCCCTTGAAGCTCAATTTTTTAAGGAACTTTATTCACAAAACAATATAACAATCTTTGATTTCATTTCCATTGATTTCATTGAACACATTTCCTCACATTGCAGTTCAAGTTAAAATATATTGACACAGCCATCTTTATAGCTGAAGTTCAATATGGTGGTCCCCATTCTGTGTTACAATTTGGCTTCACAATATCAGAAAATATGATGTTTGCAGTAAAACCTGTGTACAGTGAACACCTATAAACCCAAAGAAATGTGCTCACTATTGGAAGATAAGATGTTCACTTCAGAGAGGCAATTTTAAACAGAACTCAGTGGAGTATGTGCTGAGAATGTTAACTAGACAGAAATGTTCACTAAGACAGGTTTTACTGTACCTGGGTAAATTTGAGATTTATTTGAGGTGGTACACATTATCAAAGAAAAACTAAATTGTCTGCAGTTTTGGACCAATTTTCCAAAAATGATGGTGATAATGTAAGTGTTTTGTCTGAAAGGGAACAATTTGAGGAAAATAACCTGATTGCATGGAGTTCCACATTACAGTACGGTTTTCTAACAGAGTTTTGTAAGGCCAAATGGAAGTGCCAAAGTGCCACATATGGAAACCTTGCCTTTCTCATGTGAAAAACCTTGCTTTTAGGAGAGGCCTATTTTTCTTCAAAATATTCAAATTCCAAACAAGGAGCACCAATATATTGTATGAAGATGCACAATATAATGAATCAAAACTTTAATTTGGCAAGTGCAATGAACACCTTTTGTAATCTATCATTCCACTCAAGCTTTGTTTCCTTAACTTTGCATTTCCGCTGTGTGGTCATGCAGATGTGAAAACTACACCTTCAGGAGGAATGATTCAGCACACAATGCATCGAGTCTGGCTTAAATCCTTTAACAATGTTGTAGTCCATATGACACACCAAACCAAGAACGAAAACAACTCACAATTACAGTAATTCAAATTTTATTGCCTCATGAAATTAGTCACATTTGAATTCAACTTGTATTTTATAGATACAAGTAGAAACTTATTTTCGTCCTACACATTATACACAGCATGAAAGATATGGTCATTCCTTGTATGCTGGAGTTCATTCAGTTCCTATGAAGTAGCCTGTTTGAAGCAATTCTATGGAAATAACTTGTTCCAACACTTCATGTGTAGTGCTACATTCTGCTGTACAGTAGTCATAACCCTTATAACCCAACTGTTTATGAGCAAAGGCAAAATAGAACATTTCCCACTCTGTAGCAAGCTGGTTGTTGTATTGTTCTTAAATTAAGTGTTTGTCAAGTAGCAGGATTAATGGACATCAATGATCCAAATAAGAAATGTTGAATTACGGGATGTTTGGCTAAAACCTGGAAAGCAATAAAGTAATATTTTAATGAATTATTCTGGTCAAGGGGAAACTAAAACTGGTCCCCTAGTGTGTAATCATAAGTTCTTTATCATGTCAAACATGATTGAGAAAAGACTTAATGAATTATAGACATAGATGCCTAAGAAGTATGGACAACTTTGCCCATATCAATTTTCATCAATGGAGACACAATGGGATGCAGGAGACTTATACAAGCTCCTGGAGACCCTAGGATGCACAATACATAATTACAGTGTATATTCCATCTTACCTCTGCTTTATACATCTTCATTAACCCTGAATTGACCTTCTCCCATTTCTGTACTCCACTTATGTTCCAAAGTTGGTTAGAATGCTCAGCAAATGGACCTGTTTTTACCTGCAAGAACATAAATGACTCAATACCTTAATAATAAACTGTATGCGCAAGTAGTCATGGCATGTATCGTTATTACTGGCCAATAAAAACACTGTGTTAGCTGCATACAATGCAACTAGTATGGTCTCATCATTTATCAATCATAGATAAATGCTTAGATCATTTACTAGAAATACACACAGAGTGACTCAACAGGCAGAAAGTAACATACAACATTTCTTTATAAAACAACTGTGTAAAATTGGAAATTCATGAATTTCTTAATTATGGAAATATCCTATTGCTCATAAAATGTAATTACTACAGTAAAAAATGACGATATTGTAAAAACTGGAAATTCCTAGAAATTATATTTAATTCTGCCTAATTTGCTTAATCTCCTATTACTCATAAAACGCAATAACAGCACATGATTAATGCTGTATTCTAGAGACTATGAAATAAATTAAAGTAAAAATTGAAACTGCAAGCTGTCTGACAACAATTTACAATAAAACTTTAGTTATCATTTTTATGTTGATCCTTTTTCATTTATAAGCATTTAAAATGAGATAAAAAGTTATAATCTTATGGAAGTTTTCAGAAAACAAGAATTCAACTAAGATTTTCTAATTAAAATTTAATAATTGGGATCTATACCTTGATGGAACAAAAATATCTTACCTTATTTATATGTTCGATACTGCCGAGAAACATGAAGTCTTTTGAAAAGGAGAGACAAATATCAGGATCTGTGAATGCCTTAGGTTTGATTCTTTGATGATCTGAAACACAAAATAGTAAAAATAAAATATCTGTATATCTAAAAAAAAAATCTTACAAAATCATGCAGTTTTTCACCATTCTGAGCACTTTTCAAGGGAATTTGGGCAAGAGTTGTCAAATATAGACCCCCTGGGACTTTTTGAAAAGTGAACCCCCTTGGTAAAAGCTTGCTATGGGCCTGGTTTCTGTGTAATAAAAATAAATTTAATGAACCAAAATTGATGGAATTTTTTCACTTGTTTGAACAAACATTTTTAAGGGCATTTTTGAATGAGAGGATGCGCTACTTATATTATACAATCAAGTAATCATGTTAAATTGTAGCAACATTGAGCATGATGCAATATAGGAAGTAATTGTTCATGATACAAACCTAGAAGCTGGGCACTGCCCCATATAAATGGTACAAACTGGTGATCATCTAAACTCCAGACACCCTGACTACCAGCAGGTTCCATTCTGTATGTCAACTGCAATTTACGCACTAACTTTAAATACCTGTAACAGAATTTATTATAGCGTAATTACAGTATAATAATACATGTAATGTACATGTACTTGTTAAAACAAACAAAAAACAAACTGAGATCCAAGATATCACCCAAGAGTGCGACAATAAAAATACATGTATGTTACTATTCATATTGTAACAGTCACTATTTATATATTGTATAGAAACAGTCACACTTTGTATATTGAAATGCTTATTCTGTTCTGAAGAAATAAATGACCATAAAAAACACAGAAAAATAAAAAAATTATGCAATCAAATAAATTACAATTTGTACTCACTCATTGAAAATTCTAAATACAACAGCTACTGAATCTGATTCCACAAAGGCTCCTATCTTATAAAGACAACACAAGAAGGCAATAAATGACAGCTCATGGCCTGAAAGAAAACATAATAAAGCAGTAAATAAGAATGTTTTGCAATTATGGTCTCACTTGTACATTGACAGGACTTAGGATGTGTGTTATGGGATGTCTGGAAGCCTGATGTCAAAGTTATAGTTATGACTGCTTTGCCTGTAACCGACCCTACAGATTACTGCTGTGTGTTTTCAGTTATTTTTTGTTTTGTTGTTATTTCATATGGAGTATATATGATGTACATAAAATATGTCCATATTTTTTATACTGATACATGTATAACGATTTTCACAGAATTTTTTCAGGGAATGAATGAATTACATTTTGTTCCTGAAGCACTAATATAAATCAAGCTTCCAGATTGACATGTTTTTCAGTCTGTCAGAGAAACACATACTGGGTAGGTTATTCAGTATATTTTGAAATAATTTCTAGGCAAAATGGAATATCAGAAGTATCATGCGACGAAATAAGTGAGATGATGAAAAATGGATTCGGTATTAAGAACAAAGGTGGGTAACCTGTACAGGGAAAACTATCCTAAGGTCTTGTGAAAATTTTATTTGTGACTTAAAGGGATAATAACAGTACATGTAAATGGCAGGAAATTCAAATGAAAGTATTTGAGTGATAAAAACGTATACAGTAAAACCTGTCTAATAGGAGATAACAAATTTGGGACCAAGAAAAACTGTTCAGATTAAAGAGGCCTTTGAATATACAGGTTTCACAGTATTGCAACTGTATGAGGTATTAAGGGGTTTTCTTTCATTTTTCTTCCATTCTATGTCAGTGAATCAGTTTCTTCAAAAATAATTCAAAGTAAACAGATACGTGTAACAAAAATTTTCTCACCTGTCCCATAGTCGATTCTAGTATTATTCCCCATACTTTCTATGAGATAAACTGATACTTCTACAATAGCTGGGTGGAATTTTAATGGAAGGGCTTCTTTAAGTAGTTCTTCTATATTCTAAAAGAAAACATTCAAATGATAAAACCATTTTGTGAACACAATATGAGAATTTAAATACATGTACATGTATATGTATTGTCAACTTTAATAATATCAGTATTCTAATATTTAACTGTTAAGAGATTATGAGTGCTCAGTGAGTGGTAGAAGGCAAGAATTAGATTCATCTCAAAACATGTGTACATAATTCCCTCAGTAGTAGGATTTCCATACTACTTGGTTATACTGTAGTTTATTCATCCAAGATTTTGCTTACTAACCAGTGGTACTTTGTGTACAAGAGGCAGATGAAAAATATAAGAGGCGGCATTCAAAATAACCAATTTTACACTCCCGACAATGTAAATTCTTGTTATTTTAGAGTCCATGGACTAAAAGAAAGATGTCCAAGGTTTGGCAAAGTCATGTGATGTGGCAAGACATGGGCTCCACAAAATAACACCTGGAACTTTGGAATGACTAGGGCAACTTATATAGAATGTCATTTACCTTTTATAAGATAACTTACCCCTACACAGGTTGCATTTCACAAATCCAAATGCACCTGTTGAATTGAACACTTTTGATATAAATCAAAATCTGTATGTACCTTCATGTTTTGTAACTAAAATTGCTGAATTACATAATTTTTGTCGAGGCCGGCGCCCGATGCATATGTGGCCTAGGCATTAGAGAGACACCGAGGTGGGAGATATCCCCATCCCCTCTACACCAAACTTGTTCTCACTACGTTTTCGAAAATTGCCTGAAAGGCCTCCTCACACATTATTAAGGAAAACATATCTACACATTTTGCGCATTTAACCATTTGATAACATATTGTGGATCTTATATTAATTTGTTAATGTGAATTCGCACCTTCATTTGCATGGAAGACTTTGATAAAATCCTTTTTTGATGATCTTTGTTAGAAAGCTGATGTTTGGCTAAGCTTCGAAATTCCAAATTGAACAGTCAACTAAGAATACCATGTTGTAAATATTGTTTTCTTTATAATATGTCGAGCTAGGACTGCTCAAACAAATTCGCTTTTTGAAGCTACAAGTATTTAATTTCAATAGATGATAAATTTCTCAATATAAGAAATTACCCTCATAAGACAGTGTTGCAAGGTGTGTTGCAATGAATGTGACATCCCGCATTCCCGGGCCCGCATTATGTATTTTCGAAGAAAGCCATCATGATAAACCATGACATCTCATTTCTTCTCAGCCCTGTGTTTCAGGTGAAACAGAAAGATGCTATGAGTATCAGAATGGAAGAAAGCATATATTTGTTTTGATGGTGTATATACATTTCATATAGTGTTTTTAGTTGTACGTGGAAACCTATTCTAACCAGGAAGGATATTGCAACTTTTTTCAAGATCCTAAAGTTGCAATTTTCGTTATTGTGTTACAGTGAAAGTGTGTCGCTGGTACAAAGGCGTAGTTCTAAATAAATTTAAGATAAACGCTTTTTAAACTTGTAAGTGAACGTGTAGAATTATGGACCTGATGGATTTTTTTCTCCCTTTTGTACTGTTAATACTTGGCCAGTTGAGTATATAAAGGTATACATGTCCCAGCTTTTGGTAAGTGGGGGGTCAAACCTCCCCCCCCCCATCCACACATACACTTTTTATCATGCTTAAGTAACTTCGCATTGTAATTACAAGGGTGTTATTAACAAGACACCAGGATGATAAGGTAGGGGTACAATATAGGGCCCAAATCTTGAGAAAGAGTCGAAGGCATGCAAGGCGAATCCTGGAAACTCAGGTTCGGGAAAGCGGGGTTTACTGTTTGGTTCTGTTGACACCTGTGCGAAACTACATTCATAATTTATCCGACAGTTGCTTTGATAATGTTTCTTTATCTCGTCTGCGACTCGATAAAGAAGAATTATGAAAGCTCATCAAGAATGGACGATCTTGCACAGGTACTCATATAAGAACCTCTATATCTTTTTAACACCAATATAAAGATTGAACAACGGACACACTATGTTAAAAATAAAATGTTATAAGTGACCACATCGTGACATCACTTAGGTGGCAAAATTTTTCAATGTCAATCTTTTCTAAATATGCTAAACTTAAAAAATAAACCAATTTTGACTGTCTAACCAGGTTAAAAGGATGAATATATTATGTTTTTAAAATTATTTTACCATTGGTTTCTATGAGAATTAAAATTTTGAAATGCATCTTTCCCTGAACCACTTTCATGCATGGATGAGGTCATTTCTCGCTCATCTATCACCCAATTTTCTTGATTTTGTCGGCAAAAAAACAAGTGAGGATGATTGCTATGCATCGGTGTGAATTATCGCTTTAAAGGATAAGTGTGACCTCTTAAAGTTAGTTTTAAATAAATTCACGAAATTTTGAACTAAAAGTCCTTCTAAAACATTTTTGCAATTAATGAAAAGTTTCACATTTCACACTTTGATAACATTGGATAAGACAACAATATAAGCCAAAGTGGTTTAAACTTCATATGGGGCCTTTAACTGATTAACACAATTTTACACCCATTGGAAAGACTGTACTGTGACTGGTTGGACAGAGTTGTATCAATCATACATGTAACTGCATGTCCAGTGGAAAATAACCAACTCTGATTATACCAAAGGTTGGAATTTGAATTATCATGCACATGATAGTGGTCAGATAGTGATCTAAAATGCATAGCCCAAACAGGTAAAAAATTAGACGGTGTTTACTATATACTATAATGAGATCAAGTGATCTTTACGATTATAGTGAGTTCCATTGCAGTTCTAAACTGAGGTACAAATTATAGACAAAAAAGAAGTGCAAAACAAGATCACTGAATAAAATAAAGGATAGTCTATAGAAGACTTTTAATTTTCCCCCAAAACTTAACAACTCTAACGAACGGCGATTTCGAACACTCGCCCCCTGCTATTGAAAGCCCAGCTAACAGGCCCATAGCCAGGGGGGGTTCGCAGGGTTTTCGCCATTCTGAGCACTTCTCAAGTGATTTTAGCCATATTTGGGCCAAAATTGTCAAATGTGCATCCCCCCTGGAAATTTTTGAAAACTGAACCCCCCTTGGCAAATCCTGGCTTCGGGCCTGACAAATATTGTTTAGTGTAAAACATATACAACTTGTATATATCCGAAATATACATACTGTATTTATTTCTAAATGAATTTCCATTGTAATTCACATCAAAAGAATAGTAAGAAAATCAACATCATTTGTGAAATAACAAAAATCATAATTTTGCATACAAGGACTTACAGTTTTAACTTACATCTTTCATCTTGGAGAACCAATCACGGAAGGATTTGTTACCAAACCGTTGGGGCTGTTCACAAGGAGGAACTTCATCAACATAACCAGAGAGTGTTTCCAAAACACTTACTAACTTTGACACTGTCTGGAAAGAAAATAATATTTAAATTCATGGAAAGACAATGTAATAAAGTTAAACCCTGCATCTAGAAAAATATGATTGAATTTGGGGTGTTTTTCCATCTAATAATTCAAAATTGCTGCAGAACTTCAGAAAAGATCAATTCAACAAGATATCATATGATTATAAATTATATGAAGTTCAAAGTTCAACTCTAGCTCTTCCATTTTTACAGTCATTAGCTAGTAATACAAGAATTTGACTTTATTTTAAAGATTATTACTAAGTGCATTACTCTCATCAATCTACATTGCAAGATTCAGTTAAAAATATTGAAAGGGTGAGAGAAAAATTAACATTTTATCAGATCAAAAGTTGACCTACATGTAGTTTGGTCTTGATAAAAAAGTTTTGCCAAGAACATACTTATCTACATGTAACATATAATGTATCAATTGATGGGTACACGTTTTGACAAAGTACCAGACAAATATAAGGCTGCATGATATGCATAATATCCTTACCTCAGAGACTGGGAACTCAGAACGTAATGTTTTGTTCTTAACTGCATCATTCATTGCTCCAATAAAACCAACTATATCTCTATGAGCCTGTCAAAAAGTATAAGAAATATTTTAAAGACACTTGATACTATCACAACTATTTCTCTATGAAACATTTAAAGGACAGAGCCAATAATACTCAAGGTTGAAGTTAAGTTCCTCTTCAACCATTTTTATTAAAAACATTATAGAATTAAGTCCTAAATAACAAACTTAAATAGCCAACAAAGACTATTGAGGAGTTTGCTCTCATCATTCAATGCCAACGCTTACTTTCTGTTACAACTGTTATAACTTCATTTCAAGTTAATCCTTCAATTTTAAAAAATCTTGCAAAAAGAGACATCCCTTTTTTATTTCTGAGGATTTTGACATTTCTGAATCTTAAAACTTTAATAACTTTTATATTTGATCAGATACCATCAAAAAAATTGCTTGTAAGGGAAACATTTGCATGCTTTTTAAAAAGATTGCGTCCAACATATACCCTGCGACTGCGAGCAGAGTCTAGTTATAAACTACCCTCTGCCTAGTATAGACTGTATATTACAGTTTAGCAGCCTTGCCCCAACGACCGATGCCTGTGACAGCTCGGGTCGTAAATCATTTCACACCTACCACGCTGACCTATATAGCCTCATATATAAATGTGAAAAATGAAGGGGGAATATTACTCTTCATGGTGATCCTTACCTTTGGACCTTTTACCCTAAATAACAAATAGAACAAGAATGCTTTTCTTTTTCATCAAATCCCAACCTATATTTTCAAACCTCTAAGAAAATTTATAAGAACTAAAAAATGCAAAATTTTCTCTATTTAACTTTAAATATTTTTTCAAAATATCATAATTCAGGCAAATGCACTTCCCTGTTTCAAAAAATCAAATTTCAATTCTATCAGATTTATCCATACAGTGTTTTTCTCAGCATTGCAAGAGATCATTGAATTTGAAATTAATCAGTAACAGTCAATTTATATCATAACTTACTCAGTGTACTTGTACTAACCTCTGACTTGTCCCACCTTGGCATGTCATCATGTCTCTTAATCTCCTTGCAAGGTATGGTAAATGTATGGGTCTCCACGTTGATAGCTCCATGATCACCTGTATATTACAAATATTATTACATTCCTTCTGTAGATATATGGTATGGTTATTACAGAATAGAAACTATGAAGGTTGGATGTTTATATTCAGAAAAAGCAAACAAGACCAATCACTAATACCAGTCAACATTTCAACATTTTTTAACATTTTTTTAATCATACTGAACCTATTTTGAACTCATCATTTATGCTTCAGATTAGGTAGCGCAGTTGTTATAGGCTGTCCTTCGTTTAAAATAATATACGGGAATGAACCTTAGGATACAAAGAACTCTAGGAACTACCAATTTTTAACAGTGGACGTGTCTTGAGGAAGAAATCGACTTTGGAGCTAATAATTTTGAGGTAAAACTTGTCGGTTTAATGCATTTTAATCACTTCTTTACATATTCTTCAGATTTCTCAGCAACTAGTGGATGGATTGCTACATGTACCATTTTGGGTAACTTTGGTCTGTAGTGTTGTTTGAATCAGCATGTCGATTATTGAAAGGATTCCATATATTTTCAGAGGATATATCCTGAGACTAACATAAATTTATGTTAGTCTCAGATATATCTAACAATCATTTTGAACAAATTTCAGAAAGCATCAACATCGGCTTCCCTTTCACTACTTAGATCAGTACTAACACATCGGAGGGCTTGCCCAACCCTCCAGACAAGCCCCTGTGCTCTTACTCGAGTCTCTAGCCAATTCTTGGCTAGAAGTGATTCCATCTGGAACACCGTGAACTACTGTAAAATCTTAAGCCGTCGTTCAATAAATTTATGTAATATTCTAAAAATTGTTCTTTTAATATTTCATGAATTGAAATGGTAACGGCTTGTCTTGTTGATGAGATATTGAACGTTTTCTCGTTCTCCATTTTGAAAGCATGCCTTTTTTCTGCTATAGCGATTTAGTCAAGATGGCCGCTTGTTGTAAAATATTTCCTTCAGTTTTATTTTAATTCTTTTGTGAATAAATATCCTGCGAAGTAGACCAATTTATGAAATAGGACTGTGTGTAAAGATCAATGAAGGTGAGTTTATTATGTTTACATCAATAAAAATAAGACGGCTGGCAATTTAAAGGCAAATTCAAAACAACAAAGAGTGTCTTATTGTATGGCCACACTTAGTGGCCATAGAATATGGTAACTGCTCCAGCCAAGCCCCTGTGTGAAAATTGAAGACCATGTTTGGAATGGATTTTTTTTTTCATGTTATCGATTTATTTCAAATAATAACATAGATATACACAGTCAGCTGATTGCAAAGTTTTACAACATTAGCGGCAATTAATAATATATACATAAATGAAATAATAGATACAATATAAAATACAAAAGGTTTACATATATACTTAATTCCAAATCACTGAATCAAGGATATCCCATGGGCGGGGATGATGACAAAAAGGAAAAAGCAGAAAAATGAAGAAACGAAACCTGTTGTCACAGACTTGATATGATATTGAAACTCATGTATATACAATAACTAACAATATGAATTAAATCTTCATTTGTTGATGCATCTAAATCATCTTTTTCCAAAAAGTAAAAATTGTAGTTTATCATTCAAATTGTAGCTGCTAACAGGTTTCCTAAATTGTAAGTATGAAGGCCTTTGATTCTTTCATCATGGAGCAGTGGGCAATTTAAAAGAAAATGCAAGGAAGTCAATGGAACACCACATTTACACAAAGGTTACTCACTTCGAGAGCCATGTTAGATTTTCAATTTATGGCTCTTGAACGGGGAAATGGACAGCTGAATAATCGTGACCTCTGAAACACGAATTGAGTCGATCAGCGTCGATCAGCGCCTTACTTTTGTTCTCTAACTATGTCATACATCATTATCATCCTTCCGTGCAAGTATTGGAGCGCTAAAGTACTTCCTTTTCGACCAAGACTTGTAATTGTTAGTCGAGTGAATCTTTTTTTCTGCTAAATTCCAATATGGCGTTTTCTGCTCGGACATTTTCGTAAATATCCGGAGGTTGTCCAAACCTAACTCATTCTCAAAATTCATTTCGTTCGTTGCGTATCTCGCTCCTAGCAAACCGCCACATTGGAAATGGGTCGAAAAAAACATTCACTCAACGAACGATTTACAAGTCTTGATCGAAAAAGAGGTATTTCAGCGCTCCAATACTTGCACGGATTGATGATACCGATGGAAGACACAGTTAGAGACCAAAAGTAAGCCACTGATCGACGCTGATCGACTTAATTCGTGTTTCAAGGGTCACTATTATTCAGCTGCCCAAGTGCGCCGTGGGAAAGCTATTATATCAAAATCAACATAGCTTTCGCAGTAAGTAACACAAATGGTCACTAATGTCATTAAAGTTATGTGCATAAAGGTGTGCTTTAAGTAAAAGGCCACACCTGAGTCTATTAAATGGTATTTCAAGATGTCTGGGTAAGGTAACATTCAGTTTAGAGGTTGGAATTAAAGAGACTTGGCTCTTGTGTTCTCTTACTAATCTTTTAACCTAGAAAATAGGTTGACCCATTCTAGTATGGAATGGAATGAATTATGTGTTGCTTATATAGCATATGACTCCAATGTGGAGTCCATGTAAATTTCTGAACATGCGGATCGGATCTGCCTTATGTAGAGGTCAAAATCCAGATCTATGTCTAATGTCATTAGTCAATTTGTTTTGAAAAGTGCATAATCGTTACTCAAATCAAGGTACCGGTGAAATATTTTTGCATCTGAAGACTTTCTCAGTTGTTTCGGGAAAGCAATAAAAAATAAACCCAATTTTTCGAAATCTATGATATCCATATTGAATAGAAGTTACCTGCGGCGCTGAAAATTGCCTGATATTGTAATTATTTGAGAAAAATATTCAAAATTTCCTTACCGGAAGTTTCGGCAGCCATGACAGATTTTTACATTGCGCATGCCCAGGGAGCATTAATTTTGTCTGAAAAAATTGGAAAGCTATACTGACTTTTGGACTTGTATCCACTTTCTCACCTTTATATTGCACCCTGTGACCATGTTTAGACTACTAATCAGAACTGTGGTAAGTGAAGATTACACCTTTTAATTTTTGTTGAAATTTGACCAAATTCATTCAAATGAGATGCTTTGAAGTTGAAGTTCCAACAGTTTCTTTACCTGGCTGGTACAGGGTATCAGATGTTCAGTTTCTCAAGCATTGATTACAGTTAGATTTTGAGATTACACTTTAGACAGTTTGAGCAATAGATAAATAAATGAGTACTCGATTTTCTATCACACGGTGTTTTGAAACCCTTACTCGAGTCTCTAGCTATGTACTGTCTAGAGTAGATACATACAGATGACAGAAAGTGAGATCGCACCAGCGATTTAACCTGATCTTCCAGGCTTCCCTAATCAGGGCAAGATCCCAAAAGTCTGGAAAGATGCTAACATTGTAGCCCTCTTTAAAGAGGTTGATTGATCATTGGCATCTAATTACACTCCAGTCTCACTTACATCAAGCTGTAAGGTTTTTGAACACATCATCTTCAACGAGACAATGAAACACCTGGAACCAAACAAAATTCTCACCAACTTCCAACATGGGTTTCAAGCTGAGAGATCCTGTGAAACGCAGCTGATCATAACCATCCACAACCTTGCAAGAGAACTGAATAACGGAGATCAAGCTGATGCAATCTTGCTTGACTTCTCCAAGGCTTTTGATAAAGTCCCACACTGAAGGCTGCTCCATAAACTTTAGTTCTACGGCATTACAGGATCAACCCATGCTTGTATCGAAAACTTCCTCACAGATCGAACACAGTGTGTTGTCCTTGATGGTGAACAGTCAAAATCAGCTCCAGTAACATCAGGAGTGCCCCAAGGGACTGTTTTAGTACCATTGTTATTCCTTGCTTATATCAATGACCTGCCAGAGGCTTTAACTTCTACCACTCGCCTCTTTGCAGATGATTTCTTGATGTATCGCAGAGTGAATCTTAGGTGGATGCAAAGAGACTCCAGCAAGACCTGGACATGACAAAGATGGGACAAAGATTTAGGTGTAAACATCAGTAACACCTTATCTTGGAATCCTCACGTTTCTGCCATCACCAAGAAAGCCAACTCCACCCTTGGCTTCCTCCTTTGTAACATCAGCTCCTGCCCCAGCAATGTGAGGAAACAAGCATATACCACCTTTGTTAGACAACAGCTGGAATATGCCTCTTCTGTATGGTCCCCTTACACGAAGAAGGCAATCGGGTAGGTGGAGGGATAACAGCGACGATCAGCCAGATTCATAACACAAGATGATTACAGACAAACCAGCAGCCCTACCACCATGCTGAGGAATCTGCAACTTCCACTACTACAAGACAGATGTAATTTGACAGAATAGTCATGCTTTACAAGATAGTCCACCATCAACTCTCTATCAGTTTCTTAATTCTGGCTTGTTATACTATGCTCGTTAGTTAGTCATTCTGTTGGGGCGCCCTAGGGTCATTACAATATTTACATAATTTTTATGTCGCTTCCAAAAAAGTGGCGACATATTGTTATGGTCTCCATTTTTTTGTGACAGCGATTTGCGGTTGGTTGTTGGCAGTTGGCGATCTGTAACAATTTCTTACAATTTCCAATAAATTGACAAATAGTGTTTAGACTGACTTCAATTTTTTCAAAATCATCTACAAGTTTTCAGAAGTTCAAATCTGACTCTAGAATTAAGGTTTGACCTTCGATGACCTTTCAAGGTAAAAAAAAGGTTATGATTTTAATGATATAGACATGTCACGTCTTCATGTCATAAAAATATATCATAAAAATTGAACCACAATTGATGGAGTGTGCCCCAAATATCAAATATACAATTTACAAATATCAAAGCCTAACATCAACTATAAAGTATAAGTTTAATTCGATGAAAACTAAAAAATAGACAATTACCGTTCGCCGTTTTAGATGCGAAGGTTACAGTCATTACCTTTGCTTGATATAATGATATGATACTGACCAGTGATATATGATCAAACTGGGACTTACATACTGGACCACTTGAATACTCTTTCTGCAATAGGTTTCAGAAGGTCTTGCAATGTTCAGAAAGATTTTTGTTGAAAAATCAAGCTGCATTTCCAAAAAGGTCCATTTTCTTAACATTTTCCCCTAGTCTGCCAGTTTTGATCATCATAGTCATGGATGTGTTTGCTTTTCAGGTAAAGGAATTGAAACCAATGGCTCAGTCATCTAAAAAGACACTCCTGTCCAGGGAAGGCAAATATACTGGTCGGATGTTTGCCCACCAAGACTCTTTGCCCAGTCTACCTGTTCCTCCCTTACAACAAACACTGCAGCGATACTTAGACTCCATCCATCCTTTACTGAGTGAAGAAGAGTATAAAGAAACAGAAAAGGTACATAAACTATAATGTAATGTTGCATTAAGTCCCTACTCTCTTCCTCTTTACAGATTATTCTACAACACAGTAAAAATGATAATTTGCAATTCTGTATGATGTCTTTGCTTTGGGGATCGGATTACAAGGACTCAATACAAATACAGTATAGAGTTATGTGTAGTCCGTGTCTGTGCCCATGATCTGGTAAAGCCCAATTGTCTGAATATACCTCATTAGCCATCAAAATATATTCAGACGTTTCGTTAGCTATTTAAAGTCATGATATATCCTTACTCCTAGTGTCTAATCATCTCTACCTAAATATATGCTATTCCTGATATACAGGGTGTCAAATGAATATGTTCTCCCCCTTAAATTCAAAAGTATGAAGCTAGTTATCTGAAACTTCTTATGGAGTTGCTCCATTGAGCTTTAGTTTTATTGTGCCAAAGAGCAATTTATATAGCATGCAGACAAATAAGTTATGCAACACTGTGTGGATTTTAAATAAAAGCAAAGGGGAGGGGGAGAACATATTTATTTGACACCCTGTATCTGTATAGTAAGAAAAATTGCATTATTAACTGGCTCTTGCTTTTTATTGCCAACAATGTCCCTGTACAGTGAACATGTATTTCTAGATTGTGAGCGACTTTGGAAAGTCTGGTGGTGAAGGTCCAAAATTACAGTCCATGCTGGAGAATAGAGCAAATTCTATGAAAAACTGGGTAAGGCCGTATAGGCATGATAGATATAATTGTGCATTTTACAGATATATGATATTTTGATCAAGGCAATTTAATTGGGTATAATAATGATATTAAATGAACAAAGTTATTCAGGGAAATACTGAAGACCTCCAGCCGAGCCATTTAATCCATTCATCCTTCTGAGCAAAAAAACATATTGAAGACCAATTTTCTTTAAAGGATTTCAATTAGGATAGAGCATCCAGTTTCAGACATAAATCAGATTGGGGGTATGTTCTGACCATGAAGACAGATCTGTGTCCTTGCATTATCTCCAATTAAAGTACAGAATCAGACTTTTTTAATGAAGGGGTCTAAATGACCCAACTGTTAACATGTTCTGAAAACACCCACAATCCACAGGCTTCTAAGTTCATGGGAAAATCAACACTCATTTGGTAAATTCTTTTCTCAAGAAAATTATGTTTTTAGAATGACCACTCATTTCAATCAAGAGATTTTCATTTTAAACCAAAGAAATGCTGAAAATGATATCTTATTTTTATAACTTTGATACAATTTGATTAAGAAAACAAAGTATGCTTTCAATTCAAATTGTTGCCTTCACGGGATAGGCCAGATTCATCAGTGTAGACGTAGTGCCTTAGGACAGTATTGATTCTACAGGAGAGGACACCAGATCTTCGGAAATCTTCGGAAAATTTTTATTTCCTCGATTATGTAGTCTGTTTATTAATTGATATAACATATCAGACCTCAAAAGATGCATACTGATGCTCTCTTGTATCCTCAAGCACTAATCCATTTGTACATGTACGCGTCTGTTGATAAAAGCACAAAATAGGTAAACTTTTGGCCGGATTCGGGAACTTCTGGTGATGACAGAAATAATTATGTCTATTCTGAAAATGTGACGCCACTCCAGATGACGTCTCAGTAGAGATTACCAAGATACACCATGACGTTTCTTAAAATCTTGTAGAAACAACACATATTGTTAAGGCTCTGTGATAATTTGGCTGTTTGTTGTTATGTGACTTAAGAACACTATGAAATAATAACGAGGTCACATCGTACATTGAAGGAAATTAACAAATGTGGTCAAAAGTGTACCTACAAAAAAATTTGAAATAATTGTCCCAGTAAAACTCTATTTAGGGGAGGCATCGAAAGTTCGATGTCGGATCGGAAACTAAATAAATCTAGTTCTATGTAAGTTCATCTCTCTGGTTAATATATCAGAAACAAGTCAAATTCTTTACTTCAGAGAATATTTTTAATTTATTGAGACTTTCGACTAATATCCCTTAGTCTTTTTCAAAATATAACAGCATGTATACATAAGACTAAGGGATATTAGTCGAAAGTCTCAATAAATTAAAAATATTCTCTGAAGTAAAGAATTTGACTTGTTTCTGATAAATAAATCTAGTTTTGAATCTGGTTTTTTAAAACCATTCCAAGGCATTCCGAGTCGAAATTGCCAAAAATGTGAAATGTTGAAATTTATTCCATAATACTACTGTTTTCCCAGGGAAATATGAAGGAATAAAAATCGTATTGAATCGTATTACATGAAAAAATTGTATTGTCCCCGGGAAAAAAATCGTATTGGAGCGTATCACATGAAAAAAATCGTATTGTCCCCGGCAAAAAAATCGTATTGGAACGTACTAACCTATTTTTGGTTATCCTGTTATTTTTAACCTTAGCTAATTGATAAAAGCTTTTTCAAAATGTAACATTTTAGAGGAATGTATTATGGAATAAATAGGTTATTTCTGGTCGGGATTGAATATGGGTTTCATTCCTCGGAAAATATGATATTGACCTTGGGAAATATGATATTGACACTCGGTGGCTGCGTTCCCTCGGTCAGTATCATATTACCCTTTGGTCAATATCATATTGTCCCTCGGAATAAAACCCATATTCAATCCCTCCCAGTAAATAACCTATATATATCAGATAGCAAACTGAAATGGGTTTTAACCCCCTCCCCCTAACTAGATTTATTTAGTTTTCTATCCGACATCGAACTTTTGATGCCTCCCCTTACAGGGTCAATTATTGATTTCATGTAACCATTCAAATTAAAATATGAAAAAAAAATACTCAGGCAAATATTGAACATTCGAAGCATGGGAGATGGAAAAGGTAAAAGTCAGTACAAAAGTCATATTTATTGGTGGTCATTTTTTGGATGTAATTTTTTTTTATCTGGTGTCCTCTCATGAAGAAATAATTACATTACTAATGCCTTGCTCACATTTGCTTTGATTTTCACAATGGCGTCTGGCCGATTGAGTATTTTGTTCAAAATTGAATACAATATTGAACAAAACACTCAATTGGAGCAAATGTGACCCAGGCATTAGGCACTATGACTACACTCATGAATCTGGCTGAGCTCCGTGCCTCAATTAGACAATTTCTACTTTTGAGTTTTTGTTTCAGTTGAGTGACTGGTGGCTTCGAACAGCTTATTTAGAATATAGGGAACCAGTGTTGATTAATGTCAGTCCAGGAATGACTTTTCCTCTTGAGAACTTCAGGAATGAAGAAGAACAGCTAAGGTATTGTAGTACTTAGTAAAGTGAATTTCTATTATTATGCATTACTTAAAGTGACACCTAAGGATAGACTGTAAAGTTCTTTTTCTTGTGAACATGACTGCTTCCAGGTCAATTTTGGCATTTTAGTTTAACATTGAAGAAATGTGTACATCAAATCTTTTTCTCTCCAGAACTACTATACTGCAGATATCACCTTCAAATCTTTTGGAATTTGGAATAACTTTCGGGTATGGACAGATGTGCCACAAAAAAATTCTACTTATTGCCTACTTCCTAATAGCTATTTTGAAGTCAAATGTTAAAATCATTGTCGACTCCAACACCTTCTTTAATTTGTTTCATTCTACACCAGATTATTAGGTTTTAGACATGTTGGCTCAGTACTAGAAGCCATTTTGAATATTCTGAGAAAATATTGTGTACCTTCTATCATATGTATTGTAGCTTTTCATTTTTCATAACCAAACTATTTAGAACCTTTATAAATAATTTCTGGTGTACATGTCATTGTCAACAGTAGTTTTATGGGATTGTTTTATGATAAAAATTGGCAAAAATTACATCTGATACTTTAGGAATCAGCCATTTTTAATTTTTCCATCCTAGAATCTTTTCTGTGAAGTTTTGTTTTAACATGTTTTAAGCCAAACAGTTTGATGAATTGATCTGATTTTCCTCAGGTACGCTGGGTAAATTTTAAGGTGACCATTTTTTAGAGTCCATGTTTTGGGCCTTATTTCTCATCTTTATATACCCAATTTAACAGAAAATGTTAAAAACTTTTGAGATTTAACATCTGTTGTGCATTTATTTGAAATTGATGCTTCACTGGATGTCAGTTACTTGCACATAGTGTCCTGTTTTAGTAAACACCTCTTTCAAGTGAACACCTGTTTTAGTAAACACCTCTTTCAAGTGAACACCTGTTTTTAGTAAACACCTCTTTCAAGTGAACACCTGTTCATATTAAGTATTATTTCTTGAAACATACTCCAAAGACAGCTGTATGAAAAAATCTCTGAAGTGAATACCCATTTATAGGAAACACTTTTTTGTGGCTCCAAAAGTGTTCACTTTGTACAGGTTTAGTGTTATTTTATTTGATATAGGTTACGAATACTTTTTTTTAAAGAGTTTGAATGAACTTGATTACACGTTTCTTTATATGTTAGTTCATATGTATGTTTCAACTTGAACTCAGTTTTCATGTTTTTTCACAAGTTTTCGAATCAGAAGTTGAAGAATGTCCATTTCGATTTCCCTTTTCTCAGCAGCGCTGTCTCCCTCGGCAGCACTGTCTCCCTCAGGAGCACTGTCTCCCTGCTTTAAGTTCACCTCTTCCTCTGGTTTCTCCAAGGCTGTAAAAGATGAGTGTAGATATTTAAAGATGATTCTCAAAATATTAAGTCAAATTCTATCCCTGACTGGAACAAGAATGCGGTCCATTTAGAATAATAAAAATAGATGAAAAATTCTTTTAAGAATATTTATTTCGTCAATTAATGGTGCTAGTTACAGATCATTATGATATTTTCATAAAAGATCAAGCATTCGTTATTCACCATTTTTCTTGCACTCTTGGAAGCCATCCGTTTCACTAAAGTATCTGTATTTTATACAACAGGGTGATTCCTCTGTGCACATCCCAAAACTGTACCCCCCTTTGCAACACAGATTCCTGTCATCATCGTCACAATCCTTACAACCAGATGTCTCAGTCCATTCTCTGTAACAATATTGATTCAAATATCAATGTCATTTTACATGGGAAAGTACATGTAAGTTTGGGTAGGGTAACACCATGGGCTTTCAAGAAGATGAATGCCCATGGTAACTCATACTATACTATAGTGTTCCGGCTTTTCTTTGAAAGACCTTTTTTCTATTCAACCAACTATTTATCTGTAAATGTTACACTTACAACTGACATATGACATTTCAATGTTAAAGTAAATCAAAATCCTTTGAAACATAACAGTTTGAACTAGGTATATTGTCACATTTTCAAAACCGAATCTGGATTTCAGTACTTTTGCCTTATTTTATTGCTTAGCTCAGTATTAAACTTCTTTTAAACAACAATCCCCGGTTGAATAAAAAGGTTAAATACCAGACAATATATAAACTTTTATATAGTCTTACTATAGTCTTATATAGTCTCACTATAAAGTAACTTACTTTCTAACCACAGAATAACAGGTTGGTATACACTGATACAATATAAAGATAAAATGTGATTAATAATAAAATGTGATTAATATATAAACAGTAAAATGTGATTAATATATAAACAGTAAAATGTGATTAATATATTACCTCTTGTTAATCTCCTCTTTCTCCCTACGACCGATATTATCTGTATCAATTTTGTCATCTCCTTCAACAGAGTTTGAGACAACTTTCTCATGGCGATTGTTGATAATGGCCCTCAAAATTGCAGTGAGATCTGTATCAGTTGTGTCTTCTCCATCAACATAACTGGAACCATCTGCCCTTGCATGTGCTACAATAGTGGCCAGAACCAGGAGACATTGTATCCACATTGTCTTCATTTTTACTGAATGTTTTCACTCCTGAAATGTCGTAATGTTCATATACAATCTCTGGTTTTCAGATTCTGTTGTCATGCCTATTTTCTAAAAATAGGTCCAACAGTTCTGACTTTATTTCACAATAATGCTCTGATCTTTAAGGTTATTATAATGTAAACATTGAGATTCAAATTAAAAGAAAATCCCCTTAACTCCCATTCTGTATCCATATGTATGTATGAAGGTGCCCCCAAAGGTTTCATTGAAAATAATATGAAAATGGTTACTTTTATCAATTATGAACACATCAAAACTGAAATTAGGTCATTTGGATTAAAACAAAGGTCATTCAGTGCATTTAAGTTTGACTACGCAAATCATTCTAAATATCATTTTAAGGGTATGTTAGTCTTCATTCATGATCATTTTAACTATGTTGACCATTCCTCAATCGATATAGCAGAACATCGTTAAGGTAGAACACAAAGAGCAACATGTTGAAAACACATATCATAAAAAAACGAAAACTTAATATATCTTTTGAAAAAATGAACCTTAATAAATGTGTTCTCAACAATAGTACCATGATCACCTCAGTTGTTTAACAGTAGACATTCAACCTAGAGGGTATATTAATATATCATTAAGGTGGGACACAAAGGGCAACATACTGAAAACACAAATCATAAAATAACCCCTAAAATAATCTATCATTTGATAAAACAAACCTTGTTAAATGTGTTCTGAACAATCATACCATGATCACCCTTATTGTATATACTGTAGCTTTAACCTAGGTATTCAACCTAGATACTATGTCAAAACATCATTAAAGATGAAGTAGAATAGAAAGAGCAACAGTTGAAAATACAAAACCTAAATTCAAGCTGAATCTAGTTGCGACTTTCCATTGCATTATATTTTCATTGTCAAAGAAATTGAAACAATGATAGATGACATAATAGTCTTAGTTAATTTCACATGAACACTACACTACAGCAATGTTCATTTGAACTAAACTGAAACATATTTTTTTGATTATCAGGCTCATTGCTTATTGCTTACATATCATATGTTCTAATAGTACACTATATACCCCATGAACAGATTTCTGAAAAACATTATTTTAAGTAACCTGTGATTTAATTGCTTTATTGCAAATGACACGTTTTCTTTGATCTTGTTATCATTGAAAATTGAATACAAATCTGTTTAGAGGTTTGAACATGGTGCTCAGAATTATTTATGGGAACCCGGGTTGGATGTCTCTGTGGCGTGATACATTGACACAATAGTTATTGTAAATGACAGAGTTTGTTGGAAGGTTCAGTCAAGAATATTTTTCCAAATAAGATTTTTATGTCCCCACCACATAGTGTGGGGCCATATTGTCGGCCTAGGCGCGTCCGTCTGTCCGTCCGTCCGTCCGTCTGTCCGTCCGTCTGTCCGTACGTCCGGGAGTTTTCTCCAAAACCGCTACAGATATCACCTTCAAATTTTCAGGGATAACTTATGAGTGCATACAGATGTGGATGAAAAAATTTTAACTCAATACCTACTTCCTGTCGGCCATTTTGAAGTCAAATGCTAAAATCCTTGTCTGCAAACTATAAGAAAAACGGCTTCACAGTTGCTTTTAAAACTTTAACATCTTGTTCAGCTCACTTCATTCTAGATCTGATTAGGTTTTTGACCTGTTAGCTCAGTCATGTCAGCCATTTTGAATGTCTTAAGAAAAGTTAGCGCACGATAATACTTTGTATCATATTGAATGGTGTTTTTGAGTTTTCATACTTTAACTATTTAGTAGCTTTATAAATAATTTCAGATCTACTTTGTTGTAAAAGCCTATGTTATTGTTAACAGTAGTAATATGTGATAATTTTGTAAGAAGAAATCAGCAAAAACACATAATCACTTTTTTATTGTCGGCCATTTTGGATTTTTCCGTCCTAAAATCTTGTCTGTGAAGTCTTGTCTACGTGTTTTCAGGTGAACCGTTTGGTGGATCAATTTCAAATTTTCAGGGATGATTCTTAGTATAAAAATCTAGATCTGATTTGTTTTTTGGCATTCTGGGCAAATGTCAAGGCAGCCATTTTGGATTTTCCGTCCTAAAATCTTCTCTGTAAAGTCTTGTCTACGCGTTTTTAGGTGAACCGTTTGGTAGATCAATTTCAAATTTTCAGAGATGATTCTTAGTATGAAAATGTAGAACTGATTAGTTTTTTTGGCATTCTGGGCAAATGTCAAGGCAGCCATTTTGGATTTTCTGTCCTAAAATCTTGTCTGTAAAGTCTTGTCTATGCATTTCCAGGTGAACAGTTCTGGAGATCAATTTCAAATTTTTAGGGATGATTCTTAGTATGAAAATCTAGTTCTGATTAGTTTTTTGGCATTCTGGATAAATGTCAAGGCAGCCATTTTGGATTTTCCGTCTTAAAATCTTCCCTGTAAAGTCTTGTCTACGCGTTTTTAGGTGAACCGTTTGGTAGATCAATTCCAAATTTTCAGGGATGATTCTTAGTGTGAAAATCTACATCTGATTAGTTTTTTGGCATTCTGTGTAAATGTCATGGCAGCCATTTTGGATTTTCTGTCCTAAAATCTTGTCTGTAAAGTCTTGTCTACGCGTTTTCAGGTGAACCATTTGGTAGATCAATGTCATATTTTCAGGGATGATTCTTAGTATGAAAATCTACAAACAGATTAGTTTTTTGACATTCTGGGTAAATGTCAAGGCAGCCATTTTGGATTTTCCATCCTAAAATCTTGTCTGTAAAGTCTTGTTTACATGTTTTCTAGTTAACTGTGTGACGGATCAATTAAAATTGTGTTGGTAAAGTCTTGTCTACTCATTTTCAGGATAACCATTTCATGGGATCACCCATTGGTGGGGACATTTTGTACACATTTGTGTTCTTGTCTATTTTTGTAGAAGGTTCTATGTTGCACCTACCTTAAGGTCTCATGGAAGTTAACAGGAAGTGACAAAACAAAAAATGACAAAGCAATGCTGGATTTTGAAAACTTTTTGAACCAAGATAACAGAGTTCTGTTTGGACCTCCAGTCAGTTTAACTAGTTCCACATATCATTTACATGACCAGGAACACAGTTGAAATGGTCAGAATGACCATAAACATGATAGAATAACCTTTTCAGCCCTCTGAAAATGTGACTAAAAAATAGCTAAGAGTAGGTGCTCAGGAAAAGTCTCTGAACAGAATCTTTTGACTTTTTCAGAAAATGTGCCCAATATATTGCTCTAAATGATACAATTCAAAAAAATTTGATATCATTCTTAAAAAAAGAAAAAATTGAAAAAAACTGAATTGAAAATCGATCTATTTTCCTTTTTACTACAGCCATTATTGTTTCAGACGATTTTTTAAAATTTCAAAGATTGTGTCATTTAGAGCAATATATTGGACACATATTCTGAAAAAATTAAAAGATTCTGTTCATTGACCTTTCCTGAGCACCTACTTTTAGCTATTTTTCAGTCACATTTTCAGAGGGCTAAAAAGGTTATTTTATCATGTTTATGGTCATTCTGACCCTTTCAATTGTGTTCCTGGTCATGTAAATGATATTTGGAACTAGTTAAACTGACTGGAGGTCCAAACAGAACTCTGTTATCTTGGTTCAAAAAATTTTCAAAATCCAGCATGGCTTTGTCATTTTTTGTTTTGTCATTTCCTGTTAACTTCCATGAGACCTTAAGCAATACATTCAAGGCAGAATGGATTCTTGACTATAATGGCAATTTCAATATGGCCTCCCTTTTGAAACTAAAATTTTTGCTACACTTTCATATTGTGTATCTTCCACACTTAGGACCCTCTCTTATTTCATGTTTGAATTATAAAATAGTGTCAATACTAAACAATAAAGGTAAATTCATAGGGGGTCTGGTTTGTGGAAGTACCTCAATCTGTCAATGAATGGAGAAGGTCATTCACTGTTTACAACAAAAACACAATAGGGTGTCTTTCAATACAATAAGATTACTAACTATTTATGCATGAATGGTACATAAAATGAAGCTTAGTAGATTAGGAGACATTGTGGTTCGTATATTGAAAAGTGAAATAAGTCTATCTACAAAACTCAAGATTTTAATCAAGGTTCTGTGAAAATATGTCAAAATTACTCATTTGAAGAGTCAACATGACATGTGTTAAGAATCACTGTAAAAAACACCTTTTTACCATTTTTTCCACACTATTTTTGTAATTTGTTGAAAATGTACTTAATAAAGATTCAAATTGCATAAAAAATAATTCTGGAATTCCATATTACCCTTTTCAATAATTTTCTAAGTTCTTATAGGTACACTAATAGGTACGGATCCTTTCAGTGATCCCAACTTTTAAGCATCTTCCTCCTATATGTGGTCACCACATTCATGTTGTTTTTATACTTTAATTAAAGTCAGTTGTATATTTTATTCATCATTTTAACAGTTAATAAAAAAAACATTACAAGAACAAGCCTTACCTACCTTGCATTAATACTCTACCTTTTTGTATGCTGTTCATTCAGTCACACACCTTGATTCAATAAAATTTAGCCTATTCACAGTCTGCACTTTTTTTTACATTAAAGTGTGTATAGAAATATTTGAACAAAGTGAATTTTGAAAGGGTGAGCATTTTCTGTCAACAAAAATGAATGACTTTTATAAAAACTACCATAAAAACAGGATTATAGTTTTCCATATGTACATATTTGTATTCAGTCTTGTTCTTAAAAAAGTAAAATGAAAACATAAATTTGCACAATGAAGTAATATCTTATCTTAGGTCTAAAGGACAAAAGAACAGAAATATGACATAATTTTTTGCTTTTGTTTATGTTTATATATATTTTCTCGCTGAAAAGCCTTCGTGTAAAGTATAGTGAAACACATTTTAAAGTTAAGTTGAACTCTTAAAAAGTTTGAACATTTCAAAGGACCTCAGTGATTGATAATATGTTCCAATGATTATTTATAATTCTTAGATATTAATATGATATCATAGTTTTCCCTATTAGAAAATAACATGGAATATGTGGTTTTTCAGTTTAATGCATTTCAATAGCCATCCCCTTTTCAGAAATTGTAAATATACATGTGTTTTAAGTTTTGATATGTTTAAATTGAGAAAAATAATCTTTTTAGAAAATAAGCTAAACATTTTTAAAAAGTGCCAAGGTGGGGTCCTAATCCATAATTTTTCAGAGAGTTGGATTGATATTTTACTAACATGGGGATTTCACTTGAAAGAAAACATATTGTTTTCATAAAAAACACTGTATTTATGGCCAGAAAGTTCTCAAGGTGAAAGATATGACCATCTAAAATCACTTGCCATACTGCACATGAACCTTTATTCTACTCCCATTAGTTTTGCTCCTTGAACTGGAAACATGGATCTTCAAAGTTCCTCTCCAAATCACCTGCTCCCCTTATATTTCTATAAATGGCCTTAAAACCTTTATAATGTGGAATTGGAGCTCTTCACTTCAATTTATGTAAACAATTTTATAGTTTATTATGCAAATATAACAATTAACCAAAAAAACAAAAAGAAACTTCAATTTAACCTGGAAGAACTTTTATCTTACAGGGATGAACATAAAAAAAAGAAATACAGATATGATTTCAAATAATTTCCCAGGCAAAAGCCTTGCCTAAACATAAAATGCTAACCGCTTATCGCAGGGGGTAAAAAGAAAGAATATATTCTGGATTTTGAAGCCCTGTGATCGGAGGATGAATTCAAAATGGCTAACCATATCTGTTCCCTTTACTTTGAGAATGAAGATTATCATGATGATGTCATATACTGAGTTCTCCTAATATAGGCCGACCTTGGGAGGCTCTATATTTGGGCAAGAGGAAGGGATATTTCACGTCATAGTGACATAACTGATGTATAACATACCTTTATTATCCCATCGAACTTCGTTCGGAGTGATATAGGGAACGCCTCCGTACGTCCGTCCGTCCGTCCGTCCGTCTGTCCATCCGTTCGTCAGACAATTGTCACTTTAAAAAGTTTGGCGGCTATACAGGAATATATAGCCGACCTTCAGCTCCATTGACTTCCATACAAATGCTTCGCTAGGTATGTAATACATATTGTTAAAGTCTTAAAGAGTTTTTATCTTTTAATTTTTTTTATTTATTTCAGGTATGCAGCTAAACTTATAGCTGGTGTTGTTGACTATAAAATACAGATAGACGAGTAAGTAAAATTTTATGCTCAATACTTTATATTACAAAATATATTACTAAATATTACTTGTGCATACTGCATTAAAACTATGTAATATTTAAAAGTATGATATGCTTACATTGATAATATACATTAGAACTGGCAGAACAAGTACTGTCTCCTCAAAATGTAAACACATTTATTCATTCATCTACTGTCAACATTTTTTGCTAGACATTTACAATTAACCTGAAGCTTATTCTGTGTCTTTTTAATCACAAGTCTGGTGCAAATAATTTATTTAAATTCTAGAAGAATCTTAAACTTTGAGAACAGTATAGTAGAATCTGTATATATTCGAACACTTCTCTAATACGAACACCTGTCTAATCAATCTGAACACTTCTCCAGTCCTATTTTGAATTCTCCCATTGACTCCATAAAACCTCAAAATGGATGAACATATTTGGCCATTCCTCGTGGAGGCTTAGACATATTTTGCTGTACATAATTTTGAAGGACTGTCATCTTGTCTAATCTTTATATGAGGAGGGTGCCAATCAGAGTTCCCTGAATTTCATAAACCTTATTTTAGACCTGTTATACTTCATGTTTTGGCATCCTATTACATTGTCTGAATATATGATTAGGGCCCCATATATAATCTTGATAGACCTCCATTGAATTAGCTTGTGATGAACCTGTGATCAGCTGGTCTATATGTGTATATGTTCATATAATGTGTTTCACTCTTCAATGGATATCTCACCATTTGTTTAGAAAATCCCTTCCAGTGGAGATGATGGGGAAAGACCCACTATGTATGGTGCAGTATTACAAGGTGTTGTCATCATGCCGGATCCCTGGGGTGAAACACGACTCCATCGTATGCTACCCCCCTGATGAACCAGATCCCCCTAAGCATATTATTGTGGCACACAACAATTATGTAAGTAAACCTTCCCAAGCACACATATGTGAATACAGTGATCTTTCACTCGTTTGGGAAAGATTACAAGTGTTTTCATCCAGTAGAAATCCATTTGTAAACTAAAGGGAACAATAAAATATTGGGATATTTTGGCCAGTTTTTAAACTTTCTCAGTCGATATCACTGAGGAAAACCTTTTGAGGTTATAACCCTTAAATGTGAATGAATGCATTTTGATTTTCCCATTGGTAATCCCATTGATTTCCATGTAATCAGAACCTCTCATGTAGGACCTTTTCTAGTCTATATTTGTCCTTTGAGTTCAGATTCCAGCAATGTCCAACCTAGGGGTTGTCTCAAAGGGTTTCTCGTGTCGTCCATTAACATAGTTTATGAGTTATACAGATTAAAGAAGCTTTGTGGAATAATCCAGGAATATCTGAGTATCAATTGTAGTAAATCTCATTTTACAATGATCTTTACACATTCTTTGCACGACAGTTGTATGTCTATCTATTATACTCTGTTGACCTCATCTAGGTTTTCAAAAGTTGGGTTGTCATAGACTGCACTGTAAATGAAAATGATTCAAGATGAAAAATCTTCTACTACAAGCTTATTTCACAAAACTATTTTACAAATATTGTAATGGCCCAAGACCTTTGGTATAAAATGTCAATTTTGATACCTTCTGTGATTTCGGCAATTATAAATGTATGCAAAGTTCAATATGGAGAACTTAATTGTCAGCGAAATTAAAGCCTTCTACAGAATTTCAAAAATACAAGCATGCCTTTAAAAAAAACTCGAATCTCAGTTGAAGGAGAGGGTTTTGTTACTTACCTAGTTGAATTCATGTTAGCATTGGTCTTTGGTTGCAATGGTGTGTAGTAATTTTCAGTAATTGGATCTTCTTTTGTAGGAAGTGTATACAAATCATCCTCTTTCCTCATTTGGTCAATTTGTAAGCGTGCTCTAAAATATGATTTTAATAAATTAATATACTGTACAATGTACATGTACAATTAAACCTGAAAAGTGGAACACCTCAAGTGGAATATAGATTCAGTTAACCATTAAGAATAAACATCTGTAATTTGGACATCACCTAAGAAGAACACTATTTTGAGGTTCCAATGTTTTGTCAACGTTGCCATGGCACCTCCACAAGTTTCACTGTACATACATAAATAATTTTATGGCAGTCATCCAAAGAGTATTGTTACTCCTTTCCTAAAATGTGACTCATGCTATTGTTGATAAATTTGGAGTGTTAGTCATTAGACATCAATAATAAGAAGATGAATCAGTTTGTGTGTTACTTACTTTTTAGTATCCCTCATGATAAGGAAAAATGCAACTGAGATTGCAATCACTATGACAACAGCTGCAACAACAATGCCTGCTATGCTACCTGGTTCAAGAGTTGTTCCACTTGCAGCTGCTGTTACTCCACCATTCTGGAATCATACATGAAATATGACATTATTTTTTGTCTTTGTCAAATCCTGAGGCTGGTGATATAGAGTTACATTTAGTTATTGTGATTACAAACTTTTAAAGAAGCTGTTTTAACAAGTTGTATAAATATGCAGTTTTCTGCATTGATCTTACATGTATACATGTAAGATCAAAGAAATGTTATGTTACGTTATGTAGGAATCCTATTTTACAATTTACTTACTTCAAGTGGTGTTGTGTTACTTGTGAACTCATTGCTGGATCCTGTAGTGATGCTGTTGAGAGACTGTGAAGAAATGTGTATACTAGTGTGCTGCAGTGTAGTCATTTTACTCCCAGTGTTCATTTCTTCACTCACGGATTCTGTCATGGCTGTGCGTTCTGTTGTTGCTTCATTTCCAGACTGCGTCACTGTTGTTCTCTCTGTAGCTTCAGAATTCATTATGTTTGTACTTTCTGTAATGGCCTCTGTTTGCACTGTCATTGGACTTTTTGTAGTTATTTTTCCAGATTGTGTCAAAGTTGTGCCTTCTGTAGTTGCATCATTTGCAGATTGTGTAATAGTTACCCCTTCTGTAGTTGCATCATTTCCAAATTGTGTCATAGTTAAGCCTTTTGTAGTTGCATCATTTCCAGATTGTGTCATAGTTACACCTTCTGTAGTTGTATCATTTCCTGATTGTGTCATAGTTAAGCCTTTTGAAGTTGCATCATATCCAGATTGTGTCATAGTTATGCCTTCTGTAGTTGCATCATTTCCAGATTGTGTCATTGTTACACCTGTGGTGGTTATATCATTTCCAGATTGTGTCATAGTTACACCTTTTGTAGTTATATCATTTCCAGATTGTGTCATAGTTACACCTTTTGTAGTTGCATCATTTCCGGATTGTGTCAAAGTTACACCTTCTGTAGTTGTATCATTTCCAGATAGTGTCATAGTTACACCTTCTGTAGTTGCATCATTAACAGATTGTGTCATAGTTACACCTTTTGTAGTTGCATCATTTCCAGATTGTGTCATGGTAACCACTTCTGTAGTTGTATCATTTCCAGATTGTGTCATAGTTAAGCCTTCTGTAGTTGCATCATTTCCAGATTGTGTCATGGTAACCACTTCTGTAGTTGTATCATTTCCAGATTGTGTCATAGTTAAGCCTTCTGTAGTTGCATCATTTCCAGATTGTGTCATCGTTACACCTGTGGTAGTTTTATCATTTCCAGATTGTGTCATAGTTACACCTTCTGTTGTTGCATCATTTCCGGATTGTGTCAAAGTTACACCTTCTGTAGTTGTATCATTTCCAGATAGTGTCATAGTTGTACTTTCTGTAACAGACAAGACTATGCAAAAAGTGAAAATAATCTTGATTATAATCATTAAAATTTAGTTATATATTTAATCAAGGCGATAACATATTTAAAATCAACACACAAAATTATTACATTTTAAATATGCTTTTAAAAGTTATCAAGTTTGAAATTTTAATTTTATTTGAAAACTTGATTTCTAGTGAATTCCCCACAGAGCCCGAAAGTAAAGAAAAGTGAAATGTCCTTCCAAGTATTGAACAGATAGTACACTTTTATAATTTCTTTTACTGGACACATTTTAGATAATATAATCATCAAACTCCAAAAAGTAAGGTAAAAATTGATTAAACTAACATATATTATTTGTAATATTCTGTGTTTGTCTCACATTTTTAGCAACAAAAACACCAACTTAATTGATCATGAAACAATAAATAAATATGAATCTTACCTGTTGTTTGGCAATATAGCGACTGAGGTGCAATCAAGAACAATGTTACAAATAAAGTGTATGTATTATATCTAGTATGAGCCATTTTAAAAAGTATGCACTTGTTAGTTTTAACTTATCCAGTTGTATGTCTAGTCTCAGAATGAATGATTCATGTAATAACAGTATATTTATATACTACAATTAGTTTAAATCTATAAGGTGTGTGACTAAAACTTTAAGATTCATATAACTTCAAGTTTTATTGGTCATGAACGTAGGTGCTAATTTAGCAGTTGATCAGTACATAGATAAAGGCCAATAAAATATTTCGTGAGTTTCGCATCCTCCTTCACATTCAAGATCTGACTTCAGAATATGCAATTGTGGGGAATTGATGCAAAAAATGTAAACTGCAAATAAGAATACCAAATTCTACATTTTATTACTGTTCGATTTCCAAGAACTCCTCAAGAAGATATGATTTTCATTCATTTGTTAAATCTGTTACTCATTCACCACTTTCATCATCACTTTAAGTCAAACTATTGAATGATTGTTCACATTTTTATGAATAATTTGATATATAATTTTAGCAAAATAGATGTCTAGAATTGCAACACTTCCTTGTATGAAAAATGAAAGGTGAATTCATGTGAGTGACATTTTTTTAAGGTTAAGTTTTATTTCTTTGGATAATTTTATATAACAATATTTAACATACTAGGAGGGCTGAGGTAAAATTACATTGTTGGCCTCATCTGCCATGACTTGAGTGGTTGGGGCATACTAAATATATATCATATATTAAAACATCACTGATTATATTAGTTTACTCAATCGTATTGGTCACTCATATCTTCTAATTAGCCACAATTCATACCAATGCATAGCATTCATCCTCCCGTGTTTTTTGCCGAAAAAATTAAGAAAATCGGTTCATAAATAAGTGAGAAATGAACTTATCAGTGCATGCAAATGGTTCTGAGAAAAATGCATTTCAAAATTTTAGTTCTCATAGAAACCAATGGTACAATGATATCTAAAACATAATTTATTCTTCCTTTTAACCTGGTTAGACAATCAACATTGTTTTTTTATGAAAGTTTAGCATATTTAGAAAAGAGTGACAGCAAAAAAAAAATTTCAATTTTTTTCAAAAAGTTTTTGCTACCTTAGTGACATCACTAATGTTTCAAAATATTTTTGATATGCTAAAACATTGAAGTGGCCCATTAAGGATGCAGTACCAGGTCAGCGTAGAAAAAGTTCCAGACATTAGATTTTGCTCATATTTTTTACAATGTATCACTATGATGTTATCATAATCCAAGTGCAATACGAAGAGGATTGACCGTCTGGTAATTACAAAATAAAAACATTATTTTACCCACCCAAAATGAATCTTTTTACTTTTTTGAGTTTTCAATAGAGCTGGCACCTTTCGAACCCTGGTTTTCGTATCCACTAATTGCGACTCAAGAACAAGTTTTCCCATAAAAGTGAAAGGGATAAAATATGCTTGATAAAATGTTTGCAATTTAATTCTTTTCTGGAAAAACCATTATCGAAATAAACTATAATTTTTGATTAAGATTAAATGCGAAAATGACGTTCTTGGGAGCTAGCTTTCTCAAACCGGAAGTCAAACCTGCGCAAACAGACGTGAAAACCGACCCGGTACTGCATCCTTAAATATGGCATTTTATAATTGAAATAGTGTGTCCTTTGTTCAATCTTTGCATTGGTGTTAAAAAGATAATCTTTTTTGAAATGCATTAAGAAATATTTGATGATTAGGAAATTTCAACTTTTTTTGAAAAATGGCGGGAAATTTGAATATTTGAGAAATGAAATGCTCACACCTTTTTTTCAAAAGTTTTTTTTTTCAAAAATCTCTTAAATCACTTTAAGTCCTGACAAATAGTAAATGAATGATAAAAAAATATTTTCAAACTTTAGACGGGGACTTTAAAGAAAGGGGAAAAGTGGGACGAGATAAAACACCTTTAGCTTTAATAACATCTCTTATGAACATGCTGTGAATTTTCTAGGAGGTTCCTGGTTAATTGTATAACACTCCAAAGAATCTATATTAAATGCAGAAATTATCAAGTCAATATTATATGTATTTCGGATGGTGCAATTGGAAGAAATAATCTGCAACTTATCATATCATATTATGTACAACCTTGTTAAATTGCACTTTCTATCTATTCTAATTATCATGCTGTTAATCTGAAATAAAAACTTATTAAAAAGCTATCATGAGCTCAAAACGAGAAGAACCATATAATTAATTCCTTGTAGCCTTATTTAAAGCATTTAAATTATAATGATTCAACTGCATTTATTGTAAAAGAACATGCTTTACAAAATTGTGTCCTGTGCTTGTCACGACAAAGGAGATAATAATTAACCAAATACATTTGTTGAACAAATACTTCTCATAGTATTATTTTGTTTTGTTCATTTGACTGTATGAGTCATTTCAGACTCGGCTTAGAAATTTAACAAAAATCAATGTTGACACTTTTTCTAGATTGGCTCCTTATTTTGATTTTTCTTTTAATTCCTGATTGTATTTAACTGTTGTTATGTCAACGTCTTTAAATAAAGATTAAAAAGTCTTAGCAAGCATAACACAGAATTTGACTTCCAAGGATTCTTTTCATTTATCAATGGATATACCTGGCATGACAAGTATATTGTACATATTCCATTAATATAAGTAAAGGTGTAACTTATTGCAAAGTGACTAATCCACTTATCTGCACAATTGATGATTAAAGATTAGACTTCTTCATCAGAATTAGGTTTATATTAGTGTCCACCCATTTACCAGAATTAGATAAGATATAATCGTGGAATATATTGACATGAAAAGGGCCGCGATTTATGGAGAGAATAAACATTGGATAAACACTTATGATTTTAGAAGGACATGCTCTAATGTTATATCTCTGATAGATGCATGTGTTTTACTTACTATAATATATTCAAATGATGTCCTGTGATTTTGAATGATTTCTTTTGAACCACATATGTTATCAGGTACAAATATCTAAGTGTGTGTGCATCATCATGATAAACTATGACTTCAGCAATGTGTCCAGTAAAACAGAAAGATTTGATAAGTATCAGAATGGTGTAGCATTCTTTAATAGGTTGGGGATAAATGAAAATGTCACGAGTTAGAAATCACGGGGGATAAGCAAAACGAGGGCGAAGCCACGGACTGCGACTCGCGTAACTTTACACCGCAGCCCAGCGCCAAAATGGAGGGACATCCGGCAGTGCCTTCTGCTTCTTCCGACAAAATAAAGAAATCCAGGTATTTTAAATGCTATCGTAGTGTCTAATCGGTGACCAAAATATTTCTCTGTATCTACTGTTGGTCTGTAGATAAGAAAATAAGCAGTTGTCCAGATCAAGCTAAAACAGTAGCAAAGTTCTGATTTTACCTGTAAAATATGTGCATATTATTTAATTTACTATACATTTGAAAGGAGTTTTAACACGTTTCTGATATCTAAAGGTTAGTTGAGGCTCCGAGTATAATTCGTGAAAATGATTTGATAATAGAATGTGTTCATGAGGAGAAAATTAGATTCAAACTGCGCATTCATAGTGGACGCAGTCCAGTAAACAAAGCTATTTCAACAACGCAACACAGCCCCCATTGATATTCTAAGCAACGCAGTCCATAGAATCATTATATTGAGATGAATACGCTTCAAAAAGTGATACTTAGTGGTATATCTTTTTATTCTATACTCATAGAATGCACATGTTATGTCAAAATAAATACAGTATGTTGTAACCAATCAAAAAAAGATCATGTTTTTCCAATTTCTCACAAAACGTAGTTTATGCCTTTTAGTAATCAAAAGCGTCTGTTATGGAGCTTTGTTCTTATTGACTCAAGACGAAACTTCGATTATTAATAATCAAAAAATGATTGACATATCCTCATATTCACTCGTGGTATTGTACGTTCGCTCGTGCATGTATCATAATTCATTCCATAGAAGGGTGCCAAATAAGTCCCGCACCCCCCCCCACACCAAAAATCACCAAGTGTGACATATCATTGGAAAGATCATTCAAAGTTACGTTGATTAACATATATCTATTACCTGAATCAATGTCCCAAATTGCTATATTGTATCGTTTAAGATCTAGAAATATGGCAATTCAATAGCGTATTTGGCAGTACAGTCGAGCGCAAGATGACAACGTAATATGTTTATTACAAACCAATTTGTGGATAGGGTTAAATATATAGATAATTGGATAGTGGTGAGACTTTTTATAAGAAGTAGAAATGCGAAACAATAAACTTTTTGATGATGCAATAAAAGCTGTTGGGGAAGGGTACATTAACTAGTATTTAAGATATCAGGAAAATATCAAATAATTGGAGAGTTGGTGAGTTAATGTAATTTGGGATGATCTTTCCAACAGTCCATCAATATTGCTAGCTACCATAAATTCATGATTTCAGCTGCATTTGACAGCTTGTATATATTTGCAGAATGGATTGAGACACGATGTAGGTCTATTAAAATAGCCCTTTATATTCAATTTTGTCCAAAGTTGCTCCATTTCGGCCACACCTGTACACACATTGTGCTATCTACCTTTGGCTGTGATTGCGTTCAGCTTCAGATATAAAGCAACACTGAGTCGCGGACTGCGTTGGGCAGATGGATGGACTGCGACTATTATAAATTCCAATTTTCTATGTAATTGTACGTTTTCCGCTTACCAAATATCACACGAAGATGTAATTGTAACAACAGAACATGAATAATTATATTAATTCGATGTCATTTCTGATTCCTTTGTTTAAATCGGTATATTAGGGACAAATATTGACAAAATTACATTTTTTGTGGCAGATTTCGAATTCATTTGTGTTCATGCTAAACTATTGGACAGCCGAGCACCAAGAATGCCATTGCAGGTGGAGTATGAATATGTTGATCACCGACTGGAACATACTAGCTATTCTGTAGAATATCCAAACCAATAATCTACCCCAAATCCTAACATGCCTTCCAAATTAAGTTTGGATTTACCGCCATTGTTCAGCTATAATGCGTTGTAACCTCGTTTTGAATTACGCGAGTCGCAGTCCGTGGCTTCGCCCTCGTTTTGCTTATCCCCCGTGGAAATGTTGATATCTAACCCTAATGTCTGCAACCTTTTTTTGGTCCATGAAGTCGCAATGGGGGGGGGGGGGTCGTTTGGACATTTGTCTGATTCTAATAATGTTGGTATTGTTGTAAACCTTATTGAATTACCTCTCCAAAAGGTATTGGTTTTTCAAAAAAGAAGGTCATCAAAGATCAAATCGAGGTGAACATGATTTAAGGGTGTAAATTAGGGTGCAATTTGTGAATTCTTACCAACTAACTGTATTTTACCATTAAAAATACATAAAATAGTCATTAGTGGCTAGATTTTCATGAAATGAAGCATGTTGGAAAGGGAATTCAATATGCTGAATTACTATTTATCAAACAGAGCAGTTATTAAGCACTTTGCATTTTCTACAGTATCTTAGAAACAAGGTAACTATCGATAATTTATGGATTTCTATGTCTCTAACTTTTTTTGTTGACAGTGTCATTTATCTGTGATTTATCTGTGACTCAAGCTAGAAAAACAATGGATGCAACACCTGCAAAAAGTACCAATAAGAAAACAGACATTAGACAGACAGACATTAGGATTAACATGAGTTGTTTTCAAGTATCTTGTGTGTGTAGAATTGTTAAGGGGTGGTTTCCAAATGTCAGTAGTTAATTTATAAGTGGGGGAAAGTCAATGAATGAAAAATTTTAATACTTATAAGGGTGGCAGGGTTTTGAGTAATTTTTCCATCACCATCCCTGTTACAGCTTGGTTACTTAATGGTTTTGAATCAATATACATGTACATAATTTGTAATTTGTTCCTGGTAGATGTACAAACATGATAAAGTGATAGTGCACTTGTCTTTCAATGCAATGGGGTACTGCTGTGCTTTCTAAGAAACTATTTAATGCACATTTTCACATTCTGAAGTATTATATTTCATTTATTACTTTTATTGGTCCTGATAAACATGTTGATATTGATCATGGAATTTGGGCCAACCTTACATTATCTTATGTGTATGGTTCAGTATTAATCATGAGCGGGATTGGCCGATTTGACAACAATGGGACCTTGCTATTTTCCAAAATAGTGCTAAGAAAATCTCAATATATTTTTTAACTTGGATGTTTTGTTATCAATGGAAATGACCTACTCCATACAAAACATGTAAGTATATCAATTGAGAGTATTGAGTAACATTCACTTCTGTTTGAGGTCCAAGCATACTAAGCTTTTTTGTCCAAGCTTTTGAAAATAGCCTTTATATACTATACTTGATAATATTCCTTTTTAATTTCACAGATATGGTGGCTTGATAATTTTTATCGTTAACTATCGGAGTATGAGTGAAACCTAAAGTTACGGGGTCCATTCATGTTATTTTTACAAAATCTTCTTGTCCATTGTTGGGGATTTTCTCTATTAGGGATTAAGTTCAAACATGCAATTCTCTCAAAATATACATATTATAAATATTAGCCTCCCATTTCAGTTCTTCAAGATGGATCTCTATGGACATGACTGGAAGCCGCTGAACATGGAACAACTTTTCAAACAACTACAGCTGATAGTGGAGAGATCCCAAAAACGTTGCTTGCCATTAGGAATCCTCACAGCTGAGAACAGGAACACTTGGGCCAAGGCTTATAATAGACTTATGAGAGGTAAGTACTCATTGCAAAGAATCTCACGGGTCCTTCACTCCCTTGTCCCCCGATTCCAAAATGAAATATACCAGAATGTAAATATTTTTTGCAACTTACCATATTTTGTGGATTGTGTCTAAATGATGACAGTTGTCTATGGAAAAGCAAAGTAGATTTCGTTATGGTTTACCCCCCCCCCCCCCGCCTCTCTTTCACTAATGCATTTATGAGTCACAATCCCTTGACATTATGTTTACTTGTAATAGTCAGGAATATTTAGGTGAAAATATTTCAAAAATATATAGAAGCAATTTTAAGGTGGATTTCAAAACTTCATACCATCCTTTTGAAAACCTGAAGTGGCACCAAGCAATCCATTGACTTTTTCACCGAAAATCCAAGATGGCCGCCGCGATGTGTCAAAAAACCATAAAAAATGACTAAAGTTATGATTTAATAAGTAATAATAGTTGTATACTGATCAAACATGGCTAATAATAGTACCTATCAGAAGTTAATATCCATTTAAAGTCATTGGATCAATTTTTGTGTGAAAACTGGAGTCCCACAAGGCTCAACTTTATGTCCGCTACTTTTTTTGCATTTTTTGCATTGACCATGGCATTCGCACATAACAATGCATAGAAATCCATTCTGTCACATGTGCACCTAGGACCACATTTCACCTTGCACCCACACTTGACCAATGCTTCGCATGCTGCTTGAGGAAGGGCTGTATATAGTGGCACCAGGAGGAACATGTCATACTGCCAGCGCCATGTTGTGAACTCCGATACCCATGTTGGATTGAGATTGTACAGTTGGCCCCAAACAATACCACATTGGTTAGCAAGTTCTTAAAATTTTCTGTGCAAGCGCTCCTTTTGTTGGTGGCATTCTATCAATGACTGTATGGCCATCACAGAACATTTGCCTTCGTGCTGCATCAATATCTATCCTGTTGCTGGTTTGATCATATACTAGAACAGTAAAACGTTTAAGGGACTGAATGGCATGAACTGACTAAGTCAGGTTTGTTGTAACCATTTGTGCTACTTGTAGAAAAGCTGGAGTAACTTCCTTGAACACATTCCATAGCTTGAAGGGCAGATTCTTTGCTATGGCCAAAGAATGGTGCAGTTATATAATATAATTTAATACATGTAATTTTTGAGAGGTCAGAAGGCAATCCAGATTGACACTTATTGCACCCTAATGATGCAGCCATGGCAAGAACTTCACCAGTATCTCCAATGATTCTGATTATGAAGTCTTTTTTACCCTCTGAGCTCATCTATTTTACCTGAACAAAGAGTCTAGTGTAGTATCAGCTTCTTCATGAGTACAAGGAACTGAGGAAAGCACTTCAACAGATTCCACAATAGTCATAAACATCAACCTCAAAAATAGAGTTGGCCAGGAATGCTAACAGCTCAGTCTTGTTCTGGTTGTTTCTTAGAAAGCCTAACCAATTCTGGGGCATCACATTTTCTGCATAAACCATCCATTGCCACAATGAACCCTTGTCAGGGACTTCCTACTGTTTTATAGGTAGACATCCCAGATAACATCTTATCTTGAAAAGCCTTCCATAGGCCGCCTTGACTAAGAATGAGACATTGGTACCATATTCTTGGAAGTTGGTAGCCACACCAGGATGCATCACATGGGCCAGAAGGATGCCATATTAAAATTGCATCTGCAGGTGGCTTTTCCAATACTTTAGATCCATCTGGCTTAGCTTCTTGACATTTAAGTAAGTCTGCTTTTGTTGTAGGTCTCATGGCTCCGTGGTTATATAGGGATGGCGGGAACTCATGGTTTTCATATTTGAAAAACTCAAGACATGTCATTGTGTCTTGATTGGCATGCAATGTAGAGTAATAGCAAAAAGGTCATAATAATTTCTCAGTTCCTTGACTTCAGGATTCACTTGCATGCATAGTTGGTGTGGTCTAGGGAGACAAAGAATCATCTGCAATGATTCCCGAGGTCAAGGAACTGAGAGAAGAAAATTACCTTTTTAGCTATGCTCTATATTGCTTGCCTTTGACAATCAAGACATAACATGTCTTAGTTTTTTAAACATGAAAACCATGAGTTTCCGCCATCCCTAGCTAAGCATGGAGCCATGAGACCTACAACTAAATGACCTACTTAAATGCCTAGAAACCAAGCCAGATTAAGGCACCTTATGGAAGGTGTTCCAAGATTAGATGTTGTCTGGAATGTTTACCTACAAAACAGTGAGAAGTCCCTAACAAGGATTTATTGTGGCACTGGTGCTAGAAGGATGATTTATGCAGAGATGCACGAATGCCAAAGAATTGGCCAGCCTTTCTAACAATCAATGGAACCAGACTAGGCTGTTTGCATTCCTGGCCAACTTTATGTCTGAGGTTGATGTTAATGAAGAGCAAATGATAACTACTATTTGGGAATCTCTTCAGTGCTTTCCTCAATTGCCAGATACAGCAATGATTGAACCTTGTACTCATGAAAAAGCTGACACTAGGCTCTTTGTTCATATAAAACAGATGACCTCAGAGGGTAAAAAATACTTCATAACCAGAAGTGGAGATACTGATGTCCTTTTTCTTACCATGGCTGCAGCATTAGGGTGCAATAGGTGTCAATCTGGATTGCCTTCGGACCTCTCAAAAATTACAGGTATTAAATTATATTATATAACTGCACCATTCTTTGGCCATAGCAAAGAATCTGCCCTTCAATCTATGGAATGTGTTCAAGGAAGTTACTCCAGCTTTTCTACAAGTGGCACAAATGGTTACAACAAACCTGCCTTTGTCAGTTCAAGCCATTCAGTCCTTAGAACATTTTACTGTTTTATTATATGATCGAACCAGGAACCAGATAGATATCAATGCAGCAATGTTCTGTAACAGTCATACAGTCATTGACAAAATACCACCAACAAAGGAGCCCTTGCACAGAAAATCTTAACTTGCTAACCAAGGCGGTATAGTTTGGTGCCATAACCAAAATGGTTATCGAGTTCACAACATGTGGCTGGCAGTATGACATGTCCCTCCTGATGCCACTATGTACAGCCCTTCTTCAAGCAGCTAAGGCATGCCAAGCATTGGTCAAGTGTGGGTGCAAGGTGAAATGTGGTCCTAGGTGCACATGTTACAAAAATGGATTTCTATACATTGCAATGTACAAATGCCATGGTCAATGAAAGTCATTGAACTAAAAAAGTAGGGGACATATAGTTGAGCCTTGTGGGACTCCAGTTTTCACACAAAAATAATCTAGTGACTTTAAATGCATATGACTATCTAATAGGTACTATTATTAGTCATGTTTGATCAGTATTTAACTATTTTGACAAATTAAATGATGATATTAGTCAATTTTAGTGATTTGTCGATACATTGTGGCGGCCATCTTGGATTTTTGGTGAAACAGTCAATGGATTGCTTGGTGCCACTTCAGGTTCTCAATAGGATGGTATGAAGTTTTGAAATCCACCTAGAGATTGCTTCTATATAATTTTGAAATATTCTGTGAACTTATCTCCTATTCAAACCTGACTATAAGAAACAAGAAATTTTTCTATAACAATGTAATTTTTGTATAAAAATGTGAACTTAAAACATTTCTAACAATTGCCAAGCCCCAATGTAAGACACATTAGATGTCACAACCATGAGGTAATGACATTTTTGGTGACAAGAGTCTTTGGTCAGTATTTAGTTTCTGGAACCAATTGATACTTTTGTAGTAAATTTTGAAGTAAATAACCAGATTGTGAAAGGTCTTTTGGTCATGTTAATGCCTTGTTAGATTTTTGTTTTCATTATCAATTTATAACACATTGAAATGTTCATGTTGCAGATAAGGAAAACAAGAAGTCATTGGAAGAGATACAGCGTAGTATCTTTTTGTTGAGTCTTGACTCTCCCACAGGACACAATGTAGACAACAGATTTAGTGTTGTAGCTGAACAGATGATACATGGGCGTGGAAGCAAACAGAATAGTGGCAATCGGTGGTTTGATAAAACCATTCAGGTATGCTATGGTATTTTTTTATAGTCTTAATTGTACATTGAGTACAGGTAAGACATGTTTTTACTGGACATGTACACGTGTTTCATGTATGTGCTATTTTGCAATACTAAATGTAGTTAACTACAACATAGGGAACATCTTATTTGTTTCCTTATTGTCAGTCAACATAGTGAAGATCATTGTATGATGAAAACAAAGGTACATAAATAAATCAATAATTGTTATTTTTTATAGTTTGTTGTTGGAGCAGATGGTGGAGTTGGACTAACATATGAGCATTCCCCAGCTGAAGGCCCACCCTTGGCTCATCTCCTGGACCATACTGTAGATTACATGTAAGTTAGCCCACCCTTGGCTCATCTCTTAGACCATACTGTAGATTACATGTGAGGTGGCCCACCCTTGGCTCATCTCCTGGACCATACTGTAGATTACATGTAAGTTGGCCCACCCTTGGCTCATCTCTTAGACCATACTGTAGATTACATGTAAGTTGGCCCACCCTTGGCTCATCTCTTAGACCATACTGTAGATTACATGTAAGTTGGCCCACCCTTGGCTCATCTCTTAGACCATACTGTAGATTACATGTAAGTTGGCCCACCCTTGGCACATCTCTAAGACCATACTGTAAATTACAAGAAGTTGGCCCACCCTTGGCTCATCTCTTAGACCATACTGTAGATTACATGTAAGTTGGCCCACCCTTGGCTTATCTCTTGACCATACTGTAGATTACATGTAAGTTGGCCCACCCTTGGCTCATCTCTTAGACCATACTGTAGATTACATGTAAGTTGGCCCACCCTTGGCTCATCTCTTAGACCATACTGTAGATTACATGTAAGTTGGCCCACCCTTGGCTCATCTCTTAGACCATACTGTAGATTACATGTAAGTTGGCCCACCCTTGGCTCATCTCTTAGACCATACTGTAGATTACATGTAAGTTGGCCCACCCTTGGCTCATCTCTTAGACCATACTGTAGATAACAAGTTGGCCCACCCTTGGCTCATCTCTTAGACAAAACTGTAGATTACATGTAAGTTGGCCCACCCTTGGCTCATCTCTTAGACCATACTGTAGATTACATGTAAGTTGGCCCACCCTTGGCACATCTCTTAGACCATATTGTAGATTACAAGTTGGCCCACCCTTGGCTCATCTCTTAGACCATACTGTAGATTACATGTAAGTTGGCCCATCCTTGGCACATCTCTTAGACCATACTGTAGATTACATGTAAGTTGGCCCACCCTTGGCTCATCTCTTAGACCATACTGTAGATTACATGTAAGTTGCCCCACCCTTGGCTCATCTCTTAGACCATACTGTAGATTACATGTAAGTTGGCCCACCCTTTGCTCATCTCTTAGACCATACTGTAGATTACATGTAAGTTGGCCCACCCTTGGCTCATCTCTTAGACCATACTGTAGATTACATGTAAGTTGGCCCACCCTTGGCTCATCTCTTAGACCATACTGTAGATTACATGTAAGTTGGCCCACCCTTGGCTCATCTCTTAGACCATACTGTAGATAACATGTAAGTTGGCCCACCTTTGGCTCATCTCCTAGACTATACTGTAGATTACATGTAAGTTGGCCCACCCTTGGCTCATCTCTTAGACCATACTGTAGATTACATGTAAGTGGGCCCACCCTTGGCTCATCTCCTGGACCATACTGTAGATTACATGTAAGTTGGCCCACCCTTGGCTCATCTCTTAGACCATACTGTAGATTATATGTAAATTGGCCCACCATTGGCTCATCTCTTAGACCATACTGTAGATTACATGTAAATTTGCCAATTCTTGGCTCATCTCTTTGACCATATTGTAAACCTTTTGCTCATCTCGTACACCATACTGTAGATTACATGTAAGATGATTCACTTTTGATTCCCTTAATATTAGAGACCAGACTCTATATGTATTTTATTATGTAGTATAGTATGACTTATTGTGAATTAACTTTTTGAAAATGGATTGTTTATTATATGAAATAAAAGTGACATACTTTATTTTGTTTACAAAACAGTCAAATGCATCAAGGGTACAGTATGTTTACGCTTGATTACTAACATGAATATCATGAAGAGGGTTTGTTGAAAGAGATGGATTTAATAGTATACAGAGGTTATTTATTTAGAGGGAAGGAATATGGACTTTATCCCAAGTGACAATATGATATTTACCATCAAAAATATATTGACCTAGGGCTTTACCCTTGATGTCAATTGATATTTTTTTGTGGTCAATCTATTGACTTGAGGATTAAATCCATATTCCTTCCCAAATACCAGTAACCTGTTCCATGAATCTTCATGTCATTAATTTAAGGGCTACACTCAAATGATAAATTTCTTCTGTTTTAAGTCGCAAGGATTCATTAAGACTTTTAAACTAGAGAAAAATTTGCTGATTCTAATACAGGATTGGATACTGGATTGAATACAGGATCAAGTATCAAATTTATTCCCCAAATAAAAGTATTGATCATGGAGTAATACTGGATATTGCCTCTAATCTTACATTTCAAGAGACCTTTTGAGATATTTAAGATCAATACCTTGACTGTTATAAGGATTTTTAACTGTTTCAATATGATTTGCTTTACATTAAATTTGTTAGTGCCATTTTCGTTGATTTTTGCGATTCCATAATTTGTCTCATATAAAACAATGTTGTCTCAACTTAAATTTATTGTTCCCTGCAAAGAACTATTCCTACTTGGGCACTACATATTAGAGGTGTCACGAAACAAACAAAATATCGTAACAGTTCGGTTCAGAATATTTGGCTTCAGAATAGAACAATTTCAGGAAATGCAGTTGCAGTTAAAACACAATCATATTGGCTATTTTATTGGAAAAACAATCTAGAACTTCATTCAGTGCAAAAATTGAAAGAAAATGTTTTTTTTGTGGTGATTTGAGGGCCAAAAGCTTTGAAACAGTAAGATTTTCCAGAATCGAACCAAAATGTTGAATTTTTGTACTATGTTCTGTCCCGATAGCCTAATTCTGCAAGTTGAGACAAAATTGGGTATCCGTGACACATCTACTACATTTTTATATTTAGTGTTATCAATAATATATTCAAGGCATCAACATCTTGCTTCATCTTTGATTTTAACTGACACACTTTGGATACAGTAAGCATAAAACATGAAATTGATAAATATGAAGAAATATGATTCTTATTTGTTTACGTACAAGCTGATAAAAACATGTTTATTCCTCCTCAGTTTGAAATATCTGCCTCTTTTTATTTCATTTAAGCACTCATTGAAATAACAAAATAAAAATATATTCTGATCGAAATATAGGAATTATGTGTTTCTAGTACAAGGAACCAGGAGACGAGACTCCCAGCAGCTGGCGTGACAGAGCCAACCAAACTTCGTTTCAATCTAAATGAAAAGATTGTTGATAGCATCAATTCAGCATCATCCAGTGTAGACTCGTAAGTATGTTATGTCATGTTTTTTTCACAGTTCTTTTAGGAGATTCTATATTGAGATGGTAAAATATACTTGCTGGGCTGTTGTATAATTATCAAACATCAAACTCAAAAAAGTAATTAATGCGAACACAGGCTGGTATCGAAATATTTGTCCGCTGTGACGGAGCATGCTATTTTTCATAAAAACACTAAGAATACTTCACGATTTATTTTTTAACTCATATGTTTCGTTATACCATACAAAATTACTTACTCCATGCAATGGATATATCATTTGCGGGTAACTTTCACTTCTGTTTGAAGTCCAATTACGCTGGGAAGAAAAGCTATTGAAAATGGTGCATGTGTATCATACTTCAAAATGTACCATTTCTTGTTTAACTTTCTAATGGCACGATATATTGACACGATAATATTTACACATGGTTTCAGCATAACTATGAAGGTATAAATGAGATGTTGGTGTATTTGGTCTTTTTAATTCTTTTATAAAAAATAATGTTTAATTTTTTTGTCCGCTGTGACGGAGCAGTTGCAAATGTGAACTGTGAAAATGCTCCGTCACAGCGGACAAAAAATATTAATATCATTTTTTATAAAAAAATTAAAAAGACCCAATGCATTAATATCTCATTAATACATTCAGAGTTATGCTTAAAACATATGTTAATATTATCGTGTCACTATATCATGCCATTAAAAAGTTAAAAAAGAAATGGTACATTTTAGAGTTTGATACTCTGGCGCAGTTTTCAATAGATTTTACTCCTAGCGTTATTGGACTTCAAACAGAAGTGAAGGTTACACGCAAATGATATATCCATTGCATGGAGTAAGTAATTATCTTTGATATAACGAAACATATGAGTTAAAAAATAAATCGTGAAGCATCCTTAGTGTTTTCATGAAAAATAGCATGCTCCGTCACAGCGGACAAATCTTTCGATACCAGCCTGTGGCGAATTGATTCGCTAAATCTATTAAAAATTTAACTTTAAGTGAACTTCTTCCTTTATCTGCCATGTTTCCAACCCAAATGGTGGTGAAATTAGTAACTCCTACTGGCACTTTGTTAATTAAGTGTAGAAATAAGTCCTAATTTTCATTCCATGTTTCAGGGCAATTAAAGAGCTCCAAGTACAGGCTCTGGTGTTTGATAACTTTGGCAAAAATTTTATTAAACAGCAAAAACTGAGTCCTGATGCATTTATACAGCTTGGATTCCAACTGGCATTTTACAGGTAAAATTTTGTGCTTTGCTCTTACTTCTCAGTTGACATACATTTCAGCTACATTTCACATCTTTACACCTACATTACATGTTGAAATGTTAAGGTATATTTAATTCAATTGTTCATTGTTTAATCCAATAAGTTTTGTTGACACTGTCTTTAACTTATGTTGATCATGCTCATTTTTGAATCAGGGTTGACTATAGACTTTGGGATAAGTTGACATGGGTTGAATTGACCAGTTACTTTTGCATATTACAGAATACATGGCACAACTAGTGCAACATATGAAACTGGTTCTACGAGGAAATTTCGTCTTGGTCGCACAGATACGATACATTCATGTACAGATGACTCCTATGCATTTACACGCACAATGCTCAATAAGAAAGCAACTGCTAATGAAAAAGCAGAGGCACTGAGAAAAGCTATTGCTACACATAGGAAATTCACAGCTTGGGTAGGTGCACCTTTATTCAATTTTCTCAATTGCACATTTGATATTTTAAAGCAGTCAAGTTGAAAATATAAATTCTAAATACAAGCAGTTTTTAAGAGTTTCATCCAGTCAGCTTGCTTCATCTAGTTTTAACCCTTATTATATCCAAGGAGAATTTTTTATTTTGACATACGTGTATATGTATTTCAAAATGTTAAAGTTCCTTTACTCTTAGGCTATCAATGGACAGGGTATTGATCGACATCTACTAGGACTGAAGCTACAGGCCATAGAAGCAGGGATGAATGTACCAGACATATTCATGGACCCTTCATACAGCCACCACTTTTACTTCAGGATTTCAACAAGCCAGGTACATAACATTTTTTGAAAAGTATTGCAAGCAACTACATTAAATCTGTTTTTTGAATTCTCAAGATCTGACAATTGACAAGGGAAGGCCCAAAAATAATTTTATGACATTTTTTCCAACATTTGGATTTTTGATTCCATTTCTACAAAAATTGAGGCCAGTTTATCAAAAAAAAACAAATTATCTTAAAAATGAGACCCAAGGCCCATATAGGCCCAAAATGGATATAATGAATGCAGTTGCCTGCCCCCTCCCATATTCATCTATATGATCCAAACAATATATACAACAATTTGTGTTTCAGGTGCCAGCTAAATGTGATGCATTGATGCTGTTTGGGCCAGCTGTACCTGATGGTTATGGACTTTGCTACAATCCAAAGGACGAACACATTAACATCAGTATTACTGCATTCCATACAAGTCCAGAGACTGATACAAATGTTTTCTCAAATACCTTGCGACAATGTTTAATAGACATGCATGATGTATTGTTAGCCACACAGAAAGCAAAGCTATGAGATTAAAAGTGTTGATCCAGTTGGAAGCAATATTGTATTGATTTAAAAGAGGAATTAATTGCAGTTTATTCCCTTGTGTGAGCAATCAAAATCTAATTTATATTCTGCCGGAATATTGTTCAAGATCGCTTCATGGAATTTTAAAAGTTTGATTTTATGACCTTACAATATGTTTGTGTTGCAATATACTTACGTTGCCAAATAAATGTATAATAGATCTTCACATTATTTTGTGAGTAATTTGGCAAACACATGTAAACTAAAGATGTGATTAGAAGAAATCTGGATTTTCATCATTCAAAGGACTAGATTGAGTATGACAAGTGATTTTGGACAGTCATATCTTTCACCATGAGTACTTTCTGGCCATAAATACAATGGCTTTTATTAAAACAATATGTTTTCTTTCAATTGAAGTCATTGTGACAATAAAAAATTATCAACCAACTCTCTGAAAAAGTTTTGATTAGGACCCCATCTTGTCACTTTTTTAAAAATATTAGGCTTATTTTCCAAAAAGAGGATCTTGTTTTTCTCAAATAAACATATCAAAAGTTTCTTCTACACTATATTAACATCTTCTGAAAATGGGATGGGGATTGAAATGCGATGAAGTTAAAAAGTCCACACATCCCATGTTATCTTCCAATAACAGGGAAAACTCGTGCTATCCATCGTTTTCAGCATAATTTTGGTCATCGAAAATTGATATCTTCAAAACTAGACCTTCAATCCTTTCTACATTTGAAGAAGTTTTAGACCCCTTGTTGAATAACCTTTTCATGCAATAAAAATCTGAAATAGATCCTCTTTTGAGTAAATAGGTTCAACATTTTGGAAAAAAAATGTTGACATGGAGTCCCTTTTCATAATTTTTTGAATTGTTCGATTGATATTTTTATTATCCTTTAGAATTTAATGAAAAGACTCTAGAAAGTGTGTTAATGAGAAATGTCATATTTCATTTGATTAAGTACCCATGGTGAAAGATACCACCATCTATTAATAAATCATTTGCCATACTAAAACTGGTCCTTTCAGGATTTAGTTGAAATGATATCATTATTTGAAATCTACAATATAGATCGTATAAGACAACCTAGAAGATATATTACATATTCTATCCTAAATCTAGGTTAACAACCAATTAAGTACTTTAATGTAATGTTGCTGATTAAGCCTAAGACTGTTGGCTGGATCTACGGGTTCTAATTTGCTCACCTTTTATTAACTGACTTTAGCTCCGCAATATGTATATGTCGTTGATATGGACGTTGAGGAATGGGTATTTTGCAACCCATTGCTTTGAAATGACTGTTCCAGCATTATGCAATTTCTTTGAGTTCTTGGAAGCCCAAAATACTGAATATGAAACATTACTACTCACTTAAAAGAATATATGAAATCTGATGTAGAGATGTCTCAATTTAAAGGTCTTCATTTGAAAAGTGATATGAAAACAACTTTGTGCTATCTGATATAATGCGTTCATATACATCTATGATTTAATTTATATTTGTGACGATATCTTACGTTTAACATTACATTATACTGTTATGGAATGTGAATTTATTGGTTTGTTGTTTTGACTTGAAGCCTGTTTACTATAGAATTGTGATAATCTTATAAATGGCAATTTTATCTAAAATTTGATAATATATCTATGAATTTTAAATTGAACTGAATTGTAAATTTGCAGATTTAATACCATTTATATTTAAATAAATTTAATGCAAAGGCTATTATTTTACTTATATAATGTGTTCAGTTCTTTAAATATTCATACAGCATCTAGAAGAACATTGTGTTGGTATGTCATGTATATGGTGTATGTTGCTCTGTTTGAGAATTTTCAAGATGGCCGCCATTTTTGTAGACTCAAATGCCAATTGAAACTGTCCCATTCCGTGGCACTTGGCTCGGTAACTGAACTTAAAACATCAATTTCAGTATTTTCCTCAATTAAAAATCATAAACACAATTCCAGTCCAGAAATCGAAGAAAATTACACATCAGTATTGGGTATTTTCAACTAACCGATACTTGTAAAAGTAAAAAATTATTTATTGTTTTGATATTAATAATTGTTGTTGATATTATAATTATTGTTTTACTTTCTAAGTAAATTCTGTTCTGTTCCGAAAATGTTTATTTGTTCAGTTCCATCCCTGTCCTGTACTATATTTGGTGCTTTATTCTTGTTTAAATATAATATTTCATGTACAGCAAGTGAGCACCATATAACTGATACACTAAAAGGAAAACTAAAAGACAAGTATTCTAATGTTATATTGAATTAATCTTTTTTATTATGTCTTAGTACATACAGTAAATCCAATATTTTCAGCAGCATATGCATTCTTACTATGTTGTGTTTTATTTTTAATACCAAGTTATACTCATGTAGACTCAATACGGTATTTTATTCTGTAACTGTCAAAAGACTTGTCTCGGTTCGGAGAACGAAATTCATCAGTCTACTGAATGTTAAGCCTGCATTGGACAATTTTGATATTTTTACATATTGTAGATTTAAATGTCCTCTTTTGAATATCCATAATGTAATTTGGGTATTATTTCTATATTTTTCATAAAAATCAATACCGCAGTAGACTGATAAACTTTGTTCACCAAACCAAGACTTGTCTTCTATTGAATCGGTCTACTGCACATTACGCCTGCTTCGGACAATTTTGATATTTTTACATATTGTAGAATTGAATGTCCTCTTTATATTCACAATTTAATTGGGGTGTTATTTTTCATAAAAAAACTATTAGCAGGGTAGTACAAGACTGTTCTCCAGACAAAGACTTGTCTTGTACTGTTGTATGATTGGTCAAAACCTGGTCACATGTCATGAAAGCAATGTTCACTGGAGGATTTTTAGCCTTTATTCAAACTTGACACTCCGTTACCCGGCTTGGACCAACTTGGTAACAATATTACTCAAATTATTGAAGACTAGAACTGCCAATGAAACTTGAATATTAACATAATATTTGTAATGAACATCTTCCAACAAAATACTTGGTCCAAAGAGAATTCATTGAAATATTTACCTGTTACCTAACCAACCTATATTTAACATGTTAAACCAACAACAAAACTTTATTTTTTGAATAACAGCTTGGACCAACTTGGTAACAATATTACTCAAATTTTGAAGACTAGAACTGCCATGCCAAGGGGGATTTTAAACCTTTATTCAAACTTGACACTCCGTTACCCGGCTTGGACCAACTTGGTAACAATATTACTCAAGACTAGAACTGCCAATGAAACTTGAATATTACCATAATATTTGTAATGTACATCTTCCAACAAAGTACTTGGTCCAAAGAGAATTCATAACAATATTTACCTGTTTCCTTACCAACCTATATATAACATGTTACCTAACCAACAACAAAACAAGCATTTGGTTTGCTCATTGTTGTTCTCCACGATCTTTTCATAAAAAGTGGATCAGTTTTCTCCATAGCACATGGCCTTCGTATTTTCTAGTGATATTCACTGGATTATTTTGTTACTAAATTGTTCCACGCTGGGCAACACAGTATCGAGTTTGAATAATGGCTGCCAATCCTCCTTGGGTCATGCCTATCAAATTAGACAACTGGTATTTTATTCTATAACTGTCAAATTTACTGCTGTATGATAGGTCAAAACTTGGTCACATGTCATGAAAACAATATTCACTGGTCATGCCTATCAAATTAAGACAACTGGTGAATATTTAAAAAGGAGTTGTTTGGTTCAGTGTAGATCAAGATATACACTGAGATTTTAACCCTTAAAGATGCAGTATACCATAGGTTTCTCATTCAGACAATCAATGATGTCCCATTATATTGCTCACATAATATCTCACATACCATGGCTATATCTTGAGAATAATATATTGAAATAATCAACAGAACAACCAACCTTCAGAATTAAACACTATTGATTCCTCAGCTAGGGAGGGAAATCCCCGTTGAGTCATGCAAACGCCCACACGCGCCTTGAACCAGGCAGCCAATCAGGTTCATGGTAAATACATTCAGCAACAACCAATCAGATAACAGGGGGATTTTCCCGGTATATTCAAACTTCAGATTGAATTAATTTCAACGAAAATAATTAGATCGGTCAGTACAATCTCAAAATTAATACTGAAAGCTGGATTTGGGACTTCTTTGTTGGTAAGTAGATAAGTGAATCTGTGATAAAACTCAATATGTAAAAACGTCACGAGGGATCTTGATTGTACTATCCTATGGTATAGAGTCTCTTAAAGATTAACAGTTATATATTAAAACAAATATTTCATTCTATTTTTGCTGAATATCCTTGACATTTTCCCAAAATAATATTCAACTAAAGCTCCAAACTTCATAGAATATCACTTGTGAAAAATACACAATAGAATAAAACATTTATACAACATTCATGTTGAGACTGATTTACAATATAACCAATGAGGCTATTTCAAGTCACAAAATCTGAAGTCCCTGAACAAGATGAAGTAACATCCTCTGAATCTGAAACATTTTCCTGATCATCGTCTATCAATGAGTAAGATGTAATAGCTGCTCCATTAGCGTCTGAGAGTAATCTAGGTACTTTGCCTGAAAAAAGATGTAAAAATATCAGAGTTTATGTATAAGTATGATTTACATTTCTAACTTTACATTAATAAATAATTTTATTTGTTAGAACCCAATATTCAAGTACAAATTATTAGTAAAGGTCCTTTTTAGGAACTAAGATCTTGCTTAGACATTTCCAGGCCAGTAGGAACATGAACACCATTATGCTTCGAAAAGTACATGTAAATATAAAAGTGTTCATACCATTGTAAAATGTGACAGTGCCATCACTTTCAGTGACTTTAGTCCAAGTCTGAGAAATGTCTTCCCCAAGATACAAAACATTGCCATCCACATAGTTGTTCCTGCAACGGAATATGACATTAACATTACATTGCATTTTAAATATGTACAGGGTAGGATAAAAATTAGGCAAAAATGTATATACAGTGATCTCCCCATGTCACTTAATTGCACTCAGTTGAATTTTTTTGGGGAGAACACTAATATATAAAGCTTTAAATCGAAAGAGCTTTATAATATACAGAGGTTTTCGAAGATGGACAAATCAATGAAAACTAAAATGGTTGACAATAATAATTTTGTGAGACAAAAATGGCGGCCATTTTGCTAATAGGCAAGCTTTTGAATCAGGAGTCATAGGTGGGTTGTATGTTTTGATGATGAGCAAAAATAACTTAAAATGAAATCATATTTACAGGTGTTATCATTGCATAATATCATTATCAATTAAATTTTTTTAATAAATGGCGAATGAACTTTGCTGTATGAGATATTAGCTTCTTTAATAAAACATAAATGTTTTAAAAAGGTGCCACTATTGTGGACTGATTTAGAGACAGACTGGACAAATCAATGATAGCTAAAATGGTTGACAATAATAATTTTGTGAGACAAAAATGGCGGCCATTTTGATGATAAGCAAGCTTTTGAACCAGGAGTCATACGGGGGTTTTCTGTATCGATGTTGAGCAAAAATAACTTAAAATAAAATCTTATCTACAGGTGTTTTAAAACATGCCACCATTGTTACAGGCAGACAGACGAGTGGTTGCAAAAGCTCACCATGTGAGCTAAAGAAAAATATCAATGATATCATCGCATAATATCATTATCAATCCAAGTTTTTGAATAAATGGTAAATGGACTTTACTGTATGAAACATTAGCATTTTGTATAAAGCATCAGGACTGCCTACAAAATATTAAATTGCCAAACAAAAGTATACTACTGAGTTAAAAATAATTGATTTAGATTTCATTATGTTCACTTCAATGTACAAGATGGTATCTCGTACAACAAAACCAAATAAGCAAACAGACATTGTTTGAGCAACATCTTTACTATTAACAGCACGATAATTCCTCTTTTATTTTGAAATGTTTTTGGACTAACAGAAATCACCATTTACCTTTGTGAAGATGTGTCTATGGGTTCTTCACTATCAGATATGTGCTGTGCAGATGTGTCTATGGGTTCTTTATTTTCAGATATGTGCCGTGCAGATGTGTCTATGGGTTCTTCACTATCACATATTTGTTGTGTAGATGTGTCTATGGGTTCTTCACTATCAGATATGTGCCATGCAGATGTGTCTCTGGGTTCTTTATTATCAGATATGAGTTGTACAGATGTGCCTGTCTGTTCATTATTACTGGATTTGTGTTCAGACATCCTTTTTTCACCAATGCTATAAAACAGAAAATGTTAATTAAACTGAATGGAATTTAAAGGAATCAAAAAATCTTCGAATAATACAACACTAACTGAAATGTCATCAAAGAAACAGTATATGCTGTTGAAATTCTTTCACAAAATACACATCTTAGATATTTGCATTGATCAACACTTTCTAGTTTCTATGGTACTTAAGCATTCTCTGGTCATCTCAACCCCAATTCAACCCAACTCAGTAAAAACCAAGTCCATTCAACCAAGTAAATCTCAACCCCATTCATTTCTCCAATGCCTTTGAGTATTGTTTATTTCATGGAGATTTTTTGAAAATATGAGCCCAAAATATTCTGAAATCTAATAATTTTTTGTCAAGAGTACTAGAGACAACTGGTTGCCATCTTGCTAGATCCGATTTTACATTTAATTCCTCCTATTTCAAATTACTATATTGGAATCCAGCTCTTTGTGGTATTAATCTGAATAAATTAAAAACTGAATACAGCTGAGTGGTAGTACATAAGTACTGATAACTGGGTCTATTTTTTTAACTGCCAACAAAACACATGCTTGTTTTTGAGCACATGAAATCAGTAGACTTATATTTAGTTCATTGATGTGACCAATTGCAAGTTCATTTATAGATGGCACTTGGTATTGCCATGTTTCAGTTCACATAAATAGCTGGAAAGGGGATTTCCACTTCCTCTTTCTACCACACTTCAATAGCTGTACACATAGGTTTTTATCTCAACACAATCCACCACAATAGTTCAACATGGTAAGCCATCCATTCTTTATTTTACATTTATATATTTCAATTCACATTTATTAATCAATTACAGCATATATTTGGGGTATTTTCTGTCATTTTATCACATATTATCTACTTAGAAATAGAAATGTTCATATTTTTATACAGTTATCTGGCTGGTTCTTCCTACTTCTGCAACCCACTTTTGATATCCATTCCTGAATACAATACCCGTAGTCCAAGAAAGAGCCAGTTTTGTAAGTTATTTAGTCAGGTTGCAAAATGTTTAAATCCTAATTCTCAACATGCCTCATATTATATTATTGTAATATGGCAAATGCCATATTATGTGAAATGCCAAAGTGTAAAATGTCATATTGTGTAAATGCCATATTATGCGAAATATTGACATCAACGACTACTGTGATGGTTATGGTTTACTTTTATGATGATTGTTTACTGTTATGGTGACTATTTACTGGTGACTGCAAAGCGTTATAATGACGCTTCATTGCTATGATGACTGTTAAATTAACTTTTATATTGAACTTAATTAACAACTAAGCCTAACAGTTTGAGCATATTGCACTGAATAATGCACAAGGCTGGAAGCAACTATGTCAGGGAAGGAATTGTGTGAGCTGCTAGATACAATATGCAATACAGGGATTACAGAAAAACAACATGATGAACTTTTACTAGACCCTAGACTCTAAAAAGTTCATGTGTTTGAGGACGTCGAACAGCTCTAGCAGTGTTTTGTGTCAAAATGAGTTCTAGCTTATCCAATCGATTCCTGCCAACATTGTTTGGAGACAAAACAAATTGTTTCAAATATTGTTGCTACTATACAAAATGCATTAAAGCAGTAATTTGTTCCCAAGGACATTGGGTTCAACCATATCAGCAGAGAAAAAGTTCGCAAGAATCATACATCATAAGTTGTGGAGACCCTATTTGGCAATAATGATAGGATTACCATAGTCCTGATGGCACATACATAAATACCATCTTGTATATCTAACCGAGTGCTAGTTACTCCTTCCAAAGATTAACCTACAAACTACATAAAGTCCATCTTCTACTGAAACAAATGATTATCAAAACTAATACTGGCTACTTTGTAGCGATACTTGGCTTTTACCTTGCTGGAAATAATGATGCTATTATTTTAGAAAACATGATTAAGTTTGATATGGATGAAATCATGACTACAAATTAATGATTCGTTGGTGCTAGATCGTGCCTTCAGGGACAATTAAGAGTTCTGGGAAACTAAGGCATTAATATTGCAATGTTAGCTCTTGGCCATGGCAAGAAGCAGATTCCAGTTGATGTAGCCAATGCAACCGGTTTGTCACAAAGATTCGCTGGGTTGTTGAATCTGCTAATGGCAACTGAAGAGGTGGTTATTCTTTGCTTATGTTGTACCACACACAAGTATAACACACCTGGGAGATTGCCACAATATTATTGGTACTTCTATTTATCTATTCAGACCAGACTTTGTTGCATCAATACCAGGAGATGATGTTGTTGCTTCAAAGATGCTAGAAAGAGCTAAGTTGCCCGAACTACTTGCAGCCAAGGTTGATCATGGTAAATTTAGTTCTCATGGAAAGCGGATGGATGTCGATGATGTTAATATCACATTTCCCTATCTGGATGAGGAGTTTTACGAAGCCTCACACTTGGTGTATACTGTAAGGGATTCCCCCCCCCCTTTTTCTTTAATGGCTGCAACTTATTGGGACTAGATTGTGTAACTTGACCTAGTAACTTGCTGTAACTTAATCCATTGACTTGCTGTAACTTGATTGTGTAACTTTAACACTAAAGAACCTTCATTGAATGTATGGTCAAGAATGAAAAAACATTAGTAGAAAACCATAAGTTTATCCAAGGTGCATTTGGGGATGATGCCTATAATAACTCAACTGTGCGGCGCTAGTACCACGACATAAAACTGGAGAAAAGGCAATCAATTAAGGATAGGTCAAGAACAGGTAGACCATGCTCATCGACAACAGAGGAGCATACAAATAAAATAGATGAGCTAATCAAAGAGAACAGACATATTAACTGTAAGACAAATCAGTGAAACTGTTGGAATATCTATAGGATCGTGCCATAACCTGATAAAAGATGTGTTAGAGAAGTGCTACATCTCCTCATAATGGGTACCCCGTATTTTGAGTGATGACCAGAAACAAGCTCGCTTAGAAGCATCATATAAGTTCCTAGACACTTATAAATGGTATGGGGATGAATGGTTATTTAACATTCTGACTGAAGATGAGACATGGATCTATAACTATGAGTCTCTTAGTAAGAGGGAAAGTATGGGGTGGTTTGGCAAAGAGTCTCTACAGCAGACAAAGCCCAGGTTTCTGAAGACAACGTCAAAGAAGACAATGTTTCTCATTTTCTTCGACGAAAGTGGAGTGATTCTCCAACATTCAGTAGAAAATGGAACAACTGTTACTGAGAAATACTTTGTAAAGGTTAAGAAAAAAATGATATTATTGTCAATTATAAAAAGTGCACTTGATTGCAGTTATATGTACCAGATTTCCAAGTTTTCTTATCTTCACACCTACCTTTCCAGATTATGCGCCGTAAACTCTGCAGAGCAATAAAACAGAAACAACAGGGAAATTACCGCCCCAACTTCCACATGGATAATGCAAGGCCACATACAGCTGAAGTTACATCTGATGCTCTAAGCGATTTAGATTTGGAAAGAGTACCACAGGCACCTTATTCTCCATATTTGTCCCCATGTGATTTTTATTTATTCATGGATTTAAAACGTGAATTAAGATGATCCTATTTTGAAACTCAGAAAGATGTTGAGGCTGCAGTAGAGACGGCTTGACATGCTTTCTGCAGGGGGATTCAGGCATGTGTTTAGGGACTGGGTTGAACGACACCAAAAATGCATCGCAGCAGAAGGAGACTATTTTGAATGATTTAATTAATCAATATAGTGAATACTGATAAACACATGTACAGAACTAATACATATCAACAATGAGTATATGTAGTGTTAGCTGATATATTCACTCATCAACATCTATTGTTTATCAGGCCACATGCATAGTGACCTACTTTTGTACCATGTGATGTGTTTTAACCAATTGCCGAGGGGCTGCTAGATCTAAGATGTCGGACATGTCATAATATTTGTGTTTAGAATAAAAACGCTTCATATCTCATCTTACATAAGACTTAAAGTTTATTATTGAACCCAATTAACAGCACATGGTGTCAGAGTGACTGGATATAAAGATTATACGGAACTATATCATCAAGTGGGTGAGATTTTGTGTATTTTGTGCGAAACACATGACATTTCTTCTGGAATTTCCACGGAGCCGTGTATTGACATTTTTAAATTTGAACATTGTAATTGATCTTGATCTCCTGTATTGACATTGTATAATCGTATGTATTAAATAACATGGATGTACAACAACAACACGCCGTAGGGGAAGGTGATATACCAAAAATCCCTAACCCTGATAGAGATCCCCCAGAACGACAAGTCAGCATGATGATATTTGCCATGGGCGAGATGGCGGAGGATATATTTCTGAATTTCAAATTCAGCAATGACGCAGAAAAGACTGATTATTCGAAAGTTAAAGGAATGAAGCTGTGAAGAAAGAACAGACTGTACTACGTGAACCTGATATAACTGTCGATTCTCTCAAAAAGAAAAAGTATTATCGCAGGAAAAATCAAAATGCAAATAAACGTCATCAGTCACCTACAAGATCTGCATCACAGAGTGAGAAATCTCGCCAACAATCTTCGTCATTCACATGTAGGAGGTGTGGTAAATCCCTCCCCAAGTGCGTTAATAACATGATTTTTTTTGACGCAAGGCGTTTTATTTCTAAACACTTTGGCGTATAAACCATCAACGCTTTAGAAACGTGTCACGTTTTAAATGGGATGCGCAAACGCAGTCCTTTCAAACATATTATCCGGTCAATGCACGCAGATGACATAGGTAAGTTCTGTTGTTTTCATGTTTTGTTTAATTGTACAAAATTGAATTCATAGAATGATCATCTAATACTTATTAATAAAACATCAAGAAATACGATAGACATGTATTGAAATTAATACATTAAATGTATGTTCCATGATTCCCATATGAAAAATGTAAAAATACAAAATTGACATTTCAAAATGGCGGATAACCTCCTCGAATTAACACCAAGCGTTAAAAATATTTCTATTTGTCCAAAGTC